AGGGATTTATTTCAGAAGATCAAACTCGTTACCAGAGAATTTAAATCTAAAACGTAGTCTGTAATAGATAAGGAAGGTAATTTAAAGACTGACGAAATATTGGAAACATGGCGAAACTACTGTGGCGAGCTATATAAAAATAACGAGGTACCAGCAGAAAATCTACCTAGAGAACCTACTGTCTTACTCGCTGAAGTCAAAGATGCAATTAAATCACTAAGGCATCCCTAGGCATTTATTCAATACCAGGTGAAATACTACAGTTACTAGGTAACAAAGGATTACATATCATCCATTCTATCTGTGTCGCTGTTTGAAATTCAGGAAAATGGCCATCTGATTGGTGTACCTCAATCCCGCTACACCAAAAATCTTGTTGCATGTCATCAAAAACAAATTAAAAACCTATCTACATTACCAAATACCTCAGGAACAAGCGGAGTTTGTAAAGGGATAAAGGTACACGTGAACCAATCCTGAACCTGAAATAACTCATTGAAAAGTCTAGAGAATTTCAAGTACCTATGATTATATGCTTCGTTGACTACCAAAAGGCATTTGATTGTGTAAGCTGGATAAATCTGTGGTTCATTTTAATAGAAATGGGCACACCAATGCACCTGGTGACACTTATTAAAAATCTGTACCAGTCCAATATAGCAACAGTACGACTAGATCAGAAGTTCTCAAACCAATTCAAGACCGAGAGAGGTGTTAGACAAGGATGCGTGTTGTCACCTGACTTATTCAAAATGTCATGAGGATGGCTTTAGATGGATGAGCCGGTGGAGTAACAGTAGCTGGTAGGAAAATCTCCAATTTAAGATTTGCTGATGACACTACACTTAAAGCAGCAAATGAGCAAGAAATGTTTAATCTCCTACGAAGAGTTGAGTACTAAAGCAATAAAGTTGATCTGAAAATCAATAAAGCTAAGACAAAAATAATTCCACACTATTCAACTGACTAACATGTTACAGGAATATCAGATAGTGGACAGTCTTGTTTATCTCGGGTCTAGTATAACTAACGATGGTAACTGTGAAGTAGAAGTTCGGAGACGTATTGGTATGTCAAAAAATGCAATCGGTCGCCTAACTAAAGTTTGGAAAGACAGACATATCTCTCAAAATATCAAGATGAGACTGGTGAATGCCCTTGTATTCTCAATATTTCTATACGGAGCAGAGACTTGGACTCTTCGCGGACGCGAGCGCCAAAAAATTGATGCCTTTGAGATGTGGTGCTGGAGAATAATGCTGTGCATATCTTGGACAGCTCATAGGACAAACGTTTCCATTCTAAACTAACTCGAGATTAAAAAAAGGCTGTCCACAATATGTCTGCAACGTATTATGCAATTTTTCGGTCACGTGGTTCGCAGAGGTGACGATAGTTTGGAGAGATTAATTGTTTCTGGAAACGTTCCGGGGAGAAGATCAAGAGGACGATCTCCAACTAGATGGTCCAACCAAATTAAGAATTCAGCTGGAAACTCATTCTGCGAAGCTGTCAGAGCAGCTGCAGATAGTGACCTTCTACTTAAGGTGACTTCTCCATTACTGAAGGTTGGCTATAACTACAGCAAATTGCTCTCTATCTTGAGCTGTTCTTAGTATCGAATGTGTGTCCATGCCTGTCAAGTCTCTTACATTCTTCAACCAGGAGCATTTTCTTCTTCCTGGACCTCTTCTTCCTTCCACTTTCCCTTCCATTATAAGCCGTAGGAAGTTGTATTTTTCTCCTCTGTAAATATGTCCTAGATAACTCGTTTTTCTGTTTTTTACAATATTTAGGAGTTCTCTCTCAGTACCCATTCTTCTTAGCACCTCGTTGTTGGTCACGTGCTCTGTCCAAGAGATCTTCAGCATCCTTCGAAAAACCCACATCTCAAAGGCTTCTATACGCCTCATACTTGTAATTCCGAGAGTCCATGTTTCCACTCCGTATAGCAATATGGAATAAATAAACGTTTTTACAAATTGGTATCGGATATCCAACGATAACGTAGAGTTTATTAGGAATTTTTTCATTCGTTGAAATGCGGACCTAGCATATTCTACACGAGCACGTATTTCGACCTCGTGGTTAATATTGTTTGTTGTACAAGTGTAACAGCCATTACTTTTGTTTTATTTGTGTTTATATTTAGTCCCAAGCTATCTCTCTCTCTATTGCAGGAAATGAGGAAGCTGACAGCCTCGCAAAAGAAGGAGCTAATACCCCATTCCAGGGTCCGGAACCCTTCTGTGGACTATCGAAAAGCCACATCAGAGAGGAACTCCGTACCTGGGAACTCAATCAACTAAGATCATATTGGTCTAACACACCAGGACAAAGGCAAGCAAAAAGGCTCATAAAAGTGTCGCCTACTGCAACAAACCGCCTTCTCGAAATGAGTAAGAAAGATATTAAAATGGTCACTGGCCTTCTCACTGGTCACTGCCCTCTGAGATATCATCTCAAGAAGATGGGCAAATCAGATAGTGAGAACTGTCGTTTCTGTCACAATGAAAAAGAAACGGCAGAACATATACTATGCAACTGCGTAGCACTGTTCTGCAAACGACTAAAATTCCTAGGAGAGGTGAGTCTGGCGTGCTCTGACATAGGAAACAAGTCACCTAGGAAGCTAATCAACTTCATCAGAAGTATTGGCATTCTAGAGTTTAACTAGATTAAGGTATGCACAAAAGATCTGTATAGGTCGAAGTGCGGTGAGGCCGCACGGCCTTAACGACCTCACATAATCTAATCTAATCTCTCTCTCTGGTTGTTGGTCAAAAGTTGTTGTAAACCCTCAGCACTGTCCGCAATAATGACGGTGTCGTCTGCGTTTCTTAAGTTGTTTACGTATTCTTCGTTGATTTTTATTCCTTCTTCAATATTTTCGAGAGCATTTTGAAAAATCTTTTAGGAATATATATTCAGTGGAGAACGTACACAGCCCTGACGAACTCTCTTTTTATTGGCAATTCTGCTGTCAGTCGATTGTCTATTTTGATCGACGCCATTTGATCCCAATATAGTTTTTTAATAAGTGCTGCAGTGTTATGGTCTATACCATGTTGTGTTAGAGTTTCTATGAGTTCTGTGTGTTTTACTCGATCAAACGCTGTTTTGTAGTCGATAAAACGGAGAAACACGTCTTTTACCCATGGAGAAAAGCCCCATACGAAATCTGAATTGATTCTCGCTCAGGTTTCGTTCGCATCCTCTATATATTCGTTGATGTACAATTTTGAGTAAAATTTTAAGAAAATGGTTCATTATTTGCTTTATTTTTCTTGGGTATATAGGTATACATGTCGATCTAAGCCAATCTTCTGGAAAGATTCCAGTGGTATATATTTTGTTAAATAATAGTGTTAACGTCTGAAGATTTTCTTCATTGATACGCTTTATCATCTCTACGTATATTTCATCTGGACCTGAGGCTTTTCGTGGCTTTGCCGTATTGATTGTTTTTGTAACTTCCGATGTTAATATATCAAGTATTGTTTTTTGTACTATATTCATTTGTGGTTCTGTTCTCTCGTCATCAAACAGATCTTTGATGTATTTTTCCCACATATCTCCTACATTTTCTGGACTATATACTATTTGGTTGTTATCATCTACTAAAGTTGTAGTGATTTTTTTCTTCATATTTGTGACTTACTTAATCTTTTTGTATGCATTAAAGTAGTCATGCTTTTTTAGTAAATCTCCCAGTTCCTCACAGTTGCTGCTCATCCATTCTTCTTTGGCTTTCCTGATTTTGTTTCGGATGATTCTCTGGGTTTCTTTATATTTTTCTTCATTGCGATTTTTGTAAGATCTCCTTATGTCCATCAGTTCTAGGACTTCTTCTGTCATCCATGTATTCTTTGTTTTTCTGATGTTGTCTTGTAGTTGTTCTCTTTGTATAGTTGTGATTGTTGTTTTGAAGGTGTGTCAAATACTTTCTATTGTTTCTTCTGCTTCCGCGGGTGCTTCACTGAATTTTTCTTTGAGTGTATCATTGAGTGTTTTCTTTATTTCTGCCTGTACTATTGGATCCTTAAGTTTTTCGATGCTAGGTTTTATCTTTTCTCTATATTAGATTTTCTTTGGTTTAATTGAAATTTTACCAACAACAAGATTGTGGTCGGAACCGATGTCCGCCCCGGGATATGTTTAAACTCCCCTGATTCAATTTCTATAACGTTTGTCAATTAATATATAATCAATCTGGTTTCTTATTATGCGGTTTTGATTATCGCCAGATGCTTTCCATGTATATAATCTTCTTTTTAGTTGTTTAAACCAGTTGTTTGCGATCATTAGATTTTCTTCTTGGCAAAATTGGACCAGTATTTCTCCTCTATCATTTCTTTGGCCCAAACCAAAGTTTCAGGTAGAGACCAATGGAGAAAAATTATTAGGAATATTGAAAGAAATGACGATTCTCAGAAATGGGAAAACGACAAAAGAGACATATAATATAGAATTTATTCATCATTTACATTTTTATTATTATCTTGTATTTATGTTTAATTACTTTATTTTAATTATCATTGAAAAGTGAAAAAGTAAATAGACGTGAAGATAGCCACGTTTTAGTGACGCCAATCTAAAGGAGTGTATATAACTTTTGAAAATGAAATTGATATTTTTATTAATTTTCTTACAATTTGATCATATCTTTTAAATCTTCCTTGGACTTTAAATATGTCAAAATCAAAATTAGCCAAATCGATCCAGTCGTTCTCAAGTTGTTATAAAAAAGGTTTAAAAAAATAAAATGACGTTTGTTAAATGTCAATGTATACAGGCATACTGAGTGATGCACAAATTATTAAACTCCATAAAAAATTGTAAATAAAAAAGGAGTTGTTGTAGACAACTTCTCTTTTCACTCAATTATGCCAAAGCAACGTTTAAAGTTATAACTTTAACGCTTTTATAAAAAATATATAAAAAATAATGTAAAATTAATTATAAATACGAAAAATATTTCAAAAGTTTAGCTAACTTACTTATTCGAAGGATTTAAATTAAATTGAACGTATTCCACAGCACACGGCAAAATTAGCTGTAATTCTTCGGATACAGCTCCTATGCTATTGCCCTTTAGTTTACATCCTTCCAGCACATATAATATACCATATAAACTTGATATTCTAGACGTTAAGTATGGGCTTTTTAGATACTGTACTAACATTTTCTTTAAGTTATCAAATGTTTCTAAATCCTGTAAAGTACAAAATTAAAGTAAAAAGGTTAATTTTTTATAAAATTTATTGATAAAAAAGAATATGAATCGAAATAAACCTCCCCTAATTATTTTTAACAATTTTCATGAGCAGGAGTAAAATATTACATATTATTTAGAAGCCTTTTTCATGTAAAAATGAATCCGTTATCAAAATTGGTCTAGATATGATAGTTTATTTTTCAGTTAAACCAACATAAGTTTAATTTAGTATAAAAAACATAATTTAAAACTGTGAGGTCACAACCAAATAATAGATTTCAAGTATATTTCATTACCCACTTGGACACCGTAGCTTGATGTTAGATGGTTTATAATACAAAAGATCTGAATACCATAGTTTCCAAGTCTTTTAATGATGAAAAGGTTACCAATGTGAGTCCATAGCACAAACTCACGCACACAGAGGCACACAACTCAGTTGTGTGCGTCTGTGTGCGTGAGTAAAACTATATGCTCCTATGTTGTCTCCTTCAGCACTTGATATACATACTATGATTTAATTATGGCAGAAAATAGAAAAGACCTTCAGAGGATGCTGTACCAATTGTATACCACTGTCTTAAAGTATAATATGAATAGATCCATAGAAAAAACGAAAAATATGGTACATAATTGCAAAAGAAAATATTTGTAGCAAACTGGCAATTGAAGACAAGATATTTGAGCAGGTCGTGGATACTGACTATCTAGGAATTAAATGATCCACAAATCAAAAATAGAAGAAGTGGTATGACAACAAATAACTACAGCAATACAATATCTGGATGTTTAGGAAACCCTATATGGAGAAATAAGAAATCCTGAAGTGAAACGCAGAATATATAAAACTATGGTTAGAGCAGTCATATCATAATCTTTTGAAACTCGAAATGATATAAAGAGACTATTGAGAACAACAGAAATGCTTCGTAGAATAACAAATAAAACATTAAGAGACAGGGCGAAATAAAAAATGTAAGGCATATGTACCAAATCGAAGGAATAAAAGGAGGGTGGATCAAGAAAAGAAATACTGACTTGATATAACATATAAATAGAATGAAAGAGAATAGAATTGTAAAAATTGCGGGAGAGAAATCAGCTAATTAAAGACGATCTACAGGAAGACCAACAAAACGATGGTGAGAAAATCTTTGAAACCGAGGAATAACAACACGAATGAAAAGTCTTGGATATGTAGAAAAATCAGAATATAGAAGATTCAGCTAGAGGGAGTCCGTTAGAAAGCAAATATGTATATACCTAAAATTTGTCAGAAAAATTCAGTTAAAACAAATGGCTAAGTTTAACTTACCGGTGATAACACAGCTGCAGCTTTACATATTCCTAAAATTAAATACTGGTACAGAAACTCATCTTCCGAGTGATGGATCTTAAATAGTTCCAGAAATACTTCCATCATCCATGAAAACTGAGATTTATCGGTAAATAGATCCGAAATCATAATTGTTGATCTAACGGCTTCGTGAAGAACTCGTATATGTGTATGAGACTAAAATATATTAAATATTTATAGTATAGGACTCAATATTAACCGTAATAAGAAAAGCAAAACGGTATAAGTAATAGAAATCCTACAAAATTGAAATTAAATATACTACAATTAAATATAAATATTGTTGATTAATATAAGGTTGAATGCTGGAATAAATGATCAAATAAAAGGCAAATATCGAGCACAGTTTAATTAATTTAATCTTGCCCAAGTACTTTCGCTCCCTAGAGCATCTTCAGGGGCATCTGAAATAAGCCAAGAAATGTTTTTTTTATTTACTGAAGAAATTAATTAACTTCGATAAAAACTCAAAGTTGATGGTTGATAAAAGTAGGAGATTACAAGATTACAAGTTGGAGATTACAAGGGAAACAAATGGAAACTCTCATCAAAAGACTCACTGTGTTAATAATCAAATTAATTTAAATCGTACTAAATTTAAACCTATTTTTAAAAACTTTATTACAGCTTCACCTCGTAGGGGACCCAGCTCGGCTGTTTAGACTTCCTGCACTGAGTATATCCATTAAGAATTTAATTTCATACTTTGATCAACATTACTATTTTATTCTTCAATAATTTACAAAACCAGCTTCCTCAGGTTCAATTGATCTATAGCTGGCGTTATTTACACTCTCCACACCTCTTTGTAATTTAGATATACCATCTCCTCAGTTGTATATTTCAACTTCTGTTGCGTTACTCAAGACCAACTGACCAACAACCCACTGTTGGTCAGTTGGTCTTGAGTAACGCTTTGACATATTAATTTTATAGTTCTCCCATTGACTGTGGGTTCAACTGAACTACTTGGATTATATTCCATTTATATACTTTGCTTTCAATTTTGATTTTTAATTTTTAGTATTTTAATTACATAGTCAGATTTCTTCTTTTCTACAGTACTGATAGTGCTTGGTAGACCATTTTATTGTAGTCAACTACCCACTGTCTAATATATTGTTTAGTCTATTTCTTGCATTCATACTTTACGTCGACTTCAGTTGCTCTCAAACTAACACCCTAATTATTATAGACAGGTTTGAGTGTGAGATCTGGATTAGTCAATCTACTTAAAAATATTCTATATAATTTTATATTTCATCATTTGACTTCCTATAGTAGTTTCAGTTGGACCTTTGGTCAATGCTTAGTTTCATAGAATTTTGAAATGTGCAGATCACATATCTATGATTGTGACTGCCCATCCAAGCTGTCATATGTCACATGTTACCTCAACATTTCCGTTAGACCGGGAGCCATTCTGTCTCCGGCTTCTATACACAATGTAGCTTCGCCTATTTTTTAAAATTTTAAAGTGTTTGTCCTTGTGTAGTGTAGTGTGATGTACCATTTTATGTTTATAACATTTTATTCTTGTCGGATAGGCCACAATTGACGAAGTAAGTCTAAAACGTTAATCACATAAAAACTTTTATCAACCATCAACTTCGAGTTTTTATCGAAGTTAATTAATTTCTTCAGTTAAAAAAAACGTTTATTGGCTTATTTCAGATGCCCCTGAAGATGCTCTAGGGAGCGAAAGTACTTGGTTCTCAAGTTCCCGTGCACTCCTTCAGTTGTGGTTTAAATTATTTTCTTCCTTTAGTACAGTTCTTGCAATAAAAAAAGAATCAATTAAAAAATTACTTACCTGTGGTCTCATCAACTGAGTATAATAATCGATTAAAAACTGTAAACAAGAATTCACATCGAGGCCCATGGACTCCAATTTTTGTGTTCGCTGTCTACAAATTTCTGCAACCATAATATTGTCTTGTGTTTCTTCCACTGAAGCAGTAGCTACCAATAAATATCTAATAGATACTTGCCCGCATGAGTACCTATCGGATGATTTCTCTAAATTGCGTAAATTGAAAACGTTTACAATTTTATAATCGTCAGAAACATGGGAAGAATTATTGTAACTGGTTTGTATGCAGTGTTGAATCTTCTTCAACTTTTGAACACTGAAATAAAAAATCACTATAAGATTGAAATCAGAATTTTTAACGTAGACAGCATATTAGACCTTTCTAAAAAAATTCGGATTTGAAATCGGCAAATATTCACAGCTTGCTATCACTTCCAGTTATACTGGAAATCGGCATCAACTTTGTTACATTTAATGAAATAGAAAACTCTTATATTGTTACAAATCTTGATCTGAACCTCCGCGTGATCCAGATATTTTAGTATAGAAGCGAGCGATATGTTTGGAATAACAAAAATCAAATTCGGAGAAATGCATAGAACTTGCTAGAAATGAATTCTTACTTGGAAAAGGTCGGTTTATTTTATGTAGAAGTTTATTACTCTTTTAATGGGAATAAGCCACAATTAAAGTTTAAAATAAGTTTATTTACGTTTCAATTTCCATTTCGTAAATCGTTCTCAAAATACAAACATTCTTCTAATAATTTAAAAACCTCACTACCTATATCGGCGACAATCAGTCGTTGTCCTTTATCCGTTGGTCCTCGTAACCCTATTGATAAACCATCCGCAAATGCTTGACGATAACTCGTTATAGTAGTATCTTGCCAGATCTTAGATACTGTTTGACCAGCATTTCGACCTACGTTTCGTCCATATAATAAATCTTTTTGTGGCAGAACGAACCTCTCTAATAGAGCGAAGATATCTTCGTCGCCATGAGACTATATCTTCTCTTTCTATTAAGACAGATTTACGGGATCGTTTGGCATATATAAATTTTAAATCTTTTATTATTATCCTTAACGTCTCTTGCTCATTTTTGGAATGAGATCATTCTCCATTACCTTTGTCCTAATGGATTCGAGGGTTGGCGCTTTATTCTCAAAAAATAAAGAATGAATAGTAGAGCGTACAAATTTTTTCTGATACTCGTCCAATTCAATTTTTTTTCTACCACGACAATGTACTTTTGGAGCTTGCACAATCCAGTCACTTTTTTCACGTACAATGTGTTCTATTGTCGACACGGATACTCCCGTTAAAAATGAACACTGAGCTACAGCTTCCACTGTACGAAGTGTATTTTTTAAATTTTCATACACTCTACAGACAATCTGCTTTTCTTCTACCGACATAAACTTCCGCTTTCTTTGTACATTACTTGGACCCACTATGGCATCCATCTTAATGCTATAAAAAGAATAAACATCAATCATAATATTCTGCTATTTATTTGTTGTTTACTTACCTCAAAAACTATTTTAAAATTAATAAATAGAATAAAGTCTATTTAATAAATATAAAACAAAGTCACATGCACTAGAAACTAACTAATAGAAACTAGAAATTTAACATTTTTGCCGTTAGCTCTCAGTTAAATTTGTAGATGAGTCACCTTTAATTGCAAATTGTTTGATATAGCGTAACCATTTCGAACCGTGAGTTTAATTTTCTTTCATCAGGCATCAAAAGTTTAGATGAATTGAAAGTATTAAAACATTTTACAGAAAGAACAAGTATGTAGAGGTAGTGGATTTTCTAAACGGCTATGAGTCATGCATACGTAAAAATACGGAAGTGGTAGAGAGTAAAGAGTCAAATTGTCTATTCGTTTCAAGCCAACTTATTTGATTGGCAAAAAACTGTGTTCTACATTTAAGTTAGTTAATTTCATTTCAAAATTTTTACTTTTAGTGAAGTAGTCAGTTGGGTTTCAGTAAGGCAGTTTCAAGGCAGTCAGCCAGCCATTATTTATGGAGAAGGTAAGTAATTTAGAATAATTATTATTGTTATTATTAGCAGTTACAAAAATTTCGAAGTACCTTTTCTTAATAACATTACAATTAGTTTTAAGGAAAACAAAGAAGTAGTAGTAGTAGTAGATAACAAAGACAGGGGTATCCCAGTTCTTCTCGATACCAGAGCAGCAGGTCAAAAAATGCGTTTATTTGGTCTTTTTCAATTTTCTCGCCATACCTTGACCTCCAATACTCGGTTGGCTTCTCTATTGGTACTTATTATTATTTCTTCAACCATTCCCAGTCACAAATTTATTCCAAGTATCTTTTGAAGACAGTATTTCGTTTCTTACTTTCGGTCCCGCCGTCAAACGAATTATGTTGTAGATTTTTGTTCTTCCTTGTAAGGGAGGCGTGGATCTCCACGCCTCCCTTATAAGGAGGAAGCACAGCAGTTGTTAAATAATGTACCTGCTGTTTCAATTGTCGAATTATTTTGATTCAAGTTCATATCACTAATCGAAGTTTTTGCGGACTACTCGTCTGAGTTAGTGTCTTACGAACTCATTATATGCATTATAGCGGTATGAATGGAAATTATTTTTTTTGAGTGTTTTTTTTTGATAAAATTATTTATTTTTTTATATTAACAAACAGGCATACATGTAAAAAACGCATTCCTAAATAGGCAATTGTTGGAATGGATTTAATTATATTTTACGATGATGTAAATGTATGATTGACTCTCAGACTCATGTTTTGCATCCTACGGCTAAAGTTTATTTTAAATGGATTTATAAAATCTACAGAATACAATAATATTTACCCAATGCTACACTCGCTGATGTTTGAATTCCTGGGAATATGAAGCATTTCAGATATATTTGGATTCCCAACTACTGGCAAGGCCAGGGTTTGTAGGAGAAGTGTTGTAATTGATTTAATAGCTAAAGTGGAAGCATGTAGAACATCGTTTAATACCAACGGCTCTAAATCTTCAGTTGGAGCACACAAAACACTTAACAAGCACATCCATGTTTCTTCAAACTGCTGCCTAGAGGTCCATCCCAATAGATTTATCCTAAAATGTTGAAATAAAATTTTAAAAAACTAGCAGACATATCCAAATGTTAGTATTAAAAGTAACATTAAAAGTAAAAGTAGTTGTACAAAACTAACAGCTAAGTATACTCTGTTCACTGAACTCAGTCTTAACTGTTCAGTACAGAAGAGTAAATTTAGTAATTAATTTCTTGCTTCTTCTTCTTCTGAGAGTGCCGTCTCCCTACGGAGGTTAGCAATCATAGTGGCTATTTTTTGAACTTACTGCTCTAAACAAATCAATCGATCTGAATTCATACCAATCAAGTAGATTCTTCAACCATGAGTTCTGCCTTCGACCAACAGATCTTCTTCCTTGAATCTTTGGTTCATGGTATGATCATTGGTTTCATTGATCAAAGTTCTAAAGTACTGATATTTTTCTACTTGTTCTATCACGATACCATTGATTGTCAATAAGCGATGTATATTTTGTGGCCTTTTGGTAATTAGCATGTACTTCGTTCTTTAAGCGTTTATAGTAATTAATATCTCAGCACCATTCATACTTAAGCTTTCGATAAGATGTTGTAGATCTTCTATACTCGTTGCTATGATCACGGTATCGTCTGCATGTCGTAAGTTGTTAATTAATTTTCCGTTAACGGTAACTCCCACTTTGATATTATTGAGCGTGTTTTGGAAAATTTCTTCAGAATATAAGTTCAACAAAAGTGGCGATAAAACACATCCCTGTCTAACCCCTCTAAAGATCCTCATTTCTTCTGAGTGTTGCCCATCAATTTGAACTATGGCACTTTGGTTCCAATATAATGATTGCACTATATTTATGATTTTACTGTCAATGCGCTTGTTCATAAGTATTGATATTAGTTTTTCATGTATTACTTTATCGAAAGCTTTTTCGTAGTCAACAAAGCAAAAGTGTAGATCAACGTTTACATCCCGGCATCACTGAATCAATTTTTTGCTACGCGGGTTAAATTTTGTATCCAACTGGAAGTGGCTAAAAGTTACTATACAACTAATAACACCTGCTTATAGCCAATATCAATTGCAACTTAAAGTAAAAAATAATTGATATGCACTTTATTAACAAAATAAAACTGCAAACTGTTTTATTTCATTATTCAGATTACTCCCCCTTTTTTTTGTCAATTGCAAAGTCTGCAACAGTAAGTTTATTTCAGCTATTAATAAGGTTTGGTAGGAATTTTTGAGTTGTATCTTTCTGACAATGAGTGTCAAAATATTACCAACTGTGTAAAACGACTATATTAAAACTAACAATTCGGTGTTGATAACTAAAATAAAAAAACTCACTTTCGAATTATTAGACTTATGAATGAAATATGTACCAAATTGTGTTTGATTATTATGTGCCATTATGTACCAAAGTATATTAATGAAAGGACGATTTCTTTCCAACTCTGTTTCCAACACGGTTTCTTTTTACGACACAAATTTTTAATACTCTGAATTATGTTCCTATTCTGAAGAAGTCTGTGTATGTATACACTGTATATTACATATACTTATGTATGTGTATGCATATATATTATTGAAAAAAATATATTGTTGTTGCTGTTTTGATAAGCGTATTAGATAAAGAGGGCATCTTGCACTAATTCTTAAAAACCATTATCAGCATAGCTTTTGTTTCTATGGTTTTAACGTCAATTGTAAATCGTTTATGTAGTGCTGTCAGTGTCAGTGGATTGTAATGAGCATAAGTTCTGTTGTGGCGTCAAGAATTGTGGCGAAACTTCCAGAAACGTTGGTGAAAGTTTCTCGAGTCTGTACAAGTATGGCGAAAGTACGAAGAAATTGATTTATTTACTCAAAGACCAGGTCCAGGTCAAGACAAAATTACAACATTTTTAGTGCTTTGAGAAACCGACCGGTCACGACAGTTTCCCATCGAAATCACCTGCAAGAAGTGAGAAATGTAAACATAGGTGAGTAGACAGTAAAAGGCGACCTCATGCTGCTGGTTTGCGGGGTTGTGGGCGAATTGCCAGATTGAATTTTTCACAAGAACACTTGGCTTGAACAGTACAGGATTGTAATTGTGTAATGTTTTCCAATCTGTCTTATGGACAGAATCGTGAGAAACGTGCCAGTGTGGCGACGTCCAAGCGAGAGTTCTGCTCAAGCATAAGTTGCCGCGCGACTTCCATATGTTGGCGGATCAGTTGTGGCATGGGGACGCATATCGTTTGACGAACGCACAGAATTAGTCTTTATCGAGAGTGGGGCATTAACTGCTGACACGGGTTCTAAAAGACCATGTTTTACCGTTTATCGTTATTCTTAGAGACGACGCAACATTTATGCATAATAATGCATGGCCCCACACTGGTATGCTTACCGAGTATCTTGACGAGGTTCAAATCACACGATTTGATTGAACTCGCAGTCCAGATATCAATCCCAACAACCTAAATCAAAGAGATGAAGCTCAAAAGCTTCCAATAACATGGATAACGGTGTTATATAAGAATAAAAACACAATTCAGGCAAAATGACCGTCGAGTAGGACCCCGTCTACCAGAAGGGTCTATCAGAAGTCTAAAGCGCCAGAAGAATGATTTAGTGGTGATCGAAATATTACTTAGTCATCTATCTTCTACTAATACTCTAGTTACTCTAGTATATTAAAATTAGTAACTAAATAATATTTTCTTCGTTATTTCTTAGTATTGTTACGTAAAAATGAGTCATATTAAAACCTGTAAACATGTTGTTTATTCACTAATATGTTCTAGATTTTACGACCCTTCGACTAGCTGGCAGAAATTGCAAGTACTAAAAACCGGTCCATTCGAACGTTCCGGAAATAGGTTGAATGAAGAAACCAGTCGTAACCTTCTAGTATTTTCGCCAGGTCAACATACACGGGCTTCGAGACACTCTATACCAGACGAGAAGGCCATTGACTCTTCTTGTCTAACAGATGTTTTCATATAAATACCGGGACTTTCATTGTGGGGAACCAGTAAAGAAGATTATTTACCGCGCCGCGTTTTAAATGTAACGTAGTAATAAAATAAATTATGTAGTTACTATTGTAAGATAAATTAGTATAAATAAACTTTAAATTAAGTTGTAAGTGTTATAAATATAGAACCTTTGATAAATAATAAAAACAATAAATTAGAATTTAATAAAGACCTAACAGTATACTTACTTTTGCATAAATCTATAAAATATTGCTACATTCAAGGAATTTTTACACATAATTAACTAACCTGAAAATATATTCCTGAAGAACTTCTATATCTTGCAACATATCTATAGGTAGTGCTGCCACACTAGTACCAAAGGTCCCATCCATAGTATCGGGTTGCCAGCCTGTTTTCCAAGCTCGTTGAGGTATTAAAGAATAAGAATTAACTAGCGGCAGCCTCGCCAAACAAAATGTCAAACTTTTGATTCTGTTAAACAAAAAATCGGGTATTTTAGTCGTGTTAGACAATTTTAATTCGAATAGCCAACAGGTCAAAGTATATAACTCATGTGTAGCCTGAATCATTGGTATCGAAGATTCGTTTTCTTTTAGATTGTACTTGGGAACTGTTAAAAGTGGTCTATCACTTCTTAATAAAGTATTTACAAGACTGTACACACTATTTATACTAGAACACAACCAAGTAGCGTTGGAATCTAATTCTAAAAAGTTACAGGTACTGATGTTTCTTAATATGGTATCACAACATGTTAAACATATATCCGTCAAATGAACCCTAAAATCTACGTTCTCAGATTCTAAAAATCGCATGTATTCTAAACAGAGAACAGAAAATTTTGCTAGATCTTCTAAATTATTGTTGGACAGTTCATAGGAAGAATTTGCAAGAATATGTTTAGAAAATAAAGGTATAGACATTGCAACACTATAAAGTAAACTGGAAAATTCGTGATTGTCAAAAAGTTCGGTCATTTGTTTGGTATATAATGATTCCGGAGCTGATGGAATTCTTTCTATTGGAGAGTAAACCTAAAAAATAAAATTGATTTGTTATAAAATATCGTTTTTTGCATACACCAGAATCAGAAGGCAAAAAAATCAACATATTACGAGGTCTAACAACTAAATGTCAGGACAAACGAAAATTTAATGAATACGTTCATCTTCACAACTTTGCTTATTAAACCAAACAACGAGATCAACAATACATTAAACTCTATCATTAAAAACAAAATATTGAAATGGTTCAGTCTCTATAAACCTTGAATTGCAGTGTTGGCGGCAAAATAAACGAAAATGTTGCATAACATCTTAACCATTAAATGTTCGAACAATTCAGGATATTATTACTGCCATATGAGATTACTTTACAACCGCGGCAATTCTGTCTGGTATTGTTCGTACTAAGGATTTAAACAAGTTAGTGTCGAAACTATCTCGTAATTCGCCTATGTTACTTTTCAAATCGACGACAGTTCTCTGGGGATTATTACGCAATCTCTGTTTTATCTTATGCCACAATGTCTCAATAAAATTAGGGTCTGGACTATTATAGGACCATGAAAACACTTTAACCCTTAACCCGAAGCATAGTACTTTTATTGATAATGCGAAACATAAGGTTTATTGGACCAGTATAGGTAAAAATTGAAATAAATCAAAAACAAATGTAGCATTTGAAGAGAAAAGCAAAATATTAAAGGGTTTATTAGGTATAAACTATTGCGGACATGCTATTGTCAAATCTAAGACACGACAAAAGTATTTCAAATCTTTTCAAGGACATCGTCATTCTGAATATTGGTCGACCCAAAACATCTTTAGAAAACAGTTGAAGCATATCTTCATGACAAGATTTTATAATTGAAGATAACAGAAAAAGCCCAAACAAGGCCTTCAACTCAACTATATTTGTGCTTCTGTAGTTTGATGTATTAGTCGAATCCGTAGTTAGAATCTATGGAGAAGCTATGAGCATATTAACGTATGTATTAAAAACGGCGTAGGTAGGCGTGGCTAACGATGATACCAATATGGCGGTGGGATCAGGGCCAGACTCAATAATATTAAAACTACTATACAAATATGACTAGTTATTCAATAGATTTAATCATAATCTAAAAAGGTGCAATACATTTTTAATAAACTATGATTTATTTATCCCGCGGTAAACACTAAAAACACGATATATTATACACCAAGATAAATTAATACAATCAAATACTATAAATTTACTCTCTGAAGTACGGGCCATTACTTTGTTTACATATTTGTATACTAACCTACGTTGAGAACAAGAAACCATTATTATGCACTATCACAATATATTATTACAGTTTCTATAAAAGTAATACAAAACTAAAAATATTCGAAAACAACAAATGTAAACAAACATATACGATCTGTCAAAAGTGTCAAAACAATCTTAACAATATGGCCGAAGTGAGGTCGTTTTTAGTCACGTGATTCCCTCTACATAGATTCTAACTCGATGGTCGAATCAGATAACTTTTCTCTCGTTATAATAATTTTTTGGTTTGTCCATGTTACAATTTGTTCCAACATTTCATCAGTAATCAACAACTTCCAAATATCTGATTTAGAAGGGCTATTTCACATAGGCAAATGTAAAAGGCAGCAAAGTATCTAAAAATTTTGAAAAATAGTCTTGTACCAAGTGCTCACGATCTCCACCAGAAATTCCAGCACGATGGTGCAGCATGCCATACAGCTAAAACAACTAAGAAATGGTTTAGAGACAATGGTTTGAACGGTCCAAACCTTAATACTATTGAGACATTGTGGCATAAAGTGAAACAGAAATTGGGATATTTTCTACCCCAACTTGTGTAAATCCTGAGTACGAACAATGTCAGACAGGATTGCCGCGGTTGTAAAGACGCGTGACGATGAAACCCGATATTAAAATAGTAATTTCTTGAATTGTCCGAACATTTAGTTGTCACGATGTTATGCATCATTTCTGGTGCAGACGTATGATTTGCCAACTGAGCATTATGTATGTATTTTATGTGTGGGTGTTCTTTATATATGTGTATGTATTTTGTTCAACCAACAGTTCATGATATTCACACCTATGCTACAGCCATATATACTCATAAGACATTTCTTAATAGCCTGATATATATTTTTCTTTGTTTTCTTAGTTATATATCAGGCTATGATTCAGCCGGTGCTGACGTATGGGTCAGAAGTGTGGGTCTTTAACAATAATATGTCACAAAAACTCCTCTCAACGGAAATGATGTACTGGAGAAGATGTTCCGGGTTAACTTTGTTTGACCACATAAGAAATAAAAACATAAGAGAGAGAATGAAAGTAAAGAACACAATAATGGATACGATAGCCGAAAAACAATTAAAATGGTATGGACACCTGAGACGGATGAACGAAGAAAGGATACCACGAAAGGTTTGGAACTGGAGACCTACACAGAGAAATAAAAGGGGAAGGCCAAGAAAGAAATGGATATCCAATATTCATATAGAAATGGAAAATAGAGGTCTTCAAGAAGGAGACTGAGCCGATAAGAAATTATGGCGATTGGGATGCGAGAAGCGACAAAATTAAAGTTGCAAACACTCGCTATATATATATAATATATATATATATATATATATATATATATATATAATATATATATATATAATATATATATATATATATATATATATATATATATATATATATATATATATATATATATATATATATATATACATTTCTTAATAGCCATTGAGATGTGTCGTGTCGGAAACGACAACTTCCCGTACCAGTCTGAGGTTTTCTTTCCTTATCCCCATTTATCGTATTTTTATAATAATAACCAGTCAACGGTTCAACCGTTGGACCAAGTTATCCTTGTGTCGAGCAGAGATAAATATTTTCCGTTAAAGTGTTTAATTTTTAAAATTCAATATGTTTTTAATGTAATCTACAAGTTATTATACCTAGATATGTAGCTACTTTCAACTACTCTCAAGATGTTTCACTGATGATGGTCCGACTGGACAGAAAACGTTTTGAAGATAATTTTTATCCGTTTGGATCATTTTTAAATTTTTAATAAATATATAATATGATTACTTGATAAGAGGATTGAGAATTTACTATGATATTTTCCTTTGTCCCATTATTGAGAACTTGATTGTTGACTCCCTCAGATAGTAAGTTTAGAAGTTGTAAGAAATTCACTATTGCCATTTATTCGGTAAAGAAGAATGATATTGCTCTACTAACTTTTGGGGCACCTAGACGCTGTAATATTTCTGGTGTTCTTATCACCCGTTTCTTTATAGGAAAATTTTTTTGTCTGTTCATCCTTTGGATTATTCCTCGGTTTCCTACATTGACGTAACACATTTTTTAGGCCTTCTTATTTATCTTCTTCCAGTGTATGCTATATCTTTAAGTATTTTTATTAGTACCTTCGCTATGTGGTTATGTGCTTATTCCACTCATTTTTTTTTGTATTCTTGATCCATTTGTTAATTCCTTCGATTTTGCGTACCAATGCGCCTTATCTTCATTCCGGGCTCTGTCGCTTAATGTTTTGTTTGTTACTGTGGGAAGTACAGTATAGCCCAAAATAAACCGTACTGAACTTGTAATTATTTTATTATTTTTTTAAGAAATACATATTATTGCCACTTTATTACATGTTCTAAATGTACCCCTCCTCGCTCAAGACAGACTTCATACCGATGTTCCTAGTTTCTCGTCATGTTATGAGATAAGGGTTGTCCCAAGTAGCATACATTAAAGGATTGTGGTGCCCATTTAAAAACAGCAGTTTTAGCCATGCCCTAAATGTATGCGTCTGGAGATGTGAGATCTGTAGAATGTGAAGGATAAGGAAAGTTATTAAATCGTGTAATGAATCTGCTTAGAAAATGTCCCTGAAGAAATTGACGCATTGTGACAGCAGTATGGCAGGTTGTTCCGTTCTTCTGGAAAAATTGGTCTTGAAATGCCAAATTAGATGCACGACAGAATTGACGTAGATCAGGGATAAGTCGTGTTTGTAACGCTTATACGTGTGTGTAAAGTTTTGTATAGACCTTGTTTTGTTTATTAAACCGTTGTGTGAATTGATCGCACGCATATCGCAGACGTTTCAGTACTGTTTATTTCGGGCTATACTGTACTATCATTTCTGCTGTTTCCACCAACCTTTCATTTAAGTTCGTGTCCCATCGTATCTGCGAATTGTACAATTTATCGGTAAAACCACAGTTTTATATATTACTAGCTGACCCGGAGAAGTTCGTTCGAAAATACTCACAAAATATTATGTATGCAAAAATTTGAATCAATTGAATGTTGGTAGTTCAGATTTATTTCCTAGGTGGTGCTAGGAGTTGTGTGACGCCGTATGAGTGTCGACCTTGTGTGACTTTTATTACATTAGATAGATTTACTTCTGCCGATGAATACTTATTTCTCGTATAGACATCCAGGTATTCTATTCTTTTTAATTATTTTTTACTTATCCCCTCCAGGGCTGTAGAGAAAAATGAATGCAACATTCTCATTTTCTATTATAATGATTGCATCATTGGCATTGCAAAGAATTTTCAGTTCGGTTAATATCCGCATTATGTATTTTGTGTTTTTACTTCATTATAAATAACATTCATGATCAAATTAACAAAAAGGGCTCAGTGTCCTTGTATTTTGCCTTTTTCCAATGAACTTGGTTTTATCATTACATGTCCCATTTTATAGAAATTACTTCGTGGTGCTTGTATGTTTTATACCGTTTTATCGTGTATATGCTATTCTATTCTAACATATCCATTCCAGGAATGAAAGATGGAATAAAGTCAAGATCGACCTGATCTGAATTTGTGCTTTAAAATTAGTCATTATAATTGAATATTTGGAATATTATATTGTAAGAGTATTTCCTCCATATTTGAGTTGCCTGGTTCGCTTTTTGCTCTTCCCCTAGTGATTTTAGACATTAGAGTTTTGAGTTATCTAATGTTAATGCTGTTTATTATTCAAGCACAGTATCTCTTGGGCTTGCCAATCTGTTGATATGATTAATAATCCGGTATCAACAACTCCTACTTTCTTATCCTCTTTCTTTTCATTAAAAGTAATTATTTAATACAATTTTATTAGTTCGATATTTAAACAAAGCTTACGAGTAATTTTATTGATAAATAATTAAATACGTCAAACCTACAATATCCACTTACCTGATGCGGTTCTGGAATTTTACAAACTACACTAGAAATGTCTTTTAGGAGACAGTCAATGCTTGCTCTTAGCAAATCGCATCTACCGTTTGTCTTTAATTTATCCACACCAATTAAACCTAATCTTAAACAGTCTTTTAAATTATGTTTATTAAATCCACTACTTGACATAAAACTGACGATTTCGTTGTACTCTAATTTAGATAACAACTCGGCCATTTCTCTGCCTATGTTTGAGTCCTTATATTTAATTTGAATTTGTGTTAAGTACCATTTTCTGTCGATTTTTAATTTTTTTATATATTCTGGATTTACTACACGTCGCTGTTCAAATTCTATTGGACTTAGATCGTAAAACTGTACAGACAATTTGTTCAGAAGGCTAACTAGGGTTTCATTCCTAAAAAAAATATTAACGTAGTTTTTATTAAAAAACAAAAAGACGAATTAAGATTAAATATACAAAACGAGAACTTACTTTTTAACTAAATTACAATTTACTAAATCTCTTTGCATTTTGACTAATTCCTCCTTTGACAATTGATTACTGACTTCCTCCATTGACAGAGTTAACAATTCTTCAATTTTTCTGTTAGCTATGTTAGAAGCCCTTCTGGAGACAGCTGCTTGGTGAAATTTAAGCATATGAGGAATTAGAAGATTTAAAACAGTGCCAATTTGTGATTGATGACAATTCTCTATACATTTTAGTGTTCTCACTTTAAAAACGGACTGAAATAAAATACACAAAATAATTTATACATGGTAGTAATCAATTACAACCAAAATCTGTTATAATGACATTCAAGTGACAAATCATATAGGCAGTAAAATATTGCCCGTCATATTTATAGTCACAACCGGTCCAAGTAGAAGTGCAATTGAAATTACCACCAAAGCAACAGGTAAAATCGTCGGCATTTTTTTATACTGATTCATTTCTATTCTAAACACATTGTAATCATAAAATCATTTTTCGGTCTTAGAGGCCTACGTGTGGAGTTTTTTTGTCTAAAATTTTGTCATAACTACGGTGATTCTGTTAGATATTTGAAACGATAGTTGCGGTTATCAACTCAGGGAAAGGACATGTAAAGAGAGGAAGAATGGATGAATTTTGAACTCTGGCCATGTTTTATTTATAAGATTAATTTCGGCTGTATTATTTTTAAGATAAACTTATTATAATAAACAGAGATCACAACGAATATTTGTTATAAATCATTTTAAAGTTTTCTTGTAGGGTGAACATCTGTAACTTTTCTGTTGTAAAATAATTGTTGAATTTATTTAAAAAAAAAAATGATTATAAAGTTTAATTTATTAGAAAACTCTCGTAAAATTCAACTGAAACCGTCAATATGATACATACATATTGGAAACAAAATAATAATCATAAACCTTACGTAATGACCTCATCAACGTGAAATAAGTATTCACCTAGGATATTAAATAAATATAGAATAAATAGCTCCGATGATAATAAGAAACTCTTTTTTTACAAGTTAAGTTTGTTTGAGCTACTTGAAATTTTTACGAAATATCAGTAAGACATGTCAGAAGGTACTACTAAGAAATCACTAGAGTAGAATAGACCAGAATTTCTGTGTCTGATTGACCCAAAAAAAAAGCGTTTGACAGAGTAAAACTCAAAGATCATCTTCTGTATAATATAGAAGTTCCGATATTATAACAACTATCGAAAACATTTACCAAAACAACAAAGTCAGAATAGAGGGACAACTTACATACCTATAGAAAGAGGCAGCGGAATAAGACAAAGGGGACTTTTTGAGCTGCATGCTCTTCAATTTTATCATGGATGAAATCATCAAAAGTGTTAAAAAAGGTAGAGGATACACAATGGGAAATAAAGAAATAAAAATACTCTGTTACGCAAACGACGCAATATTGATAGCTTAAGATGAAGATAGTCTGCAAAGACTGGTTCATAGATTTAACAGAAGAGCAAAAGAATTTAATATGAGAAATCTCATCTCAAGAAACTAAAACAATAGTAGTCAGCAAAGAACCAACCAGATGTAAAATAGAAATTGATAGCATCAGTATTGAACAAGTAATGGAAATAAAATACCTGGGAATTATACTATCCAGCTATGGAGACCTGGACAAAGAAGTGAGAGACTGGCAGAACGCCTTGAATAGCACTATATGGCGAAACAGACACATTAACACTCAGATGAAATCAAGAATTTATAAATGCAATATAAGACCAATAATGACATATGCCTCAGAAACAAGACCCAACACAGCCACAACGTAAAGGCAACTGGAATCGGCAGAAATGAGAATACTACCAAGAATTACTGGAAATACGCTGAGAGATAGAAAGAGAAGTAAAGACATTAGCAGAAAATGTAACGTACAGTGTACAAAAGAATGGGACATAAAATAAAAAAGAATGGAATAACCAACCACATAAGCAGAATGGAGGAGACCCATGTCGTCAAAACAGCAAGAGATAAGTCACCAATCGGCAAAAGAAGTATCGGACGACCGCACAAAAGATGGAGTGACAGCTTTTCATAAAGGTATTAATCCGCCAATGAACAAGCAGAATTACTTATAAAGAGCAAAAAGAAGTAGAAGAAGAAGGAGGTACTAAAAAAATATTGTTGCACTCGTGAGAGTCCCGAGAGAAGTGAAGATTTTTATACGCAGGCCTAAAAGACATGTTTTATAACGAAAAAAAAAGGTTAATAAATAAATAGGTAACTTATTTCTATAGTCAAATTATCACAGAGTTTTACTACAGAAGTTTTTGCTTCAAAAATTGATCAAGGGTTTTTAATAATAATAATAAAAATAATAAGGAAGGTATGTAAGGACATTGGACAAAATAACGGAATGTATCCGAGAAGTAAGAAGTAGACAAATCCTCAAGAGAGCTGAAGAAATTTTGCTGAACACTCTAAGATACTCACACCATCATCCACACACAACAACAACACACCTCAACAATGCCTAGACCCATTAAAACAAAAACTGCCGTTTACTCAGGCCGTCTAAAGAGATACAAAGTTAGCAACAACCGTAAATGGAACAATATACTTTTTAAACGCACAGAAAAGGCGTTTTATAGGAAACTTCCACTGTGAAAAATGAAAATAAATCATACCCAATCCAAGAAGAAATTCATGAGTTTTGGGGAAACTGGACCTGAATGAATTGAAGACACAACAAACAACTGTCAACATTACAATAATATTTCTTATGAACTCTTCACCACTTAAGAAGTCTCAAATACTATCAAAGTGCTTCATAACTGGAAATCTCCTGGACTAGATGGAGCTCAAAACTTCTGGCTAAAGAAGTTTTGGAGTATTCATGTTTGTTTGAGTGTTTGTCAGTGTTGATTAATCATGTTTTCCCTAATCCATACGAAATACCATTATTTATTACACAGAGAACCACTTATCTAATACAGAAGGATCCAAATAACACCCAACATCCAGCCAAGTACCGCCCAATTGCGTATTTTCCCACTTTGTACAAATTGGTCACATCCTGTGTAGCCCAGCGTATCTACCAACACTGTGCTCTAAACAATATCGTAGAGCCTCAACAGAAAGGATGCGCAAAGGGCTCCATAAGTTGCAAAGAACAACTTATTATCGACTCAGTCATTTCTAACCAAGAATACACCAAAAAGGAACCTTTTTACAGCCTTTATTGACTACAAGAAGGCCTCTGATTCAGGGCCGCATAAATGGCTTATAGATAAAATGAAACTATATAAAGTCAATGGTAATATAGTGACGTTTTTAAAGCATATAATGACGGAACGGAAGACTAAAACTTATCTTCAAATACCTGGCGAAAACAATATCGAAACTGAAGATATCCGAGTTAACCGGGGTCTTTTCCAGGGGGACTCATTGAGTCCATTTTGGTTCTGTCTAGCGATGAACCTACTTTCTCAGCTACTGAACTCCACTGACTCATATTTTAGCATTAAAAATAACAATATTGTTGTGGCGAAGCTTAATCATCTGTTGTATATGGATGATTTGAAATCAATGGCTTCCACTCGAAACTACCTAGATCAGATGCTAAAAACTGTAGAAACTTTCTCAAATGATATCAGTATGCACTTTGGACTAGACAAGTGCCGTATACTAAATATAGTCAAAGGGAAAGTTCGGCCCAGAGGTTTCGATATACAAGATGGACAAAACATCAAGGCGATAGGTGAAAATGATATGTACAAATATCTCGGAGTACAGTAAGCGCGAAAAATTAACCATAAACTAATGAAAACCGAACTAACTTCTGAGTTTGTGCGAAGAGTAAGACAGCTAAATCGGTCATATCTTAATAGCAAAAATTTGTTTAAGACCCTAAATACGTACGCCTATTTTGCGCTTAGCTACCCATTTGGTATTATCAAGTGGTGAAAAACGGATATAGAAAGTCTCCAGACTAAAGTAAGATAAGAACACCTCTCACAAAGGCACAAAAACATCATCCACACAGTGCAGTAAAGAGAATATTACTGCGGTATATGGGGAACAGGCGAGGTTATAGACATAGCTGAGCAACTGGATAAAAGTTAGCTAATTTAAGAAACTATTTTCAAACGTCATGACTCAGTAAGAAAGATTATTCACCACAAACTAGCTTACAAACCGGGACTTCTCCAAACGGACCATCTCTTTATTATCAATATGTCTTATGCCAAAGTTAGGCGAGGGGCGCAGACTGTCTGGCTGCATGTGCCTGGCACTATTGGAGAGGAAGAATTGCGAAATCACCGTGTGAATGCTGGAAAGGCATATTTTCGGGGGAAAATAATTGAAATGATTGTGAAATACACAAATAATTATAATGAGACAATACAAGCAATATACGCAAGACCGAGGTATGCCAAACCTACTGGCGTGGTTGAGTAAACAATTTTTATTAAGCTGCTGTACCTTGCTGAGGTTTTCAAGAGCAACAGATAGTCGTTAGAATGAATTGCGATAAATTGACAGCTGTCTGAGTCATCTTCGACTTATTTGTAAGTAACTGCCAAAAAAGTTTTTCAGACAGATGTTCCTTTATCCAATATATACCATCAAAACCAAATAAATACGGAATCAAAATTTATGCTTCGGTTGATTCCAAAACTTTCTATTTCCATAATTTAGGCATTAACTCAGTCAAACAGAGGGACCTTATATGTATAGTCAGAAATAAGCCAAAAGATGTGGTTATGAGACTTGTAGAACCTTTATTTTGGTCAGGGCATAACATCACATGCGACAAGTGGTTCACCAAAGTTGAACTATTACAGCCTCTAAAAGTAAAAATATTGCCTGTATTAGGCACCTCACGAAAAAATAAGCGACAACTTCCTCCTGAATTCGATAGCACAAAAGTTAGAGGTGTAAGCAGTAATTTGCTTGGCTAGAATAATGGAGGCACCTTGTTTCATATGTTCCAAAAAATGGAAAAAACGTGTTGTTAATACCAAGGATGCATAACGATGACGTAGTTGAACAATAAACAGGAAAAATGATCATGGATTACATTGCTACCAGACCTGGAGTTGGCGCAGTCGATAAATAATGCTAGACAATGTTGGTAGAAATGTACGACGATGGTCAATGGTCAATTTTCTTCGCTTTACCGAATGTTGCCCAGATCAATTCACAAGTGGTATTCATAATGGTAATATTTCAATTGGTGATTCGGCGAAAATTTAAGGAATCGATAGAAGGAACGAAAATATTTAAAATATTTGGTCTACGAATTGTGTTTGGAACAGCTCCAAGGAAGGAGCATCCAAACACCAAACGACAAATTAAAGAGATGGACAGAACACATCAATGAACTGTTCAAAGACAATAGAACGGAGCAGATGGAGATAGAAGTAGAAGAGGATATGGTTTTAAAGATATTAAAAGAGGAAATTAAAATGGCATTAAACAACAGTAAAAATGGTAAAGCAGTAGGTCCAGACCAAATCCCTATAGAAATCTTAAAATGCATAAATGATGAAAACTTAGACATTATAGTAGACTTATTTAATTTAGTATACAAAATAGGACACATGGTCCATGTGGACACACAAACAACAATGGTTACTCTCTACCTTTTGTGCTATCCCTAAAAATACAAACGCTAAATATTGCAGTGAATACAGAACAATATCACTGATAAGTTACATTCTTAAATTATTCTTGAAAATAATACATGGTCGTATAAATAAAACACTTGGAGAAGGAATAGATGATAGTCAGTTTGGGTTCAGAAACGGACTAGGAACCAGAGAAGCGTTATTTACTTTTAATATGTTAGCTCAAAGATGCATGGATATGAATGTTGATGCGTGTTTGTTACGTTGATTTTGAAAAAGCATTTGACAAAGTAAGACATGAAAAATTAGTCCAAATTCTAAAGACAAAAACATAAACCATAGGAACTTACGAATAAACAAACCTCTACTGGAATCAAAGAGCACAAATCGTAATAGATAATGAACCCAGTCCAGAAATTGAAATCAGGAGAGGAGTTAGACTGGGAAGTATTATGTCCACATTACTATTTAATGTATATAGTGAAGAAATGTTTGAAGAAGCATTACTATCTCAAAGTGAAGGAATAATAGTTAACGGTAGATCTATTAACAACATAAGACATGCAGATGACACCGTGATTATGGCAAGCTCTTCTGAGCAAATCCAATTACTGCTAAACAAAACAAACAGTTGCTGTGAAAAATATGGAATAAATATGAATGCCAAATACATGATAATAACAAAGAAAACAAATATACCAACACACATACATTTGGAAAATGTACCGATAGAAAGGGTTGATAAATACAAATACGTAAGGAACCTGGATTACAGACAATAATGATCAAACAACCGAAATAAAAGCCAGGATAGAAATAGTAAGAAATGCGTTTGTAAAAATGAAAACAATTCTCTGCAACAAAGACCTTAGATTAGAATTGAGTGTAAGAGCACTGAGATGCTACGTGTTTTCGATACTGCAATATGGACTTGAAAGCTGGACATTGAAGGAAGAACACATAAATAAGTTACAGTCCTTTGAAATGTGGTATTACAGGAGGATGCTTAGAATAGCATGGGCACAGAAGAAAACTAACACGGAAGTATTGCGAGAAATGGGCAAAGAATGCGAAATAATAAACACAGTAAAAATAAGAAAGTTACAATATCTGGGACACATAATGAGGGGACAACGATATGAACTGCTAAGGCTGATAATACAGGGAAAGATAAGAGAAGGAATGAGTATAGGAGGAAGGAGAGTGTCATGGTTGAATAATTTAAGGGACTGGTTTAAATGCAGTTCTATAGAACTCTTCAGAGCGGCAGTAGATAGAGTAAAAATAGTGATGATGATATCCAACCTCCGATTGGGATTTTTTTGTGATAATTATTTATGTAATTATTTAAAAATGATAGTTCAAAATAAAAATACAATCATTTTAAATTGAACAGTTCAGTTTTTTATTTTTGTTGTTAAGTTTCGGCAGAAATTTATTTTAAAACTCACAGATGAGATGCTCCCGAACGTTTTAGGATTTGTATTGCGCCCGACCGAATGTCAAAAAAGACGTCTATAAGAGGCGTAACTTATTATATATTTTTATGCAAGGATTCGTGTTAAGAGATTAATATTTAATTATTTTAAATAGAAACATACTTACAGATCGAGACTGTTTGACAGCTTCATATAAATTATAAATAAATCGTTGACTTAGCTGTGCAGATCTATGTACAAATGTTAAAAATTCTGATACTGGAGGTTCATGATGTAAGTCAATTAGAAGTGAAGAATTTATATCCAGAAACCAAGAAATATTATTGATGTCGGGAATATTTTCACTCTTAAATATAATTAGATCATATTATTATGCTGTGTCCAAAAAATTATTAGTATTAACTTACCAAAAAATCGCAAAAGGATATGGTGCTTCCATATTTCATAACTTCTAAATTTAAAAATTGGATTTTTTGACTCTAAAAGTGTTTCAATAATTAATAGATATTATATAAATACACACACACGCCTATATATATATATATATATATATATATATATATATATATATATATATATATATATATATATATATATATATTGTTATGATATTAAAATCAAGAAAATATCGGTTTGTCTAAAATATTTCAAGATTCAAAAACATTAAAATAATTCAGATAATTAGGATAATACCCAACAAACATTTCGAAGAAGGAAAATATTTAAATTTTTGGATTACCTGTATTAAACAAAATGTAAGCTAAGCATAAATTATTTCCTTTGTTATACTATACTTGAGTGACCCGCATAATTTTAAGTGAAATCCAAAGACAATTGAACCGGGTTTTTCCAAATACATTAACGCAGCGATTATAGACAATAGAAGAGATTTGGAAAGATGTTTTTGTTAGTTTTTAAGAATTATAGAAAAATATTATTTGTAAATAAGTTTTAGGAAATTTTATAATTATAGGTAAAAATTTGTTTGTTATCGGAATGAAAAAATGGGGAATTGTGACGAGTTTTGATTGGCGGAGATTAAAAAAGGCGGGAGGTATGTAGGAATGAAAGTTTAGCTAGATTTCGGAGTGAAAAAAGATAGTTAGTTGGTTTCCAAGGGTGCAAGGCGAACGGCCGTTGTTCTCGGGTAGTTTCCCAGAGATAGGAAGCAGTAGCAGTGAAACTTTGTGAGTTTTCGTGTAGTTAGTGTATCTGACAGAAGCTGATCCAGTAAAATATTGTAAGTCATATTTTTCTATTTATATTCCAAGAGTCACTGTTCAGGCCAACGAGAGATTCAGTTTATCGTAAAGAAAAGATATTCCAAGAGTCATTTTTCACTCAGGCCAACGAGAGATTCAGTTTATTGAGAGAAGAAGAAGCTAGCATAATTTGAACGATTCGTGCATTTGAAGGAGATCATTAAGGACGAGATACTTGCAATAATTTATTGTAAGATTGCTGATTACTTAGGGAGCGGCCACGAGTAAATAGTATAGTCTACAAATAACAAGGATTTGGACCACTCATCATCAGAGAGAGATAGTTTTGTTTTCTGCAGTTTTTCTTTCATTGATAACACAATTTTTACACTTAATTTAGAAAGGATATAAAAATTTTGATTAGGAGATTTAGAGTAATACTTGGATTTTGAGATTTCAACTAATATTGTTTGTACCATTAATTTTGATTGTTCACGTACGTAGAACAAAATTTTGAGAATTATTATATGAGATTTTGTTTATTGAAAACTTTTGAGTGTGAATTATTTCATTATTTTTATTTCAATATATAGTGTTAGATCATATGTGTTTTTTATTATTCCGGTATTCTTTGGACCTTACCTTTCACATGTAATAGCATAGATATTGAAGCACGAATAAAACCCTGAGATAAGAGAATTAAAAATTGTGATAGAATCATAATCATATCATTTAAATAATTTTAATTAATCAAAAAAAATTAATTAGCTAATTATTGCTTGGCGCACCAAGACTTTAAATATCACAATAATATATATATATATATATATATATATATATATATATATATATAATAAAATTTAAGTCTTTCAGTTAATTTATGTAAATCAGTATGGATGTTTGCACTAAATTCAGGATAATAATAATCTAGTAGTAAGTAAAGTTTACGTCATTATATACATGCATAATATATATATATATATATATATATATATATATATATATATATATATATATATCGTTTCTGTAAAATGTACCTTAGATTACTTTCTAGCTCGTTGCTTTGAAAAGCACGTTGCCAAAATACTCTGTCGTTATAGTTTAATAATATAAGAAAGTTGCACCACTGTGAGCCTAAAATTGGATAAAAAACTGCCAAAGTTAAAAAATTATCGTTAATACTTTTCATTTCTACAAAGTTTTCTTCATCGAATGGAATGTTTGAGTTTAAAATTGTCGCAGCAATTTTCGTTACTTTGGGGTGACCACCTAAAAATAAAATGGATATTTAAAATCACTCATTCATATCAATCACTCATAAGTTAAAATAAATAAAGCTTAAATAATTATTTGAAGATTTAAGCTAAAGGAAAATTACTAAGTTCTCGGGAAGAACCGCGTTGAGAATATTATTATTTATTATTATTATTATTATAATATAAGCGAGGGCAGAGGATCTAAGTCCCTATTATGCCCAAAAACAAAGAAATTTCATTTATCACCTACTAGTAAATAACAAAACTTACAACTAAAAGAAATAAAATTACAATTTTTGGTTTAAAGGAAAAACAATATTTTAACTATAATATAAAACTGTCGAGTCTGTTTTTGAACGAGTTGGTAGAAAAAGCGGAGACAATGTTATCGTTGAGGTTATTCCAGCACTCAAAAACTCTATTTGGAAGAAAGTTCTGTCTTTGTCTTATAGAAAAATTTTCTTTCTTTAGTTTATATTGATGACCTCTGAGTTCTCTAGACTTATCTTGGTTTATGATAAATATTTCATCGAGGTTTCCAAAATTGAATTTTAGTATTTTGAATGTTGTAATTAAGTCTCCACGTTGTCGGCAAAGTTCAAAAGTAGTTAGATTAGCCATACTAAGTCTTTCTGCATAAGACGGTCTTCTCGGTCCCAAAGAAATTCGAGTGGCTTTTCTTTGAACGTTTTCCAACAGATTCTTGTCACGAACCAGATCGGGATACCACGTTGGTCCAGCGTATTCTAGTATGGGTCTTACGTACAAAGTGTAAAGTTTGCAAAATGATTGCATTGAAACTCCCGAAAAACACCTCCGAATAAGATACAGTCTGGAGTTTGCACGTTTACAAATAGAGGTAATATGATCGGAACAAGTTAGGCTGCTGTTCACAATAACACCAAGATCGTTATACGAAAACACAGATTCTAATGGCTGCCCGTTAACAAAGTACGGCACAAGTGGGTTATTTTTGCCAATTCGAAGCACTACACATTTTTCCGCGTTTAAGGGTAGTAACCACTGGGAACACCAAGTTAAAATAGAGTCCAAGTCCATTTGGAGGGTTAGCTGGTTTGTGTTTGGATTGGCATATATTTTTGTGTCGTCAGCGTAAAACGATATTTTACTTGAGACATAATAAGGAATATCGCTGGTGTAAACCGTAAAAAGCAGAGGTCCAAGGACAGAACCCTGAGGCACTCCACTTTCCACTAACCTGTCCTGTGAGAAAGATTCGCCAACTCTAACTTTGTAATATCGATCTGTCAGGAAATCATCTATCCAACGAAGTAAAGTACCGCGAACTCCGAAATGTTCTAGCTTATGTAGAAGTCTGCGCTTAGGTACACGGTCAAAGGCTTCAGAAAAATCTAGATAAACAACGTCGACCGGCTGCGAACTGTTAAGGGATGAGGTCCAGTCGTTAACACAATGTAGAAGATTGGTTAGAGTAGAGCGACCAGAGACAAATCCATGTTGTTGTGTTGGAATAACATGTTCCTGGAGAAGGAATTTGGTCATCTCCTCGGAAATAATGGCTTCCATAACTTTGGCAACTACTGGCAGCAAGCTAATCGGACGATAATTGTTGGGGTCGAGTTTGTTGCCTTTTTTAAAAATAGGGGTAACGGAAGCTAATTTCCAACTAGGGGGTAAGGAGTTTTGGATGAAAGAGGTTTGCATAATTAACGTTAAGGGTATTGCAAGCGTGTCTGCGCACCTTTTTAACAGTTTTGGTGTTAAACCATCTAAACCAGGTGAAGCGGCCGTGCGAAGTTTAATTAAGTGTTGTTTGACATGATCCACTGTGAATTCAACTTGCTGTAAGGATGCGCCGACACGATTACAGTTAACAGCAGGTAGATAACCATCATTTAATTCTTTAGTAAAAACCTGTGAAAATGCTAAAGAGAGAGTTTCGGAAGATTCTTTGTCAGAAGAGCATAAAGTCTGGTTGGATTTTTGAAGTAGCGGAATGGAAACTTTAGATGTCATGGAGGAACGTATGTATTTATAGACTTTTTTAATGTTACCACTTTCAATAACGTTTGCTTCAAAATTTTGTCTTAGGGTTTTTAGAGATGTTTTTAAGTTATTTGAAAATCTGCGGTGGTTTTGGAAATCACTAAGAAGCCCGGTGTGTTTAAATTTTCGCCATAGATGTCGTTTGTGATTAATTTGTTTAATTGCTGTTCGATTTATCCAGGGTTTGAGGTTGTTTTTATAACTCTTACGGAAAATAGTATTTGTAGAAATTATATTGTGGACTTTATCGAGAAATGCAGTCCACATTAATGAGGGGTCGTTTAAGTCTACAAAAAATAAATGCCAGTCGATTTGAGAGAGTTCAGTGTCAACTTCAGAAAAGTCGGTAGTAGCATATATTACAATGTTATTTTTGCGGGGTAATATTTGAATTGAACTGGATGTGAGCCGTTATAACTGCATGATCTGACTTTCCTATGGGAGAACTGACTTCGAGAGATGAAATCAGCTGTTCGTCATTAATAAGCACTAGATCTAAAGTAGAAGGTTGGTTATTATTCCTAAATCTAGTAGGTTCTGTAATGAGTTGTATCAGGTTTGAATTTACTACAAAGCTTTTAAATAAATTATGAGCGTTTTCGGCGTCAGATAATGAAGTTATTGGCCAGGTGATCTCTGGGAAATTAAAATCTCCAGTAATGATAAGATTATCAAGAGATGATAGTTCTTCAAGTTTTGTGAAGAAAACATTATCGTGTGCAAGTAGTGTATTAGGTGGACGATATATACATACTAGATTAAGGCAAAAAGAATTTTTAGTAACAGATAAGTGAATTGCATCTATTCCAGTAATATCTATTAGCTTAAGGTTAATTTTGAAAGTTGTGGTAATAATATTGGATAAATAAATGCATACACCGCCACCCACACGATTTTCTCTGTCTTTACGATATATTGTATATCCATTTATATTAACAGAGGAGTCAGGAATTGTGGGTTTGAGCCAGGATTCGGCAATACAGATAATGTCCGGTTTAAGAAGTTGCACTGTGCATACAAATTCGTCAAACTTAGCGGAAAGTGAATCTAAATTAGTATATAGAAATAGCAAGTCATTAAATTTGTTGGTAGAAAAATTATGACCGAAATTTCGTGATTCTGGGAGTGCCATTGATGTATTTAATAGTTAAATCATGTTCACCGTTATTTTTGCGAGTTTCTAGCTCACTTCGGAGTTCTTTTAAACGTACTTGTTGGATGGGCGTCTTGTCGTCAATTATTGAAAATTTTTCCGTGGCTTTGTTTTCCAGAAGTTTGGCTTTATTTCTCAGAATATCTTTAACGTGGTATTCCGAACCCATCACTACCTTTATCATTCGGGGAAATCGTTGGTTTGCTTTGCCGACTCTGTAGAAGGTGATTTGCTTTTCCTGGCAGCCAACAGTATCCAAAACAAGCTTCACCTTATTCGCGTCATCATCTTTTCTGCGTTGTACATCCCCAGAGGAAGATTCTGTTACGCCTCTAATTAGAATATTTTTAGCGCGTGTTATACGATCTACAGCTTCGTTAGCGATATTATCCGTGAATTCGGTAGACTTAAATAAATTAATCTGGCTGAGCTTATCGTTTAACTCAGTTATTTTATTATCAAAATCATCAATTTTCGCACGAATTTCCATTTTAAAATCTAGCAGAAGATCTTTTATTTCTGAAATATTAGAAATATTGGAGCTGCAAGAGTTAGAGAGTATGTTCAGTCCTCGAATTTTCTGTCGGGTGACGCGGTCCTCCGATGGAAGCTCGGTGCATGTGATATGTATTTGTCGCTTACATCCATCGCACTGGAGTTTGCGGTCAGCTGTCGCTATGGTTTTCAAGCAGTTCGAACAAAAAGAGGTGGACGGCATTGTCCGTTTTTTTGTGTATGTAATTAGTATTTGGTTTTATATTAATATATTGTGGTATGATACTCACAGTAATTATTCGATGTAACTGCACTTTTTACACAAAATTTTTACAAAAACTACTGACTATTGATATATGGAACAATCATGCAAAATTTCTTTGCGAAATAATTATTTTGTACAGAATAATCGTGAAAATCAATACGAGCACAAAATTTTACGTGTGTCGTCAACCAACTAGCAGGTTGTACTGATTTATTTATTGTACTGAATTTAATACTCGATGTTTCGGACCCATTTTGGAGGCATTTTCAAGAGTGATACGGTTCCGTTCGAGTTCGGGGTCTCAATCTGCCTACTCCCCTCACTCGTGACGTACCAGTATCGTGTTTTGTAGAAATACAAGAACCGTCAAAGGGCACTTAGGTCTCAATCTGCCTACTTTTAATAGTTAAGTCGATTGACAATATTTTCAGAAACATGAATGCCGTGGTACAGGCTCGTGTAGGTTCTGAGTGGTATTATTTAGACAGACAAGTTATTGCTACTGACTTTTTGGGTATGTTTGTTTATTTGTTTCTAATGATAAATGTGTATGTGTAAAAAATGTTTTCTTGTGTTAATGTTTAAATACAATTGCATATCTATTGCATAAAAAACATAAACTTTATCATTCAAATAAAACTTACCAGACTGAAACATGTATAAACAATGCAACAGAAACCCAAAAAGTTGTTCGAAAATAAATCCTTTTCCTTGGCGTTTAATTTCCATAACACATCTTTTTGAAGTCAAATTTAAAATTCTAAATAAATATCGAATCAAGATGATTTCTGCAGAAATATTTTGGAAAGTTTCAGCGTTGTTATAAACGTTTAATGGATCAGCTTTAGTTGTTACGTTTTCAAATATAATCGCCGGAGAAAATTCTGATTTGAGTTTATTTATTTTTACTAGAAGGGCTTCTTCTTTCAACGGGATTATCAGCAAAAATAGGATAAGGATTTTGGAAAACCAGTTGTTGAATGTTGTCAAGTGCGTATCCTAAAAAAACATTTTCAAAGAGATTCATTTTATTTATGGATATGTATTCGGTAACTATATTACTGTACAGTCACGACTGTTACATAAGATTTGCGGAGTTGCACAACCTCCAAAATAATTTTCAAATATGACAACACTGTTATATGGCTTATAAGTTTATTACTAGAAACTGCATTCATACCACTTTACTCTACATTTTTAGTTGTAACGTAGCAATACTATTTTTAAAAGCTTCATATTTTTGACAGTTTGTTTGGCGGAAACTACTGAACAGTTTTCAGAAATGTTAATTAGACATCTTGTGCTATCTTTTGAGGTAAATTTCAGATTTACGTAAGTCAATCAGTTAAGTAATCAATGATAATATGACGTTATTACAGTAAAAGAGTTTAATTGATAGGGAGCTTTAAAAGTAAGTTCAAATAAAAAGATATTTTTATTTCAAATTCAACGGTGTATCACATTAAGAGTACTAATAATTATGCTTAATTTTCATTTTAATCCCAATCCCCAATTTGTTGTGTATTGGTTCCCAATGCCCACTAACAACATTATAAATTTTACAATAGAAAAGCAACAGTAAAGCAGAAGGCGTGAAAAAGAGAAGTTGATTTTCATAGGTAAAAGAGCCAGTAGAGTTATTTAATAGATATTTAATAAATCTTTCATGTAATACTTAAATGATGAAAAAAATTAACTATCAAATAAAATTAATTAAAGAAATAATTTTTTTGCAGAATAAGTTGCCCGCATTGCTGCTGTGAACTACTAATTGAAACGAGGCGACATAAGAGGCTTCCTTGATCCCCACATCTTACTATTTTAACTTTATTTTATTAAAACAGTTTTTATACTGAACAACCTACAGACGTTAATGACTTATAAAATTATTCTTCGGCACTTGCACTGAATCCGAAGGAGGCCATTTTCTTGGCTTCTTGTACATCGTCCATTCGTGTATCCTTCTAGCTCATGTCTAGTGTTAGGGTATTCCGGTCACGTAAACTCTCCTAGAATAACTTAACCATTTACGTAGACTTTTCGAACGACAATTCCGAAGCACGGTGGCGGCTCAGTTAAATTAGAAATTGAAAAATTTTCTGATGTCAATGCCGTGGATCGAACCCGGGGCTTCCGAAATGGTAAGCCAGTATCATAGCCACTGAGCTAGGGCCGCTAATAATTATTGATTAGTATTGAAACTAAATATCTTTCCAATGGCGCTACAGCCCAAGTCGGCCTCTGGCCTGCCCTAGCATCCGTCACCATGCATCCCTTTCCTCGGCATCTCCAATTAACCACCCCAATATTTCCCTACCATCGGTCTATTTTTCTCTTCCTTGGTCTTCCTACTGGCTGAAGTCCCACCATAGTTCTACTAAGCGTTCTAAATGTGTTTTTTTAGAGGTATGGAAATGTAAGTTGGCAACCATTTTTTAAGTCGCGGCCATTTTATCAGCTGTCAATTTATTTATGTTTAGTTTGGTTCCATCAATAGACTGATGCCTGAACAACGCTTCCAAATTGTGCAAATTTATTTACGCGCACTACGTCCATTTTATGGTCAACATAATCGTCCATCAGTGAAATTAATACGATTAACCATGAAACGTTTTCGCACCACGTTTACTCTAAATGATAATCTGCATCCACAGAGACGCAGTGCAGTGCGTACAGAAGAAGTTGTTGTTGATGTAGAACGTAGCATACAGGAAGACCCGAATCAGTCTATTCGCCATCGTGCACAGCATTTGGATATGTGTCCATCCACTTTATGGAAGATTTTGCGGAAAGATCTTGTTTACGTGCTTACAAAATCTAACTCGTGCAAGAATTAAAACTACACGATCACCTAGCAAGGCGTAGATTCTGTGAATGATGTCAAAACAAGATTGCTGTGGACCCTGATTTTTATAGGCGAATTTTGTTTAGCGATGAAGCTCACTTTTGGTTAAATGGCTATGTCAACAAACAAAACTGCCGTATTCGGAGTGAAGGTGATCCTCAAGTGTATGTTGAGATACCATTACATCCAGAAAAATTGACTGTTTGTTGTGCTTTGTGGGCTGGTGGAATCATTTGAAAGAACTCATCATCACCAAAGAACTCTTTGATAAAGTCAGACAACTCACACGTAAATTCAAGCAGAAATCTTGGTCTATCAAAGATGATGAAGGTAATGTACAGACGGATTTGGACAAGGTTATTGATGTTTGGAGGGCGTGTTGTAAGTCTTTATACGCCAATACGGACCAGATGCCAGCGGACGCCCCGTTTGTACCTGACTGCCAGACCTCCACTTTCCATTCTCCTCCAACAAAGACACACCACACTAGTTTTGAGTCTGAACCTGACATACTTTTTTCCGAGGTGGAATTCGCTTTAAAAAGACTTAAGTTAAACAAAGCAGCAGGATATGATCTCATTACTGCAGACGTCTTGAAGCATCTTCCGGAATGTGGAGTGAAAATATTACATCGATTGTGCAATGAAATATGGCACAGGCGTCTGGCCTGAGGATTGGAGAAAGACCATAATCATACCTCTTCATAAGAAAGGTTCAACAAATAATTGTAACAACTACAGGCTATTAGCTCTAATATCACACGCCAGTAAGGTGATCCTCTACATACTGCAACGGCGTCTAGAAAACTTCATAAGTTGGCAAATAGCACCTGGGCAGGCTGGATTTGTAAAGGGCAGAGGTACTAGAGAACAAATCCTTAATGTACGAAACATCATAGAAAAAGCCAGAGAATACCAGATCCCGATATTTATATGTTTCGTCGATTATACAAAGGCCTTTGATAATGTTAGATGGGACAAACTATGGAACATATTGACGACAATGGGTGTACCGAAACACTTGACTCACCTTATTAGCAAACTGTATCAAGATAACCTGGCATATATTCGAATGGACGGATATCTGTCTGACAAATGCACTTTGGAGAAGGGAGTACGCCAAGGATGCGTTTTATCTCCCTTATTATTTAACATCTATTCGGAGTTCATAATGCGCAGAGTTTTGGATGGTTGGGAGGAAGGAGTAAACCTAGGTGGTGTTAAGATATCTAACTTGCGTTTCGCAGACGACACTACACTTCTAGCCTCTACTCCAGAAGAAATTATTAAATTATTAAAAAAACTCGAGGTAGAAAGTGCTAAATTTGGACTCATGGTTAACTACAACAAAACCAAAATCACGGTTATTGATCGCCAACAACAGTTTCCTGAAACCCAAACTATTGCGGGATGCGAGGTAGTCTCATCTATGATATATCTTGGAGCTCTAGTTAACAACACAGGCAGTTGTGAATCCGAAATTAGAAGACGCATTCAACTAGCAAGAGCAGCAATGAGTGAACTAAACGGGGTCTGGCGTGATCGTCACATTACTATGACAAACAAAAAGAGACTCGTTTCAACTCTGGTCTTTTCCATATTTTACTATGCATGCGAGACATGGACAGTCAAAGAATCAGATCGACGACGTATAGACGCCTTTGAAATGTGGACATGGAGACGCCTGCTTCGAATTCCATGGACGGCTCGCCGTACAAATATCTCGGTTCTGGAGGAAATTAAACCGGATCAGCGTCTCTCCAGTACCGTTTACTCTAGAATTTTAAAGTTCTTTGGCCATATCCATCGAAGTGATCACAAAATGGAGCGGTTGGTGGTCCAAGGAAGACCTCAGACTCAACGCCAACGCGGAAGATCTCCACAGCGATGGGCGGACATTACTAAAAAGCTTCTCAATAAACAGTATACTGAGGCAATACATATAACTGATGACCGCGACCAGTGGAGAAATATTATCAATCAAACTGTCCGAGCTGCTGTGTTCTCGGACGCGACTAGTTCACGTTCGAGACGCATCGCCCCGCCCCTTATTTTTCCCGTTGGCCCCTCCCTGACCTGGAAATCCCTAATCGCTACTTCAGAAAGTATAAAAATAGGCGATTTTCAGGTCAATAGGTCAGTCCTTCACGGGCTCTCCGAGAGCTCAGTGCTCTCGGGGCTCTGCTTTTCTTTTAGCCCCACCTTTACTCTGTGGCTGAGTTATTCTACAGTACTTTGGTGTTTTATTTCGACCTTCATTTGGTTATGTAAGAAATAACTTGCCTTTATCAAGGCAAGTCACCGAGAGAAGAGAACCTGATGGTTTATTTCGACTTAAATATTTTTTTGTCGTGTAAGAAATAACCCGTTTTTTTCAAGACGGGTACATCAGCTGAAATTTCTACAAGTATGTACCCAGAAAATAGACTTGGGTAGAGGTGCTTTCGTAGACGTTCTCGAAGCCCTCTACAGAGCACCCAGAGGCAGATGATTGACGTTAAAACTTTTTATCACGTCCCCTGCGGTGACAGCTGAAGCCCAATTATGAACCACAACACATCTACTAAGATGTTAATGACTGTGATGATGATGGAATCATTTGTCCGTACTTCTTCTTTAAAAACGATGCTAGTCAGAACGTTACAGTCAATGGTGACCGCTATAGAGCCATGATTACTGAATTTTTTTATTCCTTATTTGAACAATCATGATGTACAGAAGCTGTGATGTCAACAAGACGGCGCAACATGTCACACAGCTCGTGTCATAATTTATTTATTGAAAGAAACCTTTGGTAACCTCATAGTTTCACGTTTCGGACCTGTGAATTGGCCTCCAAGATCGAGCGATTTAACACCGCCAGACTATTTTCTATGGGGATATGCAAAGTCGCTAGTCTACGCCGATAAGCCTGAAACGATTGACCCCTTGGAGTATAACATTCGCCGCGTTATTGCTGATAAACGGCCACAAATATTCGAAAAAGTCATCGAAAATTGGACTTCAAGATTAGACTACGTCAGATCCAGCCATGAAGCTCATGTGACAGAAATCATATTAAATTATAATGCTAAAAGATTTCCTTTCGAATAAAGTCAATTTCGTGTCAATTTAAAAAAATCGTCTTTCTTTTATTCCAATTCAAAGTTTTATACCTCTAAAAACACCCTCCACTAGGTATATTATCCATTCTTATAAGGTGACCTGCAATCTTTGTCTTTTTACATAATTTGCTGTAGAGGGTACTTTGTAATATTAATATAACGCGTGGTTGAACCTTATTGTCTATATATCATTGTCGCAAATGAGCACGTAGTATGATGGTGTTATACACGGTGGACCAAATTTATTTGGAACCTAGTTCGACCTTAAATAAGTTTTTTAGTTTTGTTCCAATTTTCATGAAATTTTAAACCTATATTAATAGCAAAGACAAATAGCAAAATAGTCAAAAAAATTTTATTACCTTTTGAATAAAAAAATAAATTTAATAAAAATATTATGCACGTCCTTTCAGAATATCATTTATTTTGCTCTAACCTAAAATTTTAATACGATTTTAAGGGCAGTCTTTCCGGATACTTATTTAATAGTAATACTAATTTTTGAATTTAAATATTATCAGGGTGACTTTTGACAGGCTTACCTAGACACCCCTTTAATTTTTCCATTAGTCTTGTAAATTTTAATTTAAATATGCGCTATCATTATAGGTTTTAAATTTCATAAAATCAGAACAAAACTAAAAATGTTATGATGTCAAAATGGGTTCCAAATAAATTTGGTATATTTTGAACTTTACTTTCCTATGGATGTCTTTGGATCCAAACACCTGCGACAGGAGAGTGGTTTGTTAGCAAGCATTATCCTTCACCATATTTCCTTCTCCTCGCTGCCATCCTTAGTTATCTGTACTCGCAGTTGTGTGAGCTGTTTTACAACTTCAATATTTGCATAGTCTATTGTTAAATTTTGACAGGTTCGCTGTTTTCTTGTTTGTATTAGGACTTTAGTGTCATCTACGTTGACAGCTAGGCCTAGTTCTGTCACATTTTTTTCGCACATAAAGTTCTGTGATGTTTCTTACGGTTCGGCCCACCAAATTAACATCGTTTACGTACATCCTAATATGTTTAGACTTGTAGACTACAGACTTTTTCTTAGAAAATATTCCATACATATATTAAACAGAGTAGGAGCCAACCCATTTCCACGTTTTAGCCCTTTAGTTATCTGGAAAAGGCCTATCAGTTGGTTTTGGACTCTCAGTTGGTTGGTTTGAAACTAAATATTAAAATAAAAATTAAGTCTATTGATATGAATGTCATCATTATGGTACACCATTACATTTGTAATAAAAAATCTTGCATCTGAGCCAACTTTCAATTCTACAATCCGTTTTTTAATATATCGAAATTCAAACCTGATCAATTACGTCGCAGATCTCAACTTTACCTTAAAAGGTAGTGCTGTATATCCAATTCACATTTCCCAATTTAAGTTAAAAAATGTTCCGTAGTTTCTGAGTTACAGGTTGTAAAAAAATTTAGGACAAGAATTGTATATTTTAAGTGATAAATAATAAAATGGTTTAATTAAAAAGAATTATCATAACGTTCCATTTAAAAAACTAATTAACATTAAAACATATTTTTAATAATGTTATTTATACATTTATAAAGTTTTAGGCTTACCAATGAAGGCGGATCTTGGAAAAACATCACAATGATTTCATCAAATGGTTTAAAAACTTCTGGATTCATCGCCAATATGAATCTCCTCATTGCAGCCAGTGATTCTGAGTCGTCCAGTTTTAATTTGTTCTGTTTAAGCATAGGAAGTACCACGTGGAATACTCTCTTTGACCATTCATACCATTTTTCAGTATTATGAGTACAATACTTACTATCTTCTAATATCAGCGTAATTAAATCTAGCACTTGCTTGTTATCACACAATCTGAGCAACATGCTCAAAATAACCTACAAATACATTAAAATATGTTTAATGAACTGTAAACCTTGACAAAAATAAATTCTATTTATATAAAAAAAGTGAAATCGTTGAAAATATAAAATTATATTTAGATAAAACATTATTTTTATATTATAATGGTTTTTAATAAAATAAACACATATTTATTGACTATTGACTTGTTATTTATTCATACATACATATACATTGTTATTTATTCAACAGAGTATGTTATTGTAGTAGGTTGGCTTCCATTTGAACTAGATTACACCAGTAACTGAATGACATAAAGGTTTTGTGTCTTTAAACCACTACATACGAAGTGAAATATGGGTCATACAATGGTTTGTTTGACGGGATATAAATATTCCTTCCCGTATATTATTTACACATCATTTTATACTTTACTAGCTGACCCACCAAACTTCGCATCTGCTTTCAAATAAATAATGTATCAAAGTTCAAAAAGCTTCACTTTCGAGTCTGTTTACGAACAGAAATCTCTTGGTAATGGAGTTGATATTGAGGTGTCAATACCGACTTTACCAATTCCCATACCTAACAACTTCTTCGAAAAAACAATTGCATTTTGATCTTGTTGCAAAAACACTCGCAAGGTATTTATCAATTGGAGCTTCTTTACATTATAGCGCTACAAATTTGATGATGTTCGGCATGCATTTAGTTCGTCCGCAGCAGTTAATTGGAGAATAATTATTGAATAAACACCAAAAATGTTTTCGACTGTCACGAATATCTTTCAAATTTCTGTCCAGTCCCTGTAATGATCTTTTGTGGGCCAATATACATTCATCCCAAACGATTAATTTGCATACCTGTAAAATCTTCGCCATTGTTCTATTTTTGACGATGTTGCAATCTGGTGTTTCATTAATTTATATATTTAATGAGGAAAAGGCAGTTAAGATTTGATTTCACGTATAGTGCGTCTGTGTATCCGCTTATACGTATTTCGCTCTAATAGGGATCTTCAGAACGGAAATTCCCAGTCGATCTGAACGCGAAAATAAATCTCTTCTGTCTTAGGAAGCAACTCTAAGGGCGAGCGCCCACCAAAGTGGCGTGGCAGTGGCAAGTAGCAAGTAGCACGCGTCTAGCATAATGTAACCAATCCTAACGAATGATTAGAATGAACGACGTTACTGTCATTTTGGTGTAAACTGAATCATTCGTTTTCATTGGTTACATTATGCTAGACGCGTGCTACTAGCTACTTGCCACTGCCACGCCCCTTTGGTTTGCGCTCGCCCTAACAAGGCGTCAAATGGACGCAAATAGCGACATCCGATATTAAATCCGTAAACTAATTTTCGAAACCAAATTCAGATTTTTACTTTAATCTGTGCCTTCTAAGAATTGCAAGGCAAAACAGACGTTGATAAAGATGTTGTTAGAGACATGGGGAATCTAAAATTTGTATTCTATACGAAGTGGTTTCTAGTACTCGTACAGAATATATCGGAATAAAAAGGAAAAGACAGCTAAGATTTGATTTCACGTATAGTGTGTCTGTGTATCCGATTATAAGCATTTCGCCCTAATAGGGCTCTTCAAAACGGCAATTCACAGTCGCTCTCAATATCGTGGCACGTCCAGTGGCCAGACACGTGTGCAGTAAGGAAACCTGTTATAATTATGATTTAAACTTTTCCACAGTATTTCGGTCCTATTAGCTCATGTTTCTGGACCATTTTGTAGCTGATCCTATTCTTGCAAGTTCATCAGCTCTTTCATTGTTAGATATTCTCCAATGGCTTTGTCGGCTTTCCCACACTACCTTAGAATCTACTTTAGGAATCTACGTCTCCATTTTGAAATAGCTCAACACAATCACACAAAAATCTAGGAACGTACTAATTAACCCAAAAGTATTCAAATGACGTATCACTTCCACATGATCCCGTAAACATTATGCCACCATTCCGAATACTATCCACACTCAAATTCTTTCTCGTACAGGTTATAAGTTATACTGCAACAAACTTAAGTTTAGGAATATGACTCATACTTCGACGATGCGCAGTGAATCGTGTTACCATGGAAACGGCCAGTGTACTGCTTGCCAGTGTCGTAGTTTGAGAAGTACGTATCGTATAGAGTGTTTGACTTGTGGATTTGATCGTGTTGGTTATTTTATTAATTTTTTTTTAGATTAGTGCTTAGTATATTGGTAGTAGTAATTACTGTATTATTAAGTTATTTACTGTATCTATAGTGTGTTTAGTTTAGTTATTAATAATAGTTATTTAACAATATAACTCCTAAAAAGATAGGAACAAAGAAAACCATACAACAGAAAAAACAGAAGACAATTAGGAGTGTCCTAAGTTATTACGTTCGTTTAAAACTAATAGAATATTTAAAGCAGCTAATTCAATTTTGATCTGAGGGTAGAACCGTAATTTAAAGTGAAAAAACTTTAAAGAAACCGATTTCTAATGGCAAATGCTGATTATTGTTCATGCTTAAGGAGAGACTGGATTTGTATCTAACGAATTTTTTAATCAGGTGCATGTTTATAATTAAAAAGTCAATTTTTATAACAATAACAGTAATGTAAACCATAATTACTTTTAAAGTTTCATATTAAATAAAATTCTATTGTTGAGAAAAATTTCGTAAAAATCTTATTAACGATTGTCTACGAAACTAATAACGAGGTAAAGGTCGTTCGGCAAAAAGTAGAAGAAAGCAACATTTAGTAAAAATAATAAGATACAATGATGTATTATAACTCATAATAAAACATTTAATATAAATGATGTTGAAAATATGGGAAAATCAGAAGTGTTAATAAAGGAATGTATTAATATATGTAAACACGAGCAAAAATATAAAAACATTCAAATCGAAAAAGAACATTTGTTAGACACTACGCTGTACCACTTACGCAATTTATTGTTAATACTAATTTATCCGAAGAAAGCCTTTCTGGGGATGAAGATAGTGATTCAAATTCAGGAATAGAGATCTTAGAATCATGCGAGGAATCATAACTAAGGCATTCTTGTTAGACTAATATATTTATTATTTTATTAGTTAAGATAAACTACTTATTTTTTTTGTATTATTGAAACCCTTCCTTCGAGGTAATGTTAATAAATTGAAAGTATTGAGGAATTTGTTATTTATTAAAGTACTCCTAATATTTTACTCATTATTTTTCGAGTGCAACTGACCATAAACTTCATATTGATTAAAAACTATGAAAATAAAAATTAACAAATTCATTCTTAACTTAATTGAATATACTTATGAAAAATTCGTAAAGATCGAGGAGTTCTACGAAAAACTGGAGACCACAATCGCTAATATACCAAATAAAGAACTTACTAGAATATGTGGCGACTTTAATGCAAAAGTTGGCAACACTACACAAAATGACGACTTAAAGAATGTACTGGGAAAGTATGGCATAGGGCAGAGAAACAAAAGAGGAGACCGTTTAATCGAATTTGCTATCACGAACAACTACTCTATCATGAATACTCGATTTAAACACCATGTACGTCGACTTTATACTTGGAAAAGTCCTGGAGATAAATTTAGAAATCAAATAGATTACGTCCTCACGAATATTCGCTGGAGATTGTCCATTCAAATAGTCAGATCATATCCATGGGCGATATGCGGATCCGATCATACTCTCCTCGTAGCTAAAGTAATGCTTAAACTTAAAGCACCCAACAAACAAAGAGAGATAAAGAGGATAGAACTAAGAAAGAAAGACGACCTTCTACAGGAAGTACAGAAAAGTATGCCCTCTATTCGTAACGGAACATCACAAGAAATATGGGAGACTGTTAAACACTGCGTAACAACACCAGTGGATCGCTCAAAGAAAAATAATCCGGTGAAACGGAAACACTGGATAACAGATGAAACTCTTAAAGTAATTGAGAATAGAAGAAATCTTTGTAAAAGTGGTGTACATAGTGAAAGGAAAAAAGCTAGTTTAAGAAACCTCAATAAAGAAATAAAACGAAGATGTAAGGTCGACAAAAAACAGTACTATCAAAGTATATGCAAAGAAATTGAGAGACATGGTCAGAATAATCAGCCAAGAGATCTATTTAGAAAAAATACGCTACCTGACAAGAGACTTCAGAGCCAGAACTTGGGCCATTGAAGATAACACTGGAACCCTGAGAACAAACAGAGAAGACATAGCAGAGACATGGAGATCGTATTGCAGGGACCTATATAAAGATGATCAACGCCAAGAGCTTGTTAGCAAAATCTCTGACGAGGTGGAAGAAGAACGTGATATACTCGAAAATGAAGTAAGACAGGCTATCAACAAGCTCAAATATAACAAAGCACCAGGTCCAGATATGATAACAGCAGAAATGCTTAAAGCCACAGAAGAAACCGGCGTAAAGTTACTTCATCTACTCTGTAACCAAATATGGCATTCCAAACATTGGCCTGAAGACTGGACAAAATCCACAATAACGACCATACATAAAAAAGGCAGCTTCCATAAATGCGACAATTATAGAACTATCTCTCTTATATCCCATGCCAGCAAGATAATGCTACATATAATCAATGAGAGACTGAAAACATTCCTTCAAAGAGAAATTCCACAAGAGCAAACTGGATTTACCAAAGGTAGAGGCACTCGAGAACACCTGCTGAATATAAGACAGATAATCGAGAAATCTAGGGAATTCAACATTCCACTATACATCTGTTTTATAGATTACCGTAAAGCGTTCGACAGGGTCAAGTGGAGACACTTATGGCGAATACTAAAAGAAGTAGGCGTACCACAACATCTAATTACGCGTATAACTGAACTATATGAACACACTACTGGATCAGTTAAAGTACTTGACACACTTTCGAACGAGTTTCATCCAGAACGGGGTGTCAGACAAGGATGTATACTATCTCCACAATTATTCAACATATATGGGGAGTATATTATGCGAAGAGCACTTGAAGGATGGGAAAAGGGCATCTCAATAAATGGTCATAAACTAAACAACCTACGTTTCGCAGATGACACAGCCCTTCTTGCAAATAGTCAAGCAGAGCTGATGGAACTTATACGACTGATCGAAAACGAAAGTCAAATATTTGGTCTGCAATTAAACATATCAAATACAAAGATCATGATAGTGGATAGACTACACAACAATCATCCACACATAACCACAATTGACCGGTTCGAGGTTGTAAGCTCATACTTATATCTGGGATCATTAATCACAAACACAGGGTCATTACAAGAAGAGATTAAACGTAGATGTGATCTAGCAAAAGTTGCCACAACAAAAATGACCAAAATATGGAAGGACTGTCAAATTTCAAGAGTGATAAAGAAGAGGTTGATCAACTGCTTAATATTCCCAATACTGACCTACGGATGTGAATCTTGGACTCTGAGACAATCGGAGAGAAGAAAGATAGACGCCACTGAAATGTTCTGTTGGAGACGAATGTTACGAATTCCTTGGACCGACCGTAGAATAAATAATTCAATTTTAAGAGAGCTAAAAGTTAGCCAACGACTCTCTAGTAAAGTCCATCTTCAACAATTAAAATATTTTGGGCATGTTATGAGAGCAAACACATAAAACATGGAAAGACTCATAATACAAGGAAAGGTAGAAGGCCGAAGATCACGAGGAAGATCTCCAACAAGATGGATAGATCAAATTACAGGAATATGCCAAAGACTATGCATGAATTAAAAGAAATGACCAGAGACAGAGATCTCTGGAGACGGACAATACACGACATCACGTCGACCACTACACTCCCCCTGGGGGGTCAGGATTGAAGAGAGAGAGAGAGATGAAAAATTATTTTAAATCTACCTGTTTGCGCCCGCCACCGGTAGAAACAGTCCACCCATCTGCGCTAAACACTACCTCACATTCCTAAACTTAAATTTGTTGCACTCTAGCAAAAGAAAACATTCGCAAATACTTACCTCTCTAGTGGTTTCTAATTCCTTAAAATCTGGAGTATTGGATTTGTTTCTGGTCAAAAAAATATCTTCTACTATGGGTTGCAACGCCGGTATACAATGAGTAGCAGCTGGTTGACCGCTAGCCATCAATCCATCACAAAGTTGAATAATTTTTGGAACACCAATAATTAATTTTGAGTGTTGTTTGCTATACGACAATTGAACCAGAAATTGGAATATTTTTGGTATCAGCTCTTCAACGGCTCTAAAACAGACAATACAAGTAATATTCAATAAGGTATACTATGGTAAAGTCAAATGGAATAATAAAATGATTGAAGAACTTATACTTACGGTACTTGGCCTTCTTCGATGTACTCAAACTGTTTTAAAACAAAACCTATGAAAACTTGTTCAGAATCAAGCAAACAATAATTTACTCTAAGTTGTACCAACTGACTTAACAACTTCAGAACTTGACACTGTAATTTAACACTACTGGTCATGGTGTATTGCTAAAAAAGTACATTGTAGTTATGAATACTATATATAAAAACAAAACCATACTTTTAGTGACTTTATGACCATTGGCTCAAATATTCTAATGTAATTTTCTAACGTTTTGTCGGAAGTTCTTGTTAAAATTACTGATCTTCTTTTCGAATCTCTCCTGTGTAAATAACCCATAACTGTATTATCATCATCGATATCATGGCGTCCTATATTGTTTAAAGATTGTATATACCAAGAAACTAAACCGTATGGTTTTTGAAAAATGTTTTGGTAAAACCCTTTTTCGAATTCCTAAAATTAAAGCAATAAATTACACAGCATAGACAAAAGTAAAAGATGGTAAGGTCAAAAAGTTTTCGTAAAATATGTTTTGCAATTTTAGAAAAGGGCGGCTTCAAGCGAAAATCTAACTCTTTAAAAGCACGGAACCATTTATTAAAATCCTTAACATATTAGGTATTTGTAGGCGTATAGCGAAAATTTTCAATTACATAGTCACTTACACACTTCACAATTTTTTCGATTAATAACATCTACTCGCCACAGATCGCTTTCCACCTTTTCTATTGATTTAATTACTATTTAACTGGGAATAAGCCACAATTAAAGATAAAAATACGTTTATTGACGTTTCAATTTCCACTTCGGAAATCGTTCTCAAAATACAAACAGTAAATTAAACAAATTTTGTTTTTTGTTACATAGTGAAAAATTCTTCTAATAATTTAATTTTATCTGACTCATTTATATTGACGTAGGTAGCGGGTAGGTACTCTTCCACAATCCCAGTGGTGGATAGACTTACTTCAGGGATGCGATCCTGCCTTACGCGAGCCTTGATTCTCTCTCAACTCCTGTGGAGAGAAATCATGCCCTAACCCCATTCCTACCCAATACCTACTATCCTACCAATTTCCCAAACCAACTCACCAACCCGCCTGGCAAGCGTGGTGTTTAAATGCCAAAACCCCCTCAGCATGAACAAACATTCAAGAAAACGGCCCTCAGTCCCCGGCAGCTCGCTAGTTCCCGACCAAGGTAGCGGTAGGACTCACGGACAGCGGGTAGAGGGTGCGAAGAATCCCGGGATGTAGAGGCTACCAAGAACGACGAACGTTGCACATAATTACGTATAATGTAAGAACTTTATCTAAGGATGAAAAAATGACAGAACTGGAGGAAGAACTCAAACATGTGAAATGGGATATTATAGGAATTAGCGAAGTCAAAAGAAGAGGTGAAGATCAGGTCAAACTAAAATCAGGAAACATATTCCACTATAAAGGGAAAACGGAATTGACAACTGGAGGAATAGGTTTATTAGTACACAAAAAATTACAGAAAAATATACAGAGCATTGACTGCATTTCCCCAAGAGTTATGTATATAAATCTAAGACTAAATAAGAGATACACTCTGAAAATAATCCAGGTATACGCCCCCACCAGCGATTACGAAGATAAAATTGTCGAAGCCTTCTATGAGGAAATCGAAAGAGCAAAAAAGCAGGAACCGGCTCATTACAATCTGATAATGGGAGATTTTAACGGGAAACTCGGAAGGAAAAAAGACGAACAAGAAGTGGCAATCGGAGATTTTGGAATCGGAGTAAGAAACGAAAGAGGCGAAATGCTTACCAACTTTCTACTGCAACACAAACTGTATGCAATGAACACCTTTTTTAAGAAGAAACAGAATAGAAAATGGACGTGGGCTAGTCCAGACGGAAGAACTAAGAGCGAATATGATTATATAATAACAGACAAAAAGCAAATTATTCAAGATGTCACTGTACTCAATAAACTATCAGTAGGAAGCAACCACAGACCAGTAAGAGCTAGAGTAACGATCAATCTACGAAAAGAAAGAGCAAAGATGATAAACAGTTGTAAACGCATAGTTTGGAATTCACCAAATCATCCAGAAGCATACATAAGAAATATAGCTGAAACTTTACAGAGTAATAATCCCAAACCTCTAAGTATCGACGATCACAATAAATTAATAACAGACTCAGTTAGAAACGCACAACTCAAATTTTGCAAGAAAAATGACACCAAAAGTGAAAAGATTAGCAAAGATACAAGGGCTCTCATGGAAATACGACGAAACCTAAGCGAGAACGAAAAGGGAAACAGAGAATAATATAAAAAACTAAATAAAAGAATTTCAGCGGAAATTAGAAAAGATGTAAGAAGATATAATACTAATGTAATTACTCAAACAGTAGAATAGAACAAAGGTTTAAAGATAATGAAAAGAAAACTTACGCAAAGTAAAAAAGAAATATACAAGCTGAGAGATAAAGACGGAAAGGCAACAACAGATAAAGAAAACATTCTGAAAATAACTAAAGAATTTTATAAAGACCTCTATACCAGCCAAAGACCACAAGACAATTTCCCGACACGAGTAAAGACTCTCATAAATCAGGGATCGGAAATACTTTTACCCATTACTGTGTCAGAAGTAAGAGCAGCTTTAAAGGAAATGAAGAACCATCGATCGCCTGGTGATGATGGACTCGTTATCGAGGCAATAAAAGCAGGTGGAGACATTTTATTAAAATCAGTAAGCGAACTGTTTACTAAATGCTTACATGCGGGTACAATTCCAAAAGACTGGAACAATGCAGTAATAGTCTTGTTACACAAAAAAGGCGATATTACTAAATTAGAAAATTATAGACCCATCAGCCTCTTGACACATATGTACAAACTCTTTATGAAAATCTTAACAAAGAGGCTAACACCTAAACTTGATTTCTATCAGCCCAAAGAACAGGCAGGCTTCAGGGCAGGATATGGCACAAATGACCATTTGCATACCATAAAGATCTTAATAGAAAAGTGCATCGAGTACAACATACCACTGGTTCTTGCATTTGTCGATTACGAGAAGGCTTTTGATTCTGTAGAGTTTGAAACAATACTGGAAGCCCTAAATCAAAGCCGAATAGATTACAGGTACACGACACTAATCAAAAACATCTATCAGAACGCTACATCAAGTATACGACTGCACGAAGACACAGAAAAATTCAGCTTAGGACGAGGAGTTAGACAAGGAGACAATATTTCACCAAAATTGTTCACGGCAGCTCTAGAGTCAATATTTAAGGGTACTCAATGGCAAGATATGGGCATCAATATAGATGGAGAAAGATTAAATCACCTAAGGTTTGCAGATGATGTTGTATTAATCGCAGATAACTTACATGATACAGTTACTATGATGCATTCGCTTAAAAGTCTGTCTGAAAGAGCAGGATTAAAGATAAACTTTGAGAAAACTAAAATTATAACAAATCTCGTAATGAGTGGAAATATAACTATTGACAATAATACCATACAACAAACAGACACTTACAAATATCTGGGACACGAAATCAAAATAAGCAGAGACAATCAAACACATGAAATACAGAGGCGAATAGGTCTAACATGGGCAGCATTTGGCAAATTAAGCCATATTCTAAAAAGTTCAATTCCCATGTGTCTCAAGCGAAAGGTTTATAACCAATGTGTTTTACCTGTACAAACTTATGGAGCAGAGACTTTAACACTCACGCAAAAATCTGCGAATAAACTTAGAGTTACACAACGAGCCATGGAACGTGCAATGCTGAACGTGAGCCTTCGAGACCACATAACAAACCAACAAATCAGACGAAGATCAGGAGTTCAAGACGTCATCGAAAGAACCACGACGCTTAAGTGGAACTGGGCAGGGCACTTAGCCAACACAAGATGGACGGTGGACAAGACGTATTATGGAATGGAGGCCCAGAAATTATAAAAGAAGCCGAGGACGACCACCGACTAGATGGACCGATGACATTAAACGTGTAGCGGGAAACTGGCTACAAGCGGCCCAGTGTAGAGAACACTGGAAAGAATTGAGGGAGGCCTATGTCCAGCAGTGGACGCGATTGGCTAATTGATGATGATGATTTATATTGACAATTCAGACATACATTATGCATTTTAAAGTAGACGACTTTAAAATGATATTGCCAATATTGTTGAGTTGCGCTCCTGGGACGACTTTACTTATAAGATAGTTCATTCGATTACATGAAATCGACTTTAACTTGAGAATATCCGTCAGAAAAAAAATCATAGCATGTAATTCGTCTTTAAAAAGACAAACACATGACATGATGACAGTAAAATTCTCCTGTTAGTGATTCCATAGTAAATTATGAGGGAAAACCAGGAAAAAAATCTCATAATACTATCCCGACATGGTAATTATTTGTTCGTGCATTTAGTTTACCTTCAATAAACACCAAAATTCTGATTTTATATGTTTCGTTATTTAAAAAACATAAATAATGTATCCTCTATATGTTACTGACTTACTAATCCTGGTATTTTCTTCCCTCTTTCAATATTTGTAACCAGACCCTACTACATTCTGCCAAGGAATTTGCGACACAATTGGCCTCATTTAGCATAATTAGAGCCGCTTCTTTGATTTTTCTTTTTTTACCATCCGTTTCTTTTAGGACTACATTTGAATTATTCACTATGTAACAAAAAATAAAATTTGTTTAATTTACTGTTTGTATTTTGAGAACGATTTCCGAAGTGGAAATTGAAACGGCAATAAACGTATTTTTATCTTTAATTGTGGCTTATTTCCAGTTAGTGAATTAATTAATTTAAGAATTAGAATTAATTTAAAATGCCACAAGAAAATAGCTTCAGAACAATATTTTCTATTGATCTTGTCCTTGGTCAATATCTCGTTGTTTTAACGTGTTTATATAATAAATAAAACGATCTTGATCATTCCCTCCCCTGTCATTCACTCTATTCCATCGATCCTAGTCTACCTTATGTTTTGACAATGGTCAAGTCTCAATCTCTTAAGAGAAGTCTCAAGAGTTGTTCTATTGAAATGTGTAATCATGTACAGGGCATTATAATTATTATAAGGACGTTTGGGTAAACTTCCGGTATAATCAGAAGTGGTAGGAAGTTCTAATTTTCAAATATTAATTATGTCAAGATTCCCCAAGCAATTATGTTGTATATAAACCGAAATAACATAAATACCTTAAAATTTAATAATAAATTATAGGAGTAATATTTACTTTTACTTCAAAATAAATCGTTTACCTTTGTTTCGGACTTCGGTAGCGGAAATTCCAATATGTTGGCAGTCAAATTAGTTCCAAACAGGCACTTAAGAAGCTGCTGTACAGCTTGAATTGTACCCGAAGCATCAACAACGAAGGTAGAACGGAAATATCCCAAAATTTCTTCCGCCAATTTTCCAAATTCTGTTAATGAACCTACTTCCAGTAATACAGAAAGACTTCTTAAGGTAGAACTTAGAAATTCGAGAAAAGTTTTGGAAGAAGCGGAGTCTAAAGAGACCTGAAATTTAAAGTAATTTTAGTGTGTAAAAGTACCATATAGCAATAAAAAATGTCGACAAACATACTTTTTAATCAGGTAGGTAAAATTTAATACAAATTGATAGAATTGGCCGACTTAGATCCTATGAAATTTACATTCTTTTTCATTGTGGCAAAAGAAATGGTTTATTTAAACTCTAAAGACCGACAAATATAAACTAATTTTGTAAAGATACCGACTGGAATAATATGTAAGTATTTCAAAAGTTTAATCATTCCATTTCCTTTCCTTTTCTTCACCACACATTCCCATGCAACTTAACGCCATATTTCTATCATTTTCTACTTTAATCTTACAATTTTCCAGTATACTAATGTTCTTACTTTCCTCCTGTGTTTCATAAATCACTTTCTGCATAGAAAATATATAAGTTGAGGGATATTATTTGAGTTTTTTTTTATATTAGGGGAAGGTGGGGAGGTTTGAGACACTAGAAGCCTTGAGACAATTCAATTTATCCGCCTTAAACTATCTTGTCAGAGATACTACAAACACAGAACACTAGCTTTTTAAGTTGGCAACGTCGTCCGCCAACTGTCAACACTCTATTTTAATGGTGGCGTATTTATTGTACAAGTGTGTGTTTACAGGTGATTTGGATAGTTTTAAATCAGTTTGTAGTGTAGTAATTAGAAAAGTGAGTGTGTAGACGAAATTGTTAGTTAATTAAGAGTGTTTTTAAGATAAATTGGTTTATTTAAGTCCATAATTTGCCAAGAAAAAATCGGAATTTTTCATTAATTGATGCATAGGAAGGCTTGAGACAACATACAGGTGGGAGCTTTGAGACAATGAGACATTGAGACAATGCTCTCGCTACATTATTTTAATTTCTTTTTGTGATAAAGAATACGTTTTATGCATAAATTGTTTTGTTTTCAGAATACCGTTTAGGTGGACAAGCAAAACAGGCAAAAAACGTCAGCCAATAAACGAGGGTGCACTAGAAACTGCAGTTCAAACACTGGTTCAAAATGAAGGAAAAAACTTAAGAGAAACTGCCAGAACTTACAACATTGACAAAGAAACACTTCGAAGGTATTACAAGAAGTATAATGAAAGTGGGAGTCTTTTAAATTTAGACCTCAATATAACACATCCCAAATTTTTTCTGATGATAAGAACTTGCATTGGAGGTGTACTTAACAGATTTAGCTGGTTTAAATTATGGAATAGGCTTAAAAGATTTGCGCAAATTTGCGTTCCTATATGTGACGTCAAACAATAAAAAATCCCACAAAATTGGACTAGTAAGGTCATAGCTAGTAAAGATTGGGTGAGAGGTTTTCTATATCGCCATGAAAATCTCTCTTTACGGAAAACTGAAGCAACAAGTTTAAGTAGATCGACGGCTTTTAACAAAAAGAATGTAACAGATTTTTTCGATAACTTGAATTATGTTATGAATAAATACAAATTTGGTCCCGAAGCTATTTATAATATAGATGAAACAGGCATTATAACAGTACATCGTCCAACAAAAATAATTACTAAAAAAGGTATTAGCAAGTTTCAAAAGTAACCAGCGGAGAAAGAGGAACCACCGTTACTTTGTGTTGTGCAATAAATGCAATAGGCAATAAATTGCCTTCGTTTTTTGTGTTTTCCCGTGTAAAACCTAGACACGAAATGCTGGTAGGAGCTCCTCCGGGGTCCTTTATAGTTGCTCATCCTAGTGGATGGATGACTATAGAAAATTTTCAGCTGTTTCTGAAACATTTTATATAATACGTGAAATATAGCAAAGAAAATCCAGTTTTGATGCTTTTGGACAACCACGACAGTCATTTGTCACCTAATGGACTAAATATATGTAAAGATAATGGTATTATAATGTTAACGTTTTCACCACCAACTACAACCATTGGACCGAACAGTATATGGACCCTTCAAAACATATTATGATATTGCCGCAGACGAACAAATGAGAAGCAATCCAGGAGTACCACTAACCATTAATAATTTACCTACAATAGTTAACACAGCTTTTCCACTTGTATTTAGTTCCGTTAACATACAAAAAGGGTTTCAGTGCACCGGAATTTATCCTTTAAACAGATTAATTTTCACATACGTCGACTTCGCTGGCACATATGTCACAGATAGACCAGAATCACAGGTTGACCTCAAAACACCCAATAATTCATCTGACAAAAATTTACATGTAGGAGAAACAAATGACCCTAAACCATCAACATCCACATGTTCCCATAATATGTCAGTATAACCTCTAACACACCTGAAAAGCAAACACCGTTAACTCCACAAGATGTGCAGCCATACCCAAAAGCACCTCCTCGCAAAGTAATAAAACGTGGTAGACAACCTTTTTAACAAGATATTAAAAGAAAAAAGAATCCTAGACAACTGGAAGGAATCAGTAACCATTATCCTACACAAGAAAGTGGATAAAGCAGATATAAAAAACCACCGTCCTATAACACTCCTCAATGTAATGTATAAACTCCTAACAAAAATTTTAACCAATAGATTGACGACAAAATTCGATGGATACCAGTCGAAAGAACAAGCTGGTTGTAGAAAGGGATTCAGCACCAGTGACCATTTACTAAGTATGAAAATACTTATAGAACGAGCAAATGAATACCACATTCCTCTATATATGGCGTTCATAGATTTCGAAAAGGACAGTGTCGAACATTGGGCAGTGAAAAGCTCTTTGATTAACAGCCGAATTGACCACAGATATACGGAAATAATAACCAATATATATATATATATATATATATATATATATATATATATATATATATATATATATATATATGTATATATATATGTATATATATATATATATATATATATATATATATATATATATATATATATATATATATATATTTATATATATATATATATATATATATATATATATATATATATATATAAGGAAGCCAAAACAACAATTAAAGTATATGAAGGAACAAAATCATTACAAATAAGTAGAGGCGTGAGACAGGGTGATACAATATCACCGAAACTTTTCAATCAGGCTCTTGAAGATACTTTTAAAAGATTAGAATGGGAAAAAAAAGGTTTAAAAAAAGAATTATTTGAAATGATGAAAGAACTGGACGTAGAAGCTGGAAAGATATGCCTTAATATGAATTACATGAATTACAGCAAGACCAAAACTATAACAAATACAGATGAAGACATCACAATGAGAATCGGACAAGATGAAATAGAACAAGTTAAGGATTATATATATATATATATATATATATATATATATATATATATATATATATATATATATATATATATAAGGATCACTCAGACGAGTGGTGGGTTCTTATATCGGTCTCTAGGTGGAGAAATAAAAGACAAAGTTGATAGGCTACTTTATCTATTTTGAAGACGTTTCGCTTTCGAGTTTTGAAAGCATCATCAGTTCATCTCAAAAAGATATGTAGCAGTCAATGTTATTAACAAACATGTGAATGAAACTAAGTAAATGGACATAGTACGCTGATCTTGTATAAACAGTTAAGCAACTAACAACATATATGAACTTGTAAAAAAATTAGCACAGCAAATGACCATGTGGTCTAAAGTAAATTCAATGTTATTTAATGTTAATAAGTGAGTAAGAACCAAGAAAATCATAAATAACTTCCAACTATTTAATGGATATTAAGCTTTGATTTTAACTTTAGGTAGCATTATAAGTAATATTAATAAAATCTTAAAAAATAGTAAATATGAAGTTACCGATCAAAGCCCTATGAATGTCGCCGGGAAAAAAAAATAATATATATATATATATATATATATATATATATATATATATATATATATATATATATCTTGGTCAAACTATAAAACTTAACAAAGAGAACCAAACAGCAGAGATCAAGAGACGAGTTAGACTGGCATAGGCGGCATTTGGCAAACTAAGCTACATTCTTAAAAACAAAAGATATCCACAGCATCTTAAGACCAAAGTATATAATCAATGCGTACTCCCTGTTCTTACTTATGGTTCCCAAACGTGGACATCTACAAAAGCAAACATGGACAAAATCATAAAAACCCAAAGAGCAATGGAAAGACAAATGTTGCACATAAGACTAATGGATAAGAAGAGAAACGAGTGGATAAGAGAGAAAACAAAAATGAGGGATGTTAGACAAGAAGTTGCAAAATTGATATGGAGATTTGCCGGACACAATATAAGACAAAAAGAAGACCGATGGAACAAAATTCTTATAAGTTGGAGACCGTGGGAATATATACGAAGCATAGGAAGGCCCCAAATGAGATGGGCAGATGATATCAGGAAGCACGTGGGCTCTAGATGGATGACTGTAGCGACAGACAGAGAAGAATGGAAAAGGATTGGGGAGGCCTATGTCCAAAGATGGACCGAAGAAGGCTAATTAGATAGATAGATAGATAGACAACCAGGTAAAACTATCATCGCTACAGACACTCTCATTAAAACACAAATAGAGGAAGCATATGCAATGAGGAAGTTAAGCTGTAAGAAAAAAGTAAAAGCAGAGAAAATAGAGAAAATGAATTTCTAAAAAAAACTAAATTAGACAAGAACAGCCGCGTTTTTAAGAAAATCAATCGAGCTCGCAGGATTCAACGTCATACATCAACATCTTCAGAATCATCAGTTAACATGTCTTCTTCCCACTCTAGTCTAGATATATCTGATGCGAATGATGATGATGCTAAAGAAGTTTTTGATGAACATTTTTCAAACAAGCCGGTTACAAGTGACTACATCTTAGTAAGATTTGCCACTAAAAGCATCGTATATCATTATGTTGGTTGTATTTTGAAAACTGAGGGTGATGAGCATGAGGCCAGTTTCCTAAGAAAAAAATCAAGCTGATTACCTTAGTGGAACGGATCTGATGAATTTTACGTTCGATTTTAATTTTAGTAATTATGAAAATGTTTTGTAGTTTTCGGAAGTGATTATTTTCTAAATATAGTATGGGTAGCTGTTCTTTATTTCATAAATATTGTATGTGTTTATTTTTGTCTCTACCCTTACAGAGGGAGCCTTGAACCAAAGTACCTACATTTTCATTTTATATTATCATTGATAAACGGCTTGCTATAACTAAATTAGGTCTTCACTAAATAAAAGCCAAAATTGCATTAGAGTTAGTTTTTTTTTAAAGAACATATTAGTCATAATCACAAATAAAATGAGGTCCACATAAAAATTGTCTCAAGGCTCCCCACCTTACCCTACTTATATGTGAAGTAAAAAATCGAATGAAAATTAGTAGAGATAAGAATTATGACAAGAAAATATGTACACACCTTATAGTTACTAAACGATGATTTAACACTTTCATATATCTTCATATAATGCCCAGATTGCACGAATAATCCGAAGAAACTCTTTATGTCTTTCTTCTCGTTCTTTTCGTCTTTTTCTAATTTTAATGTCATGGATTTTTTATCTAAATCGCTTTTTCTTCTTTTAAGCGGCGACAAATTAGCCGTGGCGGGTAAATTAGGAAGTACTGGTTTTGATTGAGGATGCAAAGGCTGTAAGTCATTCAAAACGTGCTGAAATATGTTTAACAATTTTATTATATGGTATAAGTATTGATCTGAGAGATCAGAAAATACTTCATTGTTAAACATGACCCATGGAGTTATGGTAATTTCTAGATCAACTGGTTTTAGGGTTGTCAAAGCATGCCCTGTAACAAACAATAAAAACAGTTAACATTACATCATAACAAACAATATAAATTTTTATTTGTGAATTCTGTTACTATTTCTCATTTTAGGATACCAATTAACTCATTATCTCTAACCTAACCTAACTCATTCCCTTTTTCCTAAGCATTTTTCTTATCCCACTCTCCTACCAAAAATGTGCAATGATTGTAAATATTTGAAGAGAACTCATAAATGTAAGACCGATTGTTATTTTTCAACAAAACAACACGATTTTAAATACTGAAGCTAGTTTCTTGTGACATTTTAATGAAATTATTAATTTTATTAGGAATAAGCACAATTTAAGTTTAAAATAAGTCTATTTTTGACGTTTCGATTTCCACTTTGGAAATCGTTCTCAAAGTACAAACATTAATAAATTTGTTACTTATTGAAAAATTCTTCTAATAATTTAATTTTATCTGCATCATTTATATTGAAAATTCAGACACATATACATTTTATAGTAGAGAACTATAAAATGATATTGCCAATATAGCTGAGTTACGTTCCTAGGGCGAATTTATTGTAAGATAGTTCATCAGATTACATGAAATCAACTTTAGAATATCCGTTAAAAAAAATTCAAAGCATGTGATTCGTATTTAAAAGGACTCCTGTTGGTGATTCCATAGTAAATCATGAGCAAAAAACCTCATAATACGATCCCGACATGGTAAGTATTGGGTCTTCCATTTAGTTTACTCTCAATAAACAAAAAACACCGAACTATCTTACAATAAAGTCGTTCCAGGAACGCAACTCAGCAATATTGGCAATATCATTTCAAAGTCGTGTACTTTAAAATGTATAATATATGTCTGAATTGTCAATATAAATGAGTCAGATAAAATTAAATTATTATACTAAAACAATTAATAATTGAAGGTGATTACTTCGCAACATCGCACTTAAAGCGTCGAAATCATATTCCACTTAAACTAGAGGACCTAATACAGTACTTAAAAAATCAGAAACCTTTGCAAAATACTTATTTTTTCATTAGACTAAATAATCTGAAATTTTAATATACGATCTCGTTAAAGAGTTAATAGCTTTGTTAGAAGAAGACAGATTGTGAAAATGCTGATTCACTTAATGTGGTTTATTTGCCGTCGGAATCATATGAAGTTTACGATGTAGAAGACATTAATCATAATATTATTTGTGAAGAAGGAATAAAATCCGATATTGCAGGTACATATGAAATACAAGTGATTGGGAATTTTGACGATTCTGATTAGGATATTCGGATATTCCTCTGAACCGCAGATAAAACGTCCAAAGAAAAAACCAGGCAAAAATAGTAAATCCAAATTTGTCTCAAGTTGAGTAACAACAGTTACTCCTTCGTACTCAGTAGTAATTCAACATTAGTCTGATTGATATTTAGACAATATAAAAGCCAACCATGAAGGCAATTTTATAATGAAGTTTTTCACTCTTTTTTGATAAACAAGTAATTGAGAATATTCTATATTTTACAAATATTTATCCATCGTAGAATAACCGCCAATATTTTGAAATGAATGGCATAGATTTAAAAAATTTATTGGCATATGTATATTATCTGGTTCACACTCTGCTTCAAGTTGATATGTATTCGTCATGAACCGTCATGAACCGACATAGATTTCGTTTAATCAAACATGAAGAGAAGAGAATAGTGAAGAAACCGCTACATCAGTGTCAAACTTAGTACATGGACGGCAATCTAAATTTGCATTACCAGATGAAACTAGATTCGAATATTGGCCACATTACAAAAAAAGACGATAGTACGAGAGTGTCCTACTCAATTCCTATCTTCACCTCCAAGCTGGTACACACCGGTAACCTGAGCAACCCCACTGGAGATTGGGTAACCAACCCCAATGGAAGGTGGGGTCAGGGCTGACGAAGAAGGGAGTCTTGGTCCTCCGACGAATAGGGGGTTGGGCTGAAGGTTAACTACCTTCTAGAAAATCCATGAGTTATGAACGTTCAAGGAAGAAAAGCCGGACTGATTAAACGACGACGACTGTGCGAGAAAAAGGAACACGATTTGAGGGTTGCGACATGGAATGTTCGAACATTGTACAGATTAGGGGCTCTCCAAAATCTCTTAAACGAACTAAGTAGATACAAAATTGACATAACTGCCATACAAGAAATGAGGTGGATTGGAAACAATATTATGGAAAAAAAGAGCCATACCATTTTCTACAGCTGCGCTCCTAAAGATCACATTTTGGGCACTGGATTCATAGTTAACAATAGAGTAAGACATATAATAAAAGACTTCAGAGCCATCAGTCCCAGAATGTGTATTTTAAGAATTAAAGGACGTTTCTTCAACTACAGTCTAATTAATGCGCATGCCCCCACAGAAGAAAAAGAAGAGTTTTATGATGAATTAGAGTCCGCATACCAGTCATGCCCAAAAAGTGATATAAAAATAATTTATGGAGACCTAAACGCAAAAGTTGGAAGAGAGCAGCAATTCCAACCCACAATAGGTAAGCACAGTCTCCATGAGCAATCAAATGACAATGGCAATAGGTTGGTAAACCTAGCAAGATCACTTAACATGGTGATTGCCAGCACATACTTCGCTCGAAAAGATATACACAAAGGCACCTGGAAATCACCAGACGGACTTACAGTGAATATGATAGATCATGTTATTGTAGACTCAAGACACCAATCGAATATAATAAACGTCCGTACCAGAAGAGGGGCAAATGCGGATTCTGATCACTACCTAGTCGAAAGTAGGATAAGGGCTAGAATTTCAAACATCAAAAAGGAAAGAGGCTCTAAACATGAACGATACAATATAGAAGGACTCAAAGAAACAAACAAAAATAGAGAGTACAAAGAAAATATAAGCATCAAACTAGAAAACAGACTAAAACATGAAAACCTAAATGAGGAGTGGGAAGAGTGCAGAGAAATTATAAAAGAAACAGCTAAAGAGGTGTTGGGCATGGAAGGTAAAGAAAGAAGAACAAGAACGAATCACTGGTTTGACGAAGAATGTCAAACTATAACAGAAAGAAAAAACAGAGCATATCTACAGATGCAACAGAGGCACAGAACCCGACAAGCAGAGGAAGAATATAAACAACTACGTAAAGAAGAAAAGAAAATTCACCGAAGAAAGAAGAGAGAATATATCAACAAAGAACTTCAAGAACTACAAGAACTAAGTAAACCAACAGAGACAAGAAAATTTTACCAGAAACTCAACAAAAGCAGAAAAGAGTTCAAACCGAGAACAACGATGTGTAAAGATAAGGAGGGTAATATATTGACAGAACAGCAAGAGATACTTAGAAGATGGACAGAACATTTTAAGGAAAAGCTTGTGGTGAATAGGACGGAGATGAACCCTGATATACCGTTAGACCAAGCAGACAACAGAGAAAAGAGTCCACCAACAATAGCAGAGATTAGAACAGCAGTGGACAAATTAAAGAACAATAAATCACCGGGATCGGATCAAATATCATCGGAGCTACTGAAAGAGGGAGGAGACGCATTACTTAAAGCCATACATGAGCTGATAAGAAAGATATGGTTGAATAAACAGCTACCAAAGGAGTGGAATAGCGGCATTATTGTACCACTACATAAAAAAGGAAACCAGTTAGAATGTGAAAACTACCGTGGAATCACGCTGTTGAATGCGGCATACAAAATAATGTCCAACGTAATGTATAAAAGACTTAGACCATCCGCTGAAAAAATAGTTGGCAAATACCAATGTGGCTTCTGTAGACAGAAGTCAACAATAGACCAGATATTTGTTCTGCGACAGATCCTTGAAAAAACAAGTGAATATAACATCGACACACATCATCTCTTCATAGACTTCGAAAGCGCATATGACAATATAAACCGAGAATTCCTAACAAAAGCAATGAAATAATTTAATATACCAACACAGCTAATAGAATTGATAAAAGAAACACTAAAAGTAGAAAGTAAAATCCGGATACAAAACGAATTAACGGAAACAATAGATGTGAAGAAGGGACTACGCCAAGGAGACGCTCTATCATGCATATTATTCAACATCATACTTGAAAAAATAATAAGAGACACAACAGTTAATACCCGAGGAACAATAATTAATAAAAGCGTGCAAGTACTAGCATTTGCAGATGATGTTGACATAATCGCAAGATCAAGAAGAGAAATGATAGAGGCATTCACTCAAATAGAACGAGCTGCAAAAAATAGTGGTCTTAAAATCAATCAGACAAAAACAAAATATATGCCTGCAAATAAAAACGCACAAATAAGGCAGCTGCCAAATTTAACAATAGGAGAATACAACATCGAGGCGGTAAAAAACTTTACATACTTAGGATCCCTAGTTACGTCTGATAACAACGTTGCAGAGGAAGTGAAGAGGAGAATATTTATTGCCAATAAATGTTACCATGGCTTAATTAGGCAACTAAGATCAGATAACGTCTCCAGAAAAACAAAATGCCAAATATACAAAACCTTAATAAGACCGGTACTCACATACGGTTCAGAAACCTGGACACTCTCTAAAAGGGAGGAAACGTTATTAGCCACCTTTGAAAGAAAAATCTTGCGACACATATATAAGGGCACAAAAGAAAACGGGATTTGGCGGAGAAGGTATAACTTTGAACTATACAACATATACCAGGATTCGGATATCATAACATTCATTAAAATAGGAAGGCTACGTTGGATTGGACATGTGGAAAGAATGGAAGAAGGCGAAATATTCAAACAAGTGCCAGTAGGAAAAAGAACAAGAGGAAGACCGAAGCTGAGATACGTAGAACAAATAGAAAATGATATAACAACATTAAAAATTAAAAACTGGAAAAAAAAGCACGAAACAGGTCAGAACGGAGAAGAATCCTTGAACAGGCCAAGACCCAAAAAGGGTTGTCGAGCCAGTGATGATGATGATGACGAGAGTATCCGGTGTGTAAAAATAATACTATTTATTTATGTAAAAGGTGTAGAGTGCATCTACACCCCGAATGTTTCAAAAATTTTCACCTTAAAATTTAATTTACATTTAAGATACGATATGTTACTTTATTTAAAATTGTACTATTTTTCCTTGAAAATAAAAAAAAAAAATTTTGGTTGTAAATTAGTCTTAATTTATGTCTTTTTAATCCAATCTAATAAATAAATTGTCAAATTTCTCTTTGTTTATTGTATCGGTCGTTAATGGGTTAATACTAAAAAAGATTAACCTTATCTCAAATTTTCTTTACTTGCCTCAAAACTATTTTGAAGTTAATAATAGAAGTCTATTTAATAAATATATTCCCAAATAATAGAATACACTACGCCTATGCACATATAAAACGTGAAACGAATAAACTAAAATATATTTCTCCCATTCCCATTCTTTCTAAGAACGTAAATATATAGACCAGAGAAATGTTGATAAGTTTACCGATGATTCAAACTATTCAATGAACTTGTCGAACTATACGCTCGTGAATCGCATCAATTTGCATTGTTACGCAGGCAAATTTTATGGGACTGTCTTAATTTTTCACTTATTTACAAGGGCGAAGCATACACAATAAAAATGACCCCGGTAATAATTTACTTCTGAGATTTTACATGGTTGTCGTTAGCACTTCGCTCAATTTGTAGATTAGTCACCTTTAATTGAAAATTGTCGGACTTATTGAAGAATTTTTCACCAAGTAACGAAAAACAAAATTTGTTTAATGTATTAATATTTTTTATTTTGAGAACGATTTCCGAAGTGGAAATCGAAATGTCAAAAATAAACTTATTTTAAATTTAAATTGTGGCTTATTCACAATAAATATAGTAAGTGAAATGAGAGTTTCCACTACGGTTTATAAAATAAAAAGTGAGCCAATAACATTTAAAAGCTGATTCACTATTGAAGGGAACCAAAATATTTATAGTGAAACAAACGCATCATATATCCAGTGTGTGTTTACTTGTGTATTCAAGTAAGATAGTAAGATGTGATTTCAGTAAGATAAAATACAAATTACACTTACCTGCATATAGATTAATTGCAAGATTCAAAATATCCATATGAGTTTGCAGACTATACACGTGTACAGAATTTGTCAACAAACTTAAGCAAAAATTTAATAGATCCGGCATTTTCAAATCATTATTAATTTGGAAATCCATTGTAGACCAACTACTTTTGTACAATGTACAAGGATATGTATTAGAGAGTAAAGACAATGTCTCTATACAGCCGCTCTAAAAATAAAAAAATATATGCATTTTGGGATCAGCATGAACTTTATTTTAAAAGCAAGCTAGGTATTATTCCCCCGCAAAATGAAGTATAATATATTATACAGTACATAAATCTTTCAGCTAGACATAGGTAATACATATTGAGGTAAGTAACTGCGCTTTCTCGAATATATGCGAATATCCTACCACACTTAAGCGATAGCCTACAATGCGATTGATAACTCGATAATCGGTGCCTTAGAATCTGTTAGCTGTATGAATTGGAACCGTGAAGGGAAGAGTATCGTTTTAAAAGGTTTATTTCAGAAAACGTTCAAATAATTAAATATGGTATTACCAAGACTTTTGTCAGAATATGTAGATCTATTTGCTAATATTTTCGAAAATAGACCCATATCTTGTAGACAAACAATTGCAAATGTAAATATTTTTGAAACACATTATTGTTCACAAGATTGTACAATGTGTCACAAAAGAAAAGAGATGTCCCTGCAAAGACAGTAGGAAATCGAAAGGAAAGATGAAAGTATTTGTGCTACCATTGAAGTGGATAACTCCAGAACCTCTAGAAGTGTCGCCGAGGAGTTGGAGGTCCCGCTTACCACAGTTAATAAATTCATTTGATGAATTAGCAGCTTACTTACTACGTGAGAATGTTTGTCACGATGTTTGAAATAGTTAGAAACAGAAATAACTCATGTTTAACGTCCACAAATTAAAATTATTCATTAAAATACACAATGTTAAATTTTTTAAATTTTATATTTGACAGATCCATGAAATTAAGTAAGGTTAGACATTTACTGGATGTACAATTTTAATTAAAAACACTAAAAGATTATCTTAGAACTATCATTTCCCCTAAAAGTTAAGATTGTTGCGAACAATTTTAAAATTGAAGCATCAAATAATCAAAACCAATAAAGAGCACATAAACAGATACCAATAAATGCGGCCATTCCTGTTTTTTTTAAGATAAAATGTATAATTCATGGCCAAAATAATGAGAGGTCAATTTCGCAACATATTTTTAAAGCACGTTAGCTTTTCTGTCCGAGTTCACTGGTAAGTTACCCAACCATGACGTTTTTCTTCGCCCTATACCTTCTTTGGCCTCAATTTTCTTCCTGAGAATCCCTAGATTCTGCAAAAGTTGATATTTATTACAGTATATAACTGTATATAAGTTCAACTAATGTCGCGTGCCGATTCCGAAAGGCACTCATGACAATGAATCGATCATCCCTCTCTGTCGTTACAGGTTGCCGACCCGAACCTGGTCGTCGGCTGTAGCTACCGGTCTCCTGCTATCGACGGTAAGCCCTTGAGACTGCAGACTGCGTCATGAGTAGGCCACAGGTGACAGTCTTTTAACTATAGCCCTCTCGTAATAATGCCGCTCTCACTGGTGAAGTATCCATTTACAAAATATTCATTAACTGCACCTTGGAGTGTTCACAACATGCCCGTTACAATGTTTGTTGCATTCCCTGTGCCATAACGGAAGTAGGCAAATTTTACAACACGTTACCAATTTGCAATAGATAATATTTTTTGCATTAGTTGTTTTAATTCAAAGTAACACAACATAAAATTACTAAGCATAAAATCTAATTTATCGAGCCAGTCGATTTTTTTGCTCCCAAGCACAGAATACACCAACAACAAGAAGCGACACAAGGACGATTTTCATGAACCAAATTTTTATGCGCATGCATGAGGTCGGCCATTTTATAATATGTACCATTTTATATATAATATGTACCATATATATTTTTATATATTTTTATAATATGTACCATATGGCCATTTTATAATTTTTAATGTCAAGTAGCTTTGGTGACGCTTGCATTTGTGCAGAATCGGCGTTAGTGTTTTTATTATCTTTGAACTTGGTTATTTTATAAAATTTTTCCAATAGATTGGATTGTTCTACCGAAACAATCACGGGCTGTCACATAACTGGCAACAACAGCCGTAGTAAATTAAAACATCGACTAAGATTGTTGTTGTACTACACATCTAAGTTAATCATTGGCATAAATTATCAAACAAATGCCTTGTCCAAATTGGTAGAAAGAAAAAAAATTGTCAAAAATTTTACATTTGATATGAAGACAGACATATGACTTTGCAACTTTGAAAATACTTCAATATTTTTTTTTAGGAGATAAGCCACTCCCAAATGATATTTTTACAACGTACATTCAACCACCTTGTGTCCTGTTACCATCCTCGGCATCAACACAGACATCCAGTATATTGAGTTCTCATACTCCAAGAAAAATAAAGCTTTATAAGAAGATCAGGTCTTTACGTTTAAAACTAAATAAGGGCACTACAACACAATCACGAAAAGAAAAATATTCAGTTAGCGAATTTAATAAAATGTGCGATAAATTTTTAAATAAGCCCTTATCCCAGGTAGTGAAGGCCTAAGTATTCCAGGTATTCCAAGGAATATAAGCAATTTGCTTTAACTTTATACTTTTTAGGTCCTAGGGCATATTCATTTATGGGTAAACTTTTATATTTACCATCAAAAAGAAGTTTACAAAGAATGACAGAGAATTTAGCATGCAAACCAGGTTTAAATAACGAACAAATTTTTGATGCATTAAAAATCAAAGTTTCAACTATGATTGAACAGGATAAACATTGTACTATATGTATTGACGAAATGTCACTAAAAAGTAATTTATATTTTGATTTAGAACGGGACGAAGTTGTTGGATTGTGTGATATTGGCAGTGAAAAGAAGAGTGGTCTTGTTGCAGAAAATGTTCTGGTTATTATGGCTCGAGGCTTGTATTCCAAGTGGAAACAACCATTAGCCTATTTCTTTGTTAATACTAGCTTTGAGGCAGAAAAGTTGTGTCCTGTTATCAAGAAATGCATCTTTTATTATTAAAAATTATTTAAATGTGATTTGTATGTTGATTGTCTAGTCACAGATATGGGATCAAATTTTATGAAACTAGGTAAATTATTGGGGGTCAGACCTGGTAATGCTGAATTTACTGTAGATGATAAATTATTATTTTATATTTATGACCCATGTCATTTAATTAAGGCTACCAGGAACAGTTTAATAAATAACATTTTGTGTTTTGGTGGTTATAAGAAAACATCCTGGACATATGTGCAAGCATTCTATCGTGAGGATAAGGGAAATCAGTATAGGTGTGTCCCAAAGCTTACCAGCTCACACATATATCCCACAAATTTTGAGAAGATGCGAGTAAAACTGCAGATGCTCTTGGAACAATAGAATTCATTCAAAAATTTGACATTCTTTTTGATATATTAAATTCATTCGACACTGGTAATTCCAATAAATATAAAAATTGTTATGAAGGTTCAGCAATTCAATTAAATTATTTAAATTCAATGTCGAAGTTCATTCAAGAATTGAAAATATTTGGCAAGAGTGGGAAAAATGTTACTTCTAGATCGAGATCATTGAAATGTTGGGTTATTACCATAGATGGGGTCAAAAAGTTGTGGGACAGGCTACTTCATTTTGACTTCAAATATTTAAAAACTAGGAGGCTAAACCAAGATTGCTTAGAAAATTACTTTGGTAGCATTAGGCAACAAGGGGGCAATTCAATTAATCCTACTCCTATCCAGTTCCAAAGAGCATTTAAAAAATTGTTCTGTTAAATTTTTTTACATTCCAATGCCATGAATTGCAAAGATGATTTGGACAAACAATTGATGGACTTAAAACCCAGTAACATCATTTGTACAGGTCAACAGGAAGAAAATAATCCAGTATTGCACTTCCTGACTCAGATTATAAATATCAAAATATTACTAACCAAAATGCTTTCCAGTATGTCTGTGGATATTTACTTAAAAAATGTATCAATGTACATAATTGTGAAGTTTGTATAGAATACTGTAGAAAGTGGTGGAATTAGATCTTAGTCACCTACTCACTCATTTTAAAGCATACAACACTGATCAATATGTATATGGAGGATTAAGTACACCAAATGAAAATTTTGTTATATATATATATATATAAATTAGAACAAATATTTTCCACATCATACGAAACTATTTTGACCGAAAAACAAGTGTCATATTCGTATTTTAATGTCATGAAAGAAGTAACTTTTATTCATCCTTGTAAATTATTTCCGATAACCTATCTTTATTATTTATCCGTTATTTATTAGATTAAGGCTTTATTATTCTCTAAAATATTTTAATAGGGATCTAAAAAGTAAGAAGAATGTTAAGAAGGGAAATAGAAAATCTTAACACATTTATAGTTTTTAGCACAAAATACTCAATTTTCTTTACATTTTGTCTTTTGAATTGTACTTCGAAGATCTCAATTAGTATATTTCATGCTACAAAATATTTTAAGCCAAATAAGTAATTTTACAACATATGTTTTAGTAAAATCAGGGCATGGATGGGTAAATTCTACTTTTTTTCATTATATTAAAAAGTTTATGTGAGACTCTCTGTTGTATACAAATCTCTACAAACTTAGTTTTAAAAATGTGTTTTAAGTTATAGATATATTTAATAAAAAAAATCAGGAGGATGCTGCAATGCTCCATGGATCATTTTTGTAGGGTTGTATGCTTTATAATATGTTAATAAAGAATTCACATCTAAAGATTAACACTGTGTCTGATAATTTTCACAATTGTTACAGTTACTATGCCTATTAATTGGTGTTTTTTTTTTTCAAGATATCCACAAACATAGGGATAGGGATATGTATAATTCTAATGATTCTTAACACTTTTTGATTATCTTTTTAGGTTATTACTTCTTTATATTTATAGAAATATACTCCTACAATATTTCTTGATTTTTTATTTGTTTAACCCGATATTTTTTACGTTTTACTATATATTTTATTATTGGTCTTTTAATGCTAAAATCAGGATAAACAAAAAAGTATTTTCATCTATGGTTCCAATCAATATGATTTTTACCATTACTTTGCGTTGTGCGATGTATTTGCAACCTTTTGCAAATACATAAAAAAAATAATTCCAGCATTATTAAGAATGTCAACAAAAGCCGACCCTGCATGCAACCTTTTTCTCAGTGCAACTACAATTTTGGTGATGTACGCCAGAAATGTGTGTGACTTTTCTCAGTGTACTAACATGTATAAATGTCAGATCCACACTAAAATTAAGTACAAGCTAACAACAAAGGAATCGACAAAGAAATGGTCTTTGCAAAGCTGTCGCTTCTGGTTGTTGGTGTATTCTGTGCTCGCAAGTGTGTTAACACCATAATGATGATAAAACAGAAAAATATTAAAATGATTTATACAAAATAGGAAAAAGTTGTAGCCGATATCTAATTAAAAACTCAATTTTATTAAATAGGCATTTAATAAACTTGACCTTGGAACTACGTATATGATATGATACTTACCAACAAATTTTTAGAAACAGTAGTTAGCACTATGTTGCATAACCTAGAAACTACTTTAGACAGAGAAAAATCAGTTTTATCACATATTTTTTGGGAAATCGTGTTAAAGGGGAAAGGCATGTTGCTAATAAAATGTTTTCTATTTACACCGGTATCAAGTTCCTCGTGTTGGAGATTTTTTGTTAATGCTTCTATATCTAATAAAGCTTTCGAGGTAGGAGTGCCCTCATTAAGTAGGTATTCTCCGTAGTAGAGATGTGGAATTATCCTAAAATTAAAAAAAAAATATGAGAACATTATATATATATATATATATATATATATATATATATATATATATATATATATATATATATATAATATAATATATATATATATATATATATATATATATATATTATATATATATATATATATGTATATATATATATATATATATTATATATATATATAATATATATATATATATACCCAATCATTTTCGTTATTCATTTCTGCCCACGATTGTCTAATATTCACTTCGCATCGCTCCATTGGCCGTTGTGTTTCGCTATTATCTCTTTCTTTAGTGTCAAAGTTTCGCAGCACAGGTAATATACACTGATTGAGTGTTTTTTTCTTGAGGTGGAGTGGCATCTTCTATTTGCATATAACTACATTTCTACCAAAAGATGCCAAAGCCAGTCTTCTGTAGATTTCTGGGAGTAGGGAACCAGATTTATGTATTAAATGTCCCATGTATACATACTCGTCTACTTTCTCAAATGCAGTGTTGTTTATTATTACATCTTGGACATTCACTAGCTAGTTGTAAAGGGTGTTTTTTTTTAAGTATAGAAATGTATGGTGGTAACGATAATTCGTAATGTCGTGGACCTCAAGTAATCATTTAGTGACGTCGATCTACGAACGAAACAATGATATCAGTCATTGCTAAAAACATGCGCTACCTTCACTGCCTTATCGTAGCGAGACAGAGACGAACTAGTTTTTGCGTTAGTGAAACACCTTTAATATTTTTATTTTTTGTGAGCCATGGTTTTTTATATTTTATAGTGAGGTACTATTTATGTTCGGTGCATTTCAAGTCGTTTTTAACATTTTTTAAAAAACTTCACTTTTAAAAGTGTGTAACCTTGTTCTATCAGTTTCTGATACTTTAGTTTGGGCTTATTTGATTTTAAAACATTGTTTTTAGTTGTTTGAGGCCCTTATCACAACCAAAAAATAGATTAATACAATTTATATTTATTATTTATTATTTCTTGTCTCGTATTCTGCTGAATTTAAAACCAAAGTCCTATTATTTTTATCATACATTGATTTGTTATTTATTTATTTCTCCTCTAGATTTTTTTCAGTTCTTAAAAGGTTTATTTATAAGCCAAATTAGTGCAATGTAAATATTTTACATTTTTACACAGCATTCTTATCGGCAGTGAAGACGAGAAGTCGTAAATTTTTATTACTTCTTTCAATGTGACATAACATCAAAATGCGATGACTAACTGGAATGTTTAAGATTAGAAAAACATAATATGTCATGTTTATGGCAAATACTCATTAGCATTAGCACGTCCAATTCCTACCCGGTCGCCTAATTTGCTATGAAATTAAAATGGTGGATGTTTTTAGGTTCCATTTATTTTTTCGGGCATGCGTATTTACGAGGTTTTGAAACATTTTTAACACTTTTTTAACTGTCGGCCATTTTGACAGCTGTCACCTGACACCTGAAAAATGCTTCCAAATTGTACAAATTTACTTTGAAAATTGTGATTCTGTTCGAAAGACGTATCGCGCAATACGTCCATTTTATGGTCAACATATTATTCTACCAGGATAAGTAATTCGATTAACCATGGCGTTTTTGCACTACTTTTACTCTAAATGATAATATGCATTCACAGATACGTCATACAGTGCGTACAGAAGAAGTTGTTGCTGCTGGTAGCATACAGGAAGACCCGAATCAGTCTATATGTCATCTTGTACATCAGTTGGATACGTGTCCATCCAAGATTTTACGTAAAATTTTGATTTGCGTGCTTACAAAATCAAACTTATGTAAGAATTGAAGGTACATCATCACCTAGCAAGGCGTAGATTCGTAGATTCTTGGAGTTAAGATAATCCTCAAATGTATGTTAAGAAACCATTACATCCAGAAAAACTGACTGCGTGGTGTGCTTTATGGTCTGGTGGAATAATAGGACCGTACTTCTTCAAAAACAATGCTGGCCGCTATACAGGCATTTAATGCCTTTTTCATTCCCCAATTGAACAACCATAATGTGCAGGAGCTGTCATTTCAATATGACGGAGCAACATGTCACACAGCTCTTGCAACAATTTATTTATTGGAGGAAACGTTTGGTAACTGCATAGTTTCACGTTTCGGACCGTGGCATAGCCTCCAAGATCGGGGATTTAACACTGCTAGACTATTTTATGTGGAGATATGTGAAGGTGCTAGTCTACGCCGATAAGCATGAAACAATTGACCAATTGGAGGACAACATTCGCCGCGTTATTGCCGATATACAGCAACGAATATTGGAAAAAGTGATTGAAAATTGGACCTCTAGATTAGACTACGTCAGAGCCAGTTAAGACGGTCATGTGCCAGAAATCATATTTAAATTATAATGACAAAATAGTACCTGTCGGATAAAGTTAGTTTCATGTCAATGTATAAAAATCATCTTTGATTTATTCCATTTCAAAGTTCTATACCTCTAAAAAACACCCTTTACATGGTTTTTGTTTTTGTCAAGTTCATTTTTAGACCAACTTCATTGCTAGCTGCATTTAGGCCGCTTATAAGTTCTTGTAGTTCTGTGGGATTATTAACAATGAGAACTATGTCCTTTGCAAATCTATTCTCCATCAATGGATAGGCCTTTGTTCTGCCGGTTCATTTTGCTGAATATATTTTCTAGAGTTACAGTGAAGAGCTTTGGTGATATTGCGCCTCCTTGTCAGACGCCCCTGGTAGTCGGAAATTCTAGAGGGTTCCCATAAATTTTTACCTTAGCTTTTACTTGTCTGTACGTATTTGCTAAAGTCTCTATCTACGGTTTGTCACTGCCTTGTTTGGTCAAAACTTCTATTACTGCATTGGGATATATAGAATCAAAAGCCGTCTCGAAATCTATGAAGGTTAGTGTCAGCGATATTTCATATTCGTTAGCTCTACTCATTAGTTCTCGAAGCGTGTGGATATGATCCAGGTTACTGAATCAACTTCTGGCGCCACGTTGCTCTCTTGGCTATGCAGCATTTGGTAATCTGTTGTTGCTGATGTTTGTGGATATCTTATATATGATTTTTAGTGGACTTATACGTCTATAGTTTTTGGTATCCTCTTTGCTACCTTTCTTATGAATTAGAAGTATGTATGCTGTATTCCAGTGGTCTTTTATACATCTTAATCTTAGGCGTTCGTAAACATGTTTGCTAATATTTTCCAGGTTTTTTTGCCAGGGTACTTAAGCAGTTCTTCTTGCATAATAATTGCTTCTTTATTGCTTCTAGTCACGAGTTGTATTATTTCATTTCTGTCTGTAATTCTGGTGTTTTTGTTTGTTAGAGTAACAATTTGCTTCTACCCAATAATTAATGATTTTCTTGTTTTCTTATGTTTTCTCTTATACGCTGATATATTTCATGCTGAATATATTTGCCTGTAGTACCAAATGATGTGGGTTCGATCTCCACTATAAGGAAAACACCAAAAAATAATTCAGTCGTGTATCTAGGAAAGCAATTGGACTTCCCAACCGAGCGTAATTTTCCTTATACAGCTCCTCTACACTTATCCTCAAGAATCCCCGTTAAACGGTAGGTCTAGTATATCTATGTACCTTTGTGATACACAACACAAATATGCAAGGCAGGTCATAACTATTAAGACATAGTTAAAACACAATTAAACGATGCTGTGGAAAAAATATACATTATGTAAGAGTTGATATTTTTGGTTTGTTGAAGATTTTGAAAATTAACGTTTAGCAACGATAATACATATAAAAAAAGATATTGAAAATACATAGAGCGATGGAAAGATAATGGCTGACTATAAAATTTGTGAACTGAGAAAAAAATTTCTGGATCCACAGTAAAAATCAAATTTTGAGATAAGGTTGCTTTTTGGAAAAATAGTTTTTGTGCATTAGCTTAATATACATAACTAATATCTTAAACTTACTGTACAATACTAGAAGCGGCTGAAGTTCGAACCCTTTGGTCGCTATCGCTTAATAAATTAAAAAGAACATTGTATAATACTTTATCTTGAAAATCGTTGTTTTCTGTTACGTAATATATATTAATATAATCTATTTTTGACACCAGTTCACAAAGAGACACCTGAAAAAATAATAACTTTTCAAATCGGTTCTGATTTTTAAGTAAAAACTATTTTTTAAATAAAAACATATTATGTATATTTCAACTATGCTTTAAGTTCTAGTTCATAAGCACTAAACCAGATATAACTAGAATTATTTATATGATCTAGTTTATTTTACGAGTAAGCATCTATAATTTAATTCAATGTATTGATTTTTAGGTATCATATACTTCGATAAACAAGTGGTTTGATCAACGTTTGGTCCTATAAAGGCCTCATTACAGTTTCTTCTCTAAAGCACAAGCTTAAAAGTAAGTTCAGGACCTAACACAATACATTAAATATGATTTCTAAGTATCTCGAATGTATCTGGAGTATGTCCATCAGTAGGTCTGGACTTAAGTCTGCGAGGCAATTTGTTTTCATCCGTTGCAATACCGTGAATTTCTTTCTCTTGGATTCTAAAATCTCTATGTTGGATACGGTTACTGATAATCCCCACAACTGGATACCGTAACTACATATGGATTTTAATATAACTTTGTAGACTACAAATTTAGTTTTCTTTTTCAATTTGTATTTCCGTCCAATCATCTAGTAGAGCTGTTTGAATTTATGAGCCGTTGCTACTATTTCTATCCTAAGTTCCTTTTCTAGGAGAAAAAAAATTCCAATCCTGTACTCCCTCCAATACATAATATATCCTTCCCTTCCCAAACCTCGAGCGAACGGTCGATAAATATTTCTGACAGAGGACAGCAGCGACCGGAAATACCAAGATAAGGCGCATGAAAATGATTCTGGACCAGCTTACCATTGGATTTCACAAGCGGAGTTGTATAACCAGAATGGTTGTGATACTGCGATGCAATAGGAAAGGCCATTGCATTATCATTCCCAAAAAAGTTCTGAGTGATATACCTAAAGAATACCTCGGATGCTGTCATGCGCTACATTGATCGGCCGGTGATCAGGCATCGTGTAGAAATTCAGCTACTGGTACACAAAAATTAAAACTCAGAACATTTTCGGAATACACCTTAGTGTGGTAGCTGGTCTACTATTTGTCAGTATTTCAGATCTAAATAACACAAGTATCGAAAGATGATCTGATAAGATATCGAAGCAATATTGTGTACTCAATGTACTTGGAGGAAATGCTTTAGTAACGCCAAAGTCCACTAGATCGGATACTTTATTTTTGTCAGTGATCCAATAAGTGGGCTATCTTGTTGAACAATAGTTGAGTATAGTTGGCGTTATAATCATCGTTTATTATAAATCTATTGCCGGTATATAATACTTTAAAATTTCACAACTTACCTTTACTAGCCAATATGGATTTTCTGATAATGCAGGTAGAGTATTCAATAGAGGTATAACCGCATTACTTTGGTGTGATTCAATTAAATATTTTAAATTGTTTTGCAAAGTCACTAGTGTTTGTCGAATGCAATTTGAAGACTCATCATTCAAACCCTAAAATAAAAAAAATATATGAAATTGATTTTTTCATAATCACCTTCAGATTTTGGATTAGCCATGGGCTCTTCATTATGTCCATTCTTAACAGATACGTTAATGGAGGAACTTCTCGCTCACTTTTCTGTGTGTTAATCACAAAGGAGGGTACAAAATATGCAACCCACACAAAAGATATTTAAATTATCACTCAAACTACAACATAAACATCAAATAATAATATTTTTGATAGAACCCAAAACACCTGTTCCTTGAAATTACTTATACTTAATATACAATCAATATTATAAAGTTTAAAAAAAATGAGCGTAAAAATCTTACATACTAAAAAAAGTATAACAAGAACAAAATCAAAGAAGTCCCATTATACATATTAGAAAGCAAGAAATCTTTTTAACGGAGTTTAAGTTATATTGAAAAAATCAAAATCGCGATCATTTTATAGCCCCATGTATCTATCCAACGGGTTGTGAATACCATAAGTTGTTCTGTGGAAAGGAATATTGAAAACATTGTGGCACCGTATAGCTTGATGAGGAATCTGACTTAACAGGTTTGGACAATCGATAAATCCATGTATGATCTTATATATAAATATAGCTCCCGGCATGTCACGACGGTTCTTGAGTGGGGGCAAAGATAATTGTTGTTTGATACGGAATTAATCATGATCTCAAAAATTTATGCTGGACTTTTTCTATGGTATCAATATTGTTCTGAAAATAAGAGTGACCAAATACCTGAACAGTATTCCAAAATAGTTCGAACTAAGCAATAATACACTAATCTTGTTGAATTAATGAAGAAATACTTGCAATTCTTAGTAACGAAAGTTTAAACTCCAAGAAGTTTAGATGCCTTTATTGAAATAGAGTTCATGTGGTCACAGAAAGTAAGCTTCTCATCGAAAATAACACCCAAATCCGGAATAGAAGAAACGTAATTCAGTGGCTGATTATTAATAGTACCTATAGCTTGTTCTAATTCTATTGACTTTACGAGAAAAGCTTATAAAACAACATTTTTTACATTTAAGTGGAGTTTGGAGATAACATGTGATATGGCGAATTCCTCTTGCTGTAAGCCAAGTAAACGAAAAACCCCACACACCTGAGATTTGTCACGGCTAATGCGATGAGCTAAAAGATTAGAGTTATATTCAGGAATTTTATAAATTATGAGATTTTGAGCTCTATCTATAAGTTGTTGTACTTCATAAAAAACTGAATTGGCTGTTGTCTGTGAATTGCTATTTTCATAGGAACACTCTTAAATGCATCACGACAGGTAGCGCAAAAAAACATAAGTAGACGTTTCTGCAAAATAATTATTGGTTATTATAACCTCAAAATTTTATCTTAAAATATTTTAGTAATCCTCGGCTTTTTTTGGTCTATTATTTATGAAATATAAAAAGCAATAACCGACTAAACTATTACGCACAATATTATTTTTAATATGCTTTCAAAACTTAAAAAGTTTTTATAAAAATAAAGCAGCAAAATTTTTCTTTGTTTTGATTACCTAACCTTGGTAAATAGGGATTGGAAACATTCTGAAAATTTAGATCCATTTTTAATCATTTTTAAAAAATATTAATAATAAAATTTTACACCAATATACAAAAAGAAGTTTTTTACTTTATTGTAAGTTTTTTTAAACTACGGTATACAGCCAACTTTTCCCTTTTTTCCCTTTTTTGGGACTTTCCCTTTTAAATTTTATTTATTATTAGCTTTATGCTTACCTGAATGAATATATTGACAATATCGCAAATTTGAACTGAATTATCCTGATCGCCTATATAATTGTCTCCAATCCAGTCCTCGTATCCTCCCTCACATAAGTGACTTACAACCTTGAGATAATTACCCAACAAATTTCTGATTGCACCCCTGAGTTGAGGATCGATATGATTTCTTAATAATAGTATGTCAGAAATTTTTTGACAACTGATTCTTTTCGATTTCATGTTTTGTGAATAATTTTTATCCAAGTACATAAACAATCCTTTCGGATAAAGATTAAACAATGACGAGAGACAGGAAATAGCTAAAAATTTTACAGACACCCTCACTACTTTATCAGAGATGTAATTTTCTGGTATACCATTCAGCAAAAATAATTTTGTGATCAGGCGGATACAATAGATTAGAGGAGTTGTTGCGTCGAGAAGATTTCCAACTTCAATTTCCTGAAAAAAAAATAGATATAAGTTAACACTCCGACTATCTGAAAAAGTTATGTAAGACTGACTGCCGAAAGTGTGAAACATTAAGTGTCACTGTCAAACATTTAGTGTCATGAAACATTAATTTAAAACTGACAAAAACTACTGTAAAACTGTAAAAACTTGTTTTTACATATATTTCCTTTTGTTTATCAAAATTATGATACTCGATTTTCATACATGATGAATCTTTTGGCGCATACATATATTTAGGTGTATACACAATTAAGTGTGTTAAAAAATTTAATTCTTAGCTGAGAGGTTTCGGGTTACAAAGCCATTCTCAGAGACATGGTTAAAAAGCATAGTCCTAAGGGCCTTCTTCCTGTCGGGGCTTCCTCCCATATTAACTTGACAAGGCGGATATTACGGAGTCTATAGACATGGCCAGCCAATTTTAGACATTAGAATTTAATCTCTTGGACTATGTCGCTCACTCTATACATCTGCTTGACCTCAGCATTTGTTCTCATTCGCTATTGGTTGCTAATAGGTTTGTTTCTGCAGTAGTTGGAAACGGTTTTACAACGCTCGAGTTTGCGCAGTAAAATAATTGTGTTCGTGCAGGTTTAAATTCAAACTCCAACTGTTTGGTCAGATGTTCTTGCAGATTTGTCGACCGTTTTCAAATCGTTTTCAAATAGTCATTCTGGTTTGAAGATTATTTTCCAACTAATAGTTTGACGCAGGCGTACTAAGTATAAATAAATACGGTTTCTTATTCTTAACCTGTAAATATAAAATATATTGTAAATATTTTTCACTAAGTTATATTGAACTGATTATTTATTGGTTATTTTTCAATTCCAACGTTTGGTGTATTTACATTGATTATTCTTTATTGAATAAATTTTTGGACTAAATATCCAACATAGTAATTATACGTGATATAACTATGATTAAATAACTTATGAAGTAAAAAAAATATATTTCAGGAATCATATGAAAGTTCTTCTTCTGATGAAGAGGTGTTTGATATTGAAGAATTGTCGTCTTATGAAGATTTGTTACAAATTCTAGATGAACGTATAAGGCCTAAAAATAAGAATTATATTGAAGAAACGGTGTCAAGTTACAACGATTGTGAATTTATTGAACACTTTCGTGTTAATCGTGCGGTTGCTGAAGATATTGCGAACCACTTCAGAAATTCACAATATTTTCATTATCAAGCGGGAGGCAATGGAAAGCTTGGAGAATATGAACAAACATTAATATATTTATGGTTCGTTGGTCACCAGACTGCATCATTCAGAGATGTAACTGATAGATTCGATATTGCTATCAGCACTCTTTTTAAATTAATTAGAAAGTTAACATATTTTCTGAGCAATATGGCCCCTCAAGTAATTAAATGGCCATCAGGTGAAGAGAAAATAGAAATTGAGAGAAACTTTAGGCAAAACAATTTTCCAGGTGTTATTGAAGAAATTGATGGGAGTCACATTAAAATAGACAAACCAACAAATGATCCAGACTCATACTTAAATAGAAAACATTATTATTCTATTCAGGTAATCACATACTAATACATATCTTATAAACTTAAAAACTGACTAGAATTTTTATATATATTTTTAGTTGCAAGTAGTTTGTGACCACCAAAGAAGAATAAGGGACTTATTTGTCGGTTATCCAGGATCAGTACATGACAGCAGAGTTTTCAGAACTTCACCATTAGCTGAGACTATAGTTGTAAAGTGTGCAGATTATTTTATTTTAGGGGATAGTGGTTATCCATGTTTGCCCAATCTCCTAACTCCTTTTAAAGATAGAGGTAACTTAACACGAAGACAGTTAAATTACAACATGAAATTAAGCAAAAATAGATATGTAGTTGAACACTGTTTTGGTCTACTTAAGCAGAAATTCCGTCAGTTGTATCATGTAAAATTAAGAGCTGTACCAGATATAATACATTTTATAAGAGCATGTTGTGTTCTTCATAATATGACAATCGAAGACCAATTTGAATATGAGGCAGAAAATATTGATGAAAATATTTTACCATTTAATTTGGACATTGATGAGAATCATGCAGACAGAAATGGAATGGAAAGAAGAAATGAAATCATGAATTTGTTACCTATGTAAATAAATCATGTTCATTATAAATTTTTTTTAATATTCTGAAATATTTTAATCTCTTTGATATAGACTGTAAAACATGTATTACTTAAAGTATGATGTATTTAAAACATATTTTTAAGTTTTAGAGTTAATATATGTATATTCTTTTTATTTGTTACACATTCAATTTGTAGAAAATAAAAATATAACTCTGATGATTTTTTATTAAAAAAAAACCTGTTACAAACTTAACCTTAAATTTACTTTCCTAAAAATTAAAGTATTTCAGTAGGTAAAGATTCTTTTGATACTAAATATTTGCTAAGTATTTCGTTCGTCTTCTCTCTCAGTTTATTTTGTTTTCTTATTTCTAAAAGTCTTTCTTCTTCAAACAGTTTCTTGTTTGGTTTTTTTCTTTCATCACTTCTAATCTTTCTTTGTGAATTTTTAGCAGTTCTGTATAAAATTCCTTTTTGTCTTCACACATCTTTTGGAGAATATTGTTTTTGCTAACTGGTTTCTCTCTCTTTCTTTTAAGTGATTTTGGTGTAGAACTAAGAACATTGGCTTTAGCTGTTGCTACATCTTCAGGCTTTTCATCTATGTGATGTGCTACTGTTTCATTAGATAACAGCAATTCATAATTGACATTTCTTTTTTGCCCAAATATCTCATCTAGTTCATTACTATATTCAAATGTTTTGCGGCCTCTTCCTGTTTTTTTACTCTCATCTATATATTTCTTATAATTTCTTTCAATTACTCGCCATCTATTTTCGCAGTGATATGCATTCAAATTAAGATTATGTAAGTTATTTAGTTGTTCTGCTACCTTTGCCCACATAATTTTCATGGATTTCATTTGTAAACTCCCTACCCTATCTCTGTATTTTTTATATAAATCTATTAATGACAGTGTCTGGTTATGGGTCCAAGATATACTGACTGAAACACTGGTCGATGGGCTTTGGTTTACAATTATAAACTCTTATAAATCTGAAACAAATGTAACCTTTAAATGCCGTTTAGAAAAATGTGTTTCATTATTTTGTTAAACTTTCACTTTAGACGAAGTTATTGTTTTGAAAAAAAGTAAGTAGTACTTACCTTCCATATTAGAAGTCTATTTGTTTGATTACAAAAATTATGAATCTCGATATTAACCAAAAATATTAGGTTAGGTTAAATTAATTTAATTTCGATAATCAGCCAATCGTTCGTGCAGCATAAATTTTGACAACGGTCAGAAAACAGTCTAATTTCACGTCTGCGCAGAGTGCATAGTTTTCAAACGGTAAGCAAACCACTGCAGAAACAAACCTATTAATGTCGTGATAAGGCCCAAAGATTTTTCTGAGGATTTTCTTCTCAAAACATCTAAGTTTTCTTTCAGATTCTTTGGTCAGGGTCCACGTCTCACATCCATACATGAGCACCGGTCTACTCACCGTTTTGTATATTCTAATCTTTAATGTTCGTGTTAGGCTTTTAAATGTAATAGTTTTGTGGAGGCTGTACATACATCTGTTTGCTGCCTGAATTCTTCCTTTAATATCTTCAGAGATATTTAAAACTCTCCACTCTTTCAAAGTTATATGGGTCTATTGTAACATTTTGCCCTATTCTATCTCGTCCCTTTTCTCTGTTGATGCACATGTATTTGGTTTTCTCTTCGTTTACCCTTAAATCAGTTCTCTTTGCCTATACCTCCAATTTATTAAAAGTCTTCTTCACATTGGTGACTGTGTTTCCCACAATGTCAATGTCATCTGCGTATGCTAGTAGTAATTTTGATCCATTTACTGTCAGTAATTTTTTAAGTGGTGCTGCTCATACTACTTTCTCCAGGATTATATTAAAAAGGAAAGGCGACAGCGCATCTCCTTGTTTTAGGCCACTGCTTATTTCGAAAGATTCTAAGAGTTTGTTACCTATCCGTACTCTGGATCTACAGCTATTCACACATAACTTAACAAGCTGGATAAGTTTTTTTTATCCCTTTTCATTCCACATCTGATTTCTTTTAATGCTGTCATATGCTTCTATTTAATTCTATTGGATTCTCATCCTTTTTCAAGCTGCTGCCTTAGAGTAAAGATCTGATCTATGATCGATCTATGTTTTCTGAAGCCGGTTTGGTATTCTCCGATCAAATTTTCTACAAACGGTGTCAGCCTACTTAATAGGATGTTCGATAAGATTTTATATGCCGTATTAAGTAGGGAGATGCCTCTATAATTAGAGCACTTGGTTTTGCCTCCCTTTTTATGGATGGGGATTATTACACTTTCGTGCCATTTTGATGGTATTTTCTCTTCGTTCCATCAATATTTCCTATTGGTGGAAAAATACAAATTTTTCCTTTAAAAGTTAAAAAACTTAAAAAACTTCGAAGGTCCTTCGAACAACATATAAAAGAAAGCACATTAGACCTCACAAAAAAACAAATTCAAAAATTTGTTTGTGGTGCGGGTGTAAGAACCCGGCCATTTGGATGAAGTTGAAATGGAGGCTTGTCTGGCATAACATTCCATAAATTATAGCAGAACGCAAAAGAATGCAGAAATTGGGAACTGTCGATAAACATCCATAAAACTAAATATATGGTAACCATTAAGGAGTATATGGGCCAAACCCAACTGGTAATAAATTGACAAACGCTGGAAAAAGTACAACAATTCAAATACCTTGGATGCTGGATTACCCAAAATATAAATCCGTCCTTCGAACTCAGATGTCAAATTGAACTGACAAGAAGTACACAAGATGGTGAAGTATGGTCTGTAATTTTGTATGAACATGGACTGTATATGGAAACTTGGCCCTTAAACGTCAACAACGTGGTTTTATTGAAGAATACTAAAAATACTATACAGATTGAACCAAATTAAAACGGAACATACAATTTAATACATGTCTGTTTGAACTGCATTTGAAATAGTGGACCAATATAAAACTTGGAGAAAAATAAATCCATACCTGGGTATAGACATTATATAAAATATCGTTCAACTATCTGTCTCGCAACAAAGTTGTTTGCGTAAGACGGGTTTGTCTAAGGAGGCGATAATAGTTCAGGAAATGAATCTCGAAAAAAGTTCAAACCTCGCAATTTTTTCGTCCTGCATGTATCCAGTTGAAATTTTAGCAGAAGGTAGGTAATAGCCCAAGGATCAAAATCTATATTGAAAAAATATATAAATGATAAAAACCCTTGTTAGAGATTAATGTAAAAAATTACTAATTCTAAAAAAATGATTTCGCCTTGGATCGATTTGGATAAAAATTTGGATTTAAGCTCAATACACTCGCTGCTTTATAGTTTGTCATGTCGACGAACCCTGAGTGTTCTTAGGGGTGAAAACTACCCCTAATTGTCAAAAATTATAAAATAACATATTAAACCTGAATATGGGTAAAATTTGGTTTGAATTAATTAAATAATGATAGTTTCGTGCTTTTGAATAAAGTTCCATCATATTTCAACCCTTAAAAAGCGACCCTTATTAGAGATTAATATAAAAAAATTAGTGATGCGAAGAAAATGATTTCACCTTGGAACGATTTGCATAAAAATTTGGAATTAAGCTCAACTCACCCTCTGCTTTATAGTTTATGTCATGCCGATGAACCCTGATTGTTCTTAGGGGTGAAAACTACCCTAATTTTCAAAAATTGTAAAATAATATTACAAATCTTAAGATGAGTGAAATTTGGTTTGGATTAGTAAAATAGTGAGTTTTTTATACTTTAAAATACAAATTCATACATTTTCAACCCTTAAAAATCAATTGTTATGAGTGCTATAGGTGAAAAAAATTTTTTGCCGAAATTTTGCAACTTTTCAACTGTTGAAAATCACCCTTTGCAACATTGCAGTTTTTATAAACTAATTTATAAGATATAAATTGAAAAAAGTAGAATTAAATACAAAAAAAAATTATCAAACATAAAAAGGCACCATATATTCTTATACATTTACATAAATAGTTGAAAATATTTACATTTATAGGTAAAACAATTATAATATTAATTTTATTCGTCATAAATTACATCTTCATCGTGATCTATGTCATCCTCATCTTCTTCAATTATTGGTGGACTGTTATTGCACCCTTCACCCAAAAAATAATTTTCAAAAATTTATCGGGTGCAGGTTCAGGTGCAAAATAAGAACGCTTAAAATTTCGAATGTATAACGCCCCACTAGCTAATATACCGGTTTTGTAGATTATTATGCTCCGAAATGTACTGTACTATACTAATGGAATTTTCCGGAAAAAAATTAACTGGTTTTTTTAACGTATTTCCTTTAATTTTTAATGATAGAGTGTTTCTTCAAAAACGATTTGTAGAGGTTTTTAATAGCTACAAGGATCTGTGAATTAAATCTTTTTGGAACCCTTGGTTTTTAAATGGGGTGAGTTTAAAGGGCTCGAAAAAGATGGTGCTTGAACGTAAATCGATGCTTTAAACGGCTATATCTCGCCAAATATTCATTTTACAACAAATCTAAATAAAGGATAATTTTAGTCATTAACAAAGCTACAATTTGGTAATTTTTATTTTTTTCATATATTCAGTATTTTCGGGCATATTTAAAAAAAGAAGGGTAAAAAATATGAAATTGTAAATCGTTTCTCGCTTTAAGCTGTACTTTTTCTAAAACTAAGCATTTTAAATGGGTCAAACTTCTTGGACGTATTAACAATACATCTACAAAGGGAATTGCAGAAGGGTGAAGATCGGTTTTAATTATGGGGGTGGTTAGGGTGTTGTTTTCCTCGATTTTTTCGTAAAAAATGAGGTATTGACCTTTTTTTATGATAGGTCTATTTATGCTCTTTAAAAAAGGTTTTGTGAGTTTTCTTTCAAAAATGCATCATTTTCCCGATATTTGACTTTGGATCTTTCAAATTTGGCATTTGAAGAAAACCGCTGAACATTGATATTGTATTTGTAATTGTATTTGTTCTTTTAAAAGCTACAAATTTGTTCTCTACAATTTTTTTGATAAAATGCACCATTTTCGAGTTATTCGCGAAAAATCGATTAAAAACGTGGATTTTTTCGTCTAAAAGTTGTTACTTTCAATCGCGAATAACTTGAAAAATATCATTTTATAAAAAAAATGTATAGCACATTTTTTGTTTAGAATCACTTTTCTAATCGAAACCTGTAGTTAAAACGTAAAAAAATTTTCACCCCGGAGATGGGGTGGCAACCACCTCCTAAGCTTTGGCGCACTTTGATTCGATATAGATTTTGATCCTTAGGCTATTACCTACCTTCTGTTAAATTTCAAGTCAATCCACGCCGCACGAAAAAATTGCGAGGTGAAATGCTACATTTCCTGGACTAAAACTGGTTTGACAGCATAATAAAATCGTAGATTTATGTGTAGCTTTCAATTTTTATGAGTTCAGAATCCAGCAGCCCGCTGAAGTATGGGATTTTTTATAATATAATTATTTGACAATCTTTTGTTGGCCAACCACCTACAGCAGAATTTAGCCGAAATACATTATATTCCTATGTTCCGAATTTATTTCGTTCAATCTGTAGACCAGCAGAACCAGAAACAAAGAAGTTTTTTGAAGAACATAACATCAACGAACTTTATTAAATATCATCAAGATACATCAACTACAATTTGGGACATCTAATCTCATAGGATTGAATTATTTGGCTAATTCTCAAAGGTAAAATTGAAGGAAAGAAATGGATAGAGCTGAAGACCAATTGCACGTATCCGAAGACTGAGATCAATATAAGAATATTACAAGCATGGTAATCGCCGACGTTCCCTAGGTACGTGGCACCCTAAGAAAATAAAGAAAAGTACTTATTACTAGGGATGTGTAGTTCACCATCGAAATAGTTCTAATGAACGATTCTTTCAACTGAACTAATTGAACTAGTTCATTAATTTTCATAGAACTAGTTCACTGCGAACGATTTGCATTATAAATTATGTCACAACTTCTAAAGAAGAAAATAATGAATGAATAAATTAGAACATATATTTATTATTTTGTGAATGGATGGACTAACTAGTTTAAAAAAAAATGCCGATTAGCCTCAGATAACAGATTCATAATTCTTATGAATGTGGCAATAACATTAAGTCTTATCTTAATGTCATAATGGTTCGGATCTTATGCCCATGTATTGGCTTGTATGTTGCCATGCTGTGTTGTTTTTTGTATTGTAATTTTGAAATAAAAATTTTAGTTGTGGTTCAAATGATTGAGGCATTTACATAAAATATAATTTTATGTAAAAGTGAGAATGAAAATGTGTTATTTAATGTTCCTAGAAAATTCACTGATTTTTTTTGTAAAGGTTCTTTTAGAAATAACCTAACTATAAATACCTATGAGTTTAAATATACGTAAATATAAAAACAAATCATACTTGAACCATATTTATATTTAAAACGGTTAATAAAAAACAAATCTTAATATTTTTTTGCAAAAAAAAATTAACTAATCATATAATAATTTAAACCATTTAAACCTAAACATACGATCGAGAGAAATAGTTCCGAACTACTTGTACGGTAGTGAACTAAGTGAACTAGTGAAAACTGAAAGAAAACGGGCGGCTAGCGCCGAGCTTGTGTGATGATTGAGACGAGACATCTGGCAACCAGTTCTGTTAGGGTTGGATTTCGATGTCGGTCCTACAAATAGTTCTTTCGCGAACTAGTTCACTGAACTAGTTCATTTTTGTGAAATAGTTCTGTTAAACTAGTTCGTCTAAAAGAACTAATAAGCACACCTCTACTTATTACCAAGAAATGGGAAACTTAAAAACGAGTTCAACATGTAAAATTATTAATTTCCACAGAACACAAGTTACCTGTATACAGACATCCAGATTTAAAAGCTTCTCTTCTGAATCAGCTCCACAATAACTTTTTTCTGAAGAATTTTCACTGAAACTAAGGATGTCCAAGGTATTTTCAATACTATGAGCTTTTCGTTGAGTAATAAAATGTTCTTTGTTTAATTGATTTAATCCTCCAAAATTATTGATATCAATATTTTTTATACTTTCCAATTCGAACCTACTTATTTTGTCGAGAGATTGCGATTTTTCTTTGGTTTTTGCAAAGGTTATGTTCCTAACAGACATTGAGGTCTCATCAATCCACTTTTCAATATCCGAATGTAACGTTTCGGTCAAGTCTGAATCAGAAAATAGATTATCTTCGGTGGTGACTGTTGTTGCTACACTGAGTTGACCTAAAATAGAAAATATATAAGTCGATTGAAAGCTCATAATTATTGAGAAATTGAAACACTTACGGCAATAAACGTTTATCATTCGTGTATTCTACCTGAACCTGAATCTGCAGATCTCAAGAAGAAACTTAAAACAATTACATGTCGATATTGAGGTCAGTACTACGTAGTTACTAATAGTAGTAGTAGTAAATGATTTAATATATTGTTGCAGTGAAGTAAAATATAGATTAATTATATAATCAGATAAAGATTATATAGAGTAAAAATAAAAATATAAAAGCCAATGGGAGTGAAAAGATCAAAAGGAAGAGGTAATAGTTGCCACTAGGAAAACTGTGGACATTGCATAAACTGGAAAAATGGGCGAGTTTCGTCTGAAAAAATGATAAACACTGAATAAATATAAGAAAATATCTGGAAGAAAACATCTTTAATCTTGTCTGTGATTCTGTGAAGTGGAAAACAATATGAAGGAATGAGTTATATAAAAAGGGACATTGGTAGATTAAAATGGAAAAATTAAAAAAACGCGGATAATTAATAGAACAGTAATGAATTTGTATATGTTTGAAATTCGTAAAAACGATAAGTGCTCTACTATTATGCAGCTTTATTTATATTATAAGATAATAGATTTTTTTAAATTCTGGTAAATATTGACTTATTAAATAATGTTGGTCATGAATTTTTATCACATAAATAGTTCTAATTTAATTTAATATCATTTGAATGACTTTCATAATTTCATATAGTTCGGCTTAGGAGTGAATTTAATTTTTTTATTTAAATTTTGTTGTATTGAGAGTGTCAGTCAGAAAATGTTTTCCAACGTATAATAAAAGAACTAAGAATAATTTAAAAAAATAAAGAGTGTGTCCTTATAAATAAGTGCATAAGCAGCAAAATTACAGAAAAGTTCACTCGTACATCATTGAATTACTGACAACTGTAAAAGAATGTGCTAAATTCCAGATACCAGATAATATTGAATCATATTTTGCTATGAATGATTTATATTATATCAAACCAACGCATATAATTTCGCATAACAATGTGCTCCTGTAAAATAAGGGTCGCGAAGAACATCCTTTGTTGACGTGGATATGACTTTTGAGAGAGTACCTGGAGCAGAAATTTGGGAATGTTCAGAAGTTTTCATCTACAAAAAAGAAGTGAGAAGGAAGAGATCTAAGCCCTTGCTGATTATAATATTTATGAATGAAATAATAATGGCATCCAACCAGTGGCATTAAACACCATGAATGTGTTTTTGCTGACGACGTGACAATAATAACCAGTCACGTCGTGAAATTTTTTGTAATTAGTACATAGAAGAAGTGTATACCCTTATACTGTACAGGTCCAAAAGCGAATTCGGATTTTCCTCGGATTGGCTAATATTCGGAGTAAGAGGCTTTGAGCTTCTAAGAACTCTAGCAATGTTTTGTCTAGTTATTTTAGCATCTTCGGAAGATAAACTGGAGATGGCTTCTTCGGTTTGACAGATGATTGTCTCAATTGTGACTTGAAGTAACAGAGTAATTGAAAGTCAATTGTGACTTGGGGTAACAGAGTAATTGAAACCTTTTGCTAGCTTGAGTAACAATAGTCGAAAAGGAGTATCCCAAAAGTTATGAACTAGTTTAGTGGATTCCAGCGTTATTATTTTTGGAATTTGTTCGGCAATCCCTCTTCTTTTTATATAAACATGACTGTCTGTTTTTCAATGTACCTCCAGTAAGTTGTCATTCCATCGTTTTCGTGGTCTTCCTACTGATCGTCTTTCTATTGGGGAACCGTCTTTTGCCGTGTTTACTACTCTATTTGTTGTCATTCGGTTTATATGATCGTTCCATTCTACTCTTCTATTTTTTACCCAGTTTTTTATGTCCTCCACCATGCATCTATGTCGTATATCTGTACTACTAGCTCTGTCCCAAAGTGTCTTACTCTGTTGTTTCTAACATCCTTTTTGTCCTCTGCGTGTCAGGTGTTGTTTCTGCCGCGTAAGTATGTCTGTATTGTTCTGATGACTGTTTTGTAAATTCTGCCTTTCATTTCGTCCCCGATATTTTTATTTCTCCATATTGTTTGACTTAGGCAGCCTGCGGCTCTGTTTGCTCTATTCACTTGATCTTCTACTTCGGTTTCGAGCTCTCCGTAGCTAGATAATGTGATGCTAGATATTTAAACTCCGTCACTTGTTCTATTATCTGACATTCCAGCTCCAATTTACATCGTAGTAAATTTGCTGTTGTAACCATGCATTTTGTCTTTTTTGGGGAAATTAACATGTTAAATTTTCTGGCGGTTATATTAAATTGGTGCAGCATACGTTGTAAATCATCTTCACTTTGAGAGAGTAGTATTACGTATTCTGCATAGCAGTTGTTTTTCTCCCTTTTGATATCCTTTTCTAGTTTTACTTTTTTATTATTATTTTGGTAATTATATGTGCTAATTTACGCTTCTGAGTTTCAGTCTTAGATCCGAAAGTGTTTAGGGGTGTCTGTGTGTTGATACGGTCGAAACTGTCCCATAAGATAGGATGTAAATTTAACGAATGAATAGATTACCAGATATTAAAAGTATTGGTATTTGTGACATCTAGTTTTTGTCTAGTGGAATGAATCGCTTCACGGAGAAGCCCAAAACTGGTCTTTGAAGACGAATGGTATTTGAATTATAGAAACTTTGAAATAACTTTATGGTCTCGACAGGCTTTAAGGAATGTTAAATCACAAAATAGACGATTCTTACGTAACAGCAGTTTGCTATATGATTTATTGAGCTGGTAAAATTCCCCCAAATAGAGGCGAATAAAATGTTCCGAAAGGTTTCCGCGGTTAGTAAAATTAAACTTGAGAGCTAAGATTAATGCTATTACAGGAATTAGTATTAAACTCAACAGTCTTGTCACACAATAATATGTCCAACACTTCATCCTCCAAAATCAATTATACAGACAAAGAAATGGTGCCTCAATGGGCTCCCCACTATCTCTAGTAATTACCAATATCTTTATGCAAGACTTCGAGACCCGAGCACGATCCACATCAATGCTCAAACCCAGATGTTGGCTACGATATGTTGACTATATATTCGTCATTTGGCCCTACGGCAAGGATGCTTTGGTGTCTTTTACAACCCATAAGAATGGTATACATCCTAGTATCCAGTTCACGATGGAGGTGAACACTGAGTCATTACAACATCCACAGACATCAATCTCCCACTCAATCTCAACCAAAGACCCTCATCATACTAAAGCTTTTCTTCCTTACATCAAAGGCGTCACTGACAAAATCGGCAAAATGCTAAAATCAAGAGGAATAAAGACAATATTTACCCCCCAACAAAAACTTTCATTTCTTGTCCAATCAATTAAAGACAACATTCTAAATGAACAACATGGAGTTTATGAAATTTCTTGTGCAGTCTGCCCCCTATCCTATATAGGTCAAAACAAATCGTAGAATCCAAAATAGGATTTATGAACATTCCATTTCTGTTCGCAATTCCGACTCAATTTCAGCTGTAGGTCAACAACATCTTTATACAGGTCTCAAAATTGATTTTGAAAACTGTTTTATAACCCCCATCCGCTTCTATAAACCAAGAATTATCCGAGAAGCCATAGAAATTGAAAAAAGGCCAAAGTGTCTCAATTAAAGGGATGGCGGCATACAGTTACAGCTTATTTTAAATCGAATGGCGAGCCCTTCCACGAAATAGTTAATCTCGCAGACAATAGAATATCTATGATCAGACCCATGCAGTGGCGTTGCAATATTAAACAAATTAAATTATTTGAAATCGCACTAATTACAAAATTATTACTCACTTAAATAATAAATGGAGTTTGATTGTACAGATTGTTTTATAGATATCAAACTTTTTGTTTGTTATAATATTGATACTATATAAAGTAAAGTAAAAGTTAATTTCTAATTTAGTATCAGTAACCTTAAAACCGTAATTATAAAGTCATTATTAACGACTCCTTAACGATTCGTTAAGGACATACAAAGAACTGATAAGAATTATTTCCGAGAATTTCTAGTCACTGGATTTCAAACGAGTTCGTAATTTAGTCTCATTATGTTAAACTGTTTGTTCAGGCTATTAGGCCGTTGTCTTCTCAGATTAGTTCTCGACGTTTCGCCAACATTAGAGGTTGGCATCTTCTGGAGATGTTACTACTTCGCTTGTAAGATGAAACTTAGTGTTCGGTCAGTTTTTTGTTCGGTCAATTTGCTAGAGTAGTTGAAGGAACATGTTGTCAAGGTTGAAGATAAGTATTTATAAAATGAACGTCGCATAGATGTAATTACTGAAGAATTAAGGATTGGTTTAAATGATTCTAGTGACAACGACAGTGAGTCTGATTATAAAAGTGAATAATAAAATTTAACATTACGACGTACCTATCTAACCTATGTGAATATAAGTTTTCCAAACTATCCCGTGTGTATGTCTTATTTTTTTTACTTTATTACAATCAATTTATATATTCTTCTATTTAACTTTGTGACGTTTAAGTGTGTAATAATATAAATAATAAAGGTTTTAAAGTTTGTAATTAATATTTATTAATACTGTAATCTGTAGTATGTATCTATGGTTTCACATACAGACAATATATGTATGTGATATATTATAATAATATGTATTAAAATGTATTACAATATTGTCAAAAATATAATCTAGTATAATTGTTTAATAAATTGTATGTACCTATCTTCAATAATTTGATTTAAATCATATGTATTTTTTGGAACGCCACTGCTTTGTTTGCTGAGGCTTTATTGTTCCTAGAAATTTCCACCACTAAAGTTGAAACATACTCTAACTTCGACTTGGAGACCTCTCATAAAGACAATACGGTCCGCTCCATCGGTCAATCAAAATCCTACTGTAAGAGATGTTCGCACCAATCCACACCCTAGCCCTCACGCCAACCTCCACCCAAGCCACGTCACCATCCACGGTATAAATAACCCGTCCTCTATTCCCAGCACTAGTAACGCATTGATTAGTGATCAGTGTAGTAGTGTCTGGGGGCTCTGGAGACTGAGACCTCGGAAGCCCTGAAGAAGACGCGGTTCAACCCGGAAGACTGTTGAGTTTAATATTAATTCCTGTAATAGTATTATTCTTAGCTCTAGGTTTATTAGCTAGCTTCTTCTTCTATTATTCTATTATTAAATTAAATAGGTTTTCTTTAGCCCTATTTAATATAAATATTACACTCTGTATATTTTTGCGGATTTTAAAAGAAGTTGTTATTAATAATTTATACCAGAAAATGGTAAATCTTGCAACGATATAAAAATCAAATCTTGATATTGCAAAATAGATGTATTCCTGTTTTTGTACAATTCGGAGGATCATCCCTTTAAGATTTAATTAGGCATTTCCAGACTTTCGGTCCACTCGAATATAATTATATACACTGTGTGTCAGCCAAATGGAATAAATTAGCTAATAAATAAATGAGGGAGTATTCGAAAAAACGGTCAAACACGTCGATTAGTATTTATAGTTGCGCATTTTTTTCCCTAAAAACTTTTTTACAGGGTGTATCAGATAATGGTGGCCAATACCAACTTGCTTATTTTAAATAGAATACCCTGTATATTAATTAATTTTTAGATTCCTCAGATCATTTTAGACATTTTTTGGATACCTATCTTTTACTGTTAAAAATTCACATTTAGAAAAGAAAATTATTTATTTGTCAGAAAGTCGCTACCACTATCTTAATACTTCTTGCCCATTTACGTCTTGGTAATGATAAAAATAAGCAAAAACGATTTAAGCATTCATTTTTATTGATATGTTAAAAAAAAATGTTTACTTTGGTTTAAAACGCCAACGTTTTATTGCTCCATGACAGAAGTAGTTGTCGGTGCTATAGTCGTTTGAATTTCATTAACTACACAACAGAAAAATGGTTTATTTAACAGAAATGCACAAAATTACAATTATACAGATAATTGGCAATGGAGATAAGACAAGGACGCAAATGGCAGTAGCTCGTTTATTTCACGAAGCATTTCCTGATTTACCGCACATATCTCAAGGGACAAAGCGACCTTAGAAAGGTAAAAAAAAGCTACCAATGCAATAAGTGAGGATACCAAATTGGCTGTTATGCTTGAATTTGAGGAACACCCACATAGATATGTTCTAAAAGCAGCCCCAGTACTTGATATTAGCTATTCATCGGTTATTTGAATATTACAAAAAAACTAAATGCATCCCTATAAAATTGTACATACTCAGGAACTCATGGAAGATGATTTTGACAGGAGAACGTATTTTTGTGAACAAATTATGGCAATGTCAGACAGCAATGTGATCCAATTAGAACTTGTTTTATTTTCTGATGAGTGCACCTTTACTCTTCACGGTCATGTTAATCGGCAAAATTGCCGCTATTGATCAAGGGAAAATCCTCACTGGGTGAGAGAAGGCAATACTCAATACACTGAGAAGGTTAACGTGTGGGCAGGAATAATTGTGAAGATCAGGTCATAGGTCCCTTTTTCATAGATGGCAATTTGAATGACGACAATTATTTAGTATTTCTCCAAAATAATGTTCCAACGTTGGCCAACTTGTATTCTGATCTTAGAAACCCACAAGTTCCAGCGAATATGGTATGGTTTCAACAAAATATTTTCTTGAACTTCCACCTCAACCAATGTTTCCAAACCGGTGGATAGTGAAGCGAGGATCGATGGAATGGCCACCACGTTTCCCCGATTTGACGCCATTAGACTTTTTCTTATGGGTATATGTGAAAAGTATTGTATACAAAACTAAACCCACTGACTTAGCTGACGAATAACGTGTGCGATTAGATCATTAGATCGATAACATCTGAGATGTTGAGGTAAAAATTAATTAATATACAGGGCTATTTAAAATAAGCAAGTTGCTATTGGCCACCGTTATCTGATACACCCCGTATAAAAAGTGTTTATGGAAAAAAATGTGCAATTATAAATACTAATCGACGTGTTAGACCGTTTTTTTCGAATACTACCTCATTTATTTATTAACTAATTTATTCCATTTAGCTGACACACAGTGTATATATATATATATATATATATATATATATATATAGTTCATCTAATTTAGATAACGACTTACGTCATTATCTACGTCAGAGATCGAAGTTGACATAGTTGCCAAAGTATAAAAAATCCTGACTCCATTTTAAATCAAATAGATTACATAATTATTGCAAAAGCATTACCATCTCTTTACAAAGACTATTTAAATTCTTACGTGACATTTTTGAAATAAAACACTAATTTTGTTCTAAAAAGAACAGATTTTATTAGATAGTTAAAAATATAAAACAAGAGATATTCACTTTAAAATTCAAAATATTGAAGTACAAAAAGTGTCAACACCGCAACTGTCAAAATGTGTTACCAATTTATGCCCAAAATATTTCCTTCGTTCGATTACAGTTACAGTGTGTTCCGAACAAATTAATGTTCTTGATAAAAACGCTTTATAATGCATTTATACAAATTAAATGAAACATATTATTGTGTATTTCTTCAAGTTAACATTAATAGAAATTTTAAAATATGATTTCTACGCGTATATAATAAACTATGTCTAGTGGCTGTAATGTCAGTGTACTCGGTAAAGTGATTCTAAAAAAAAAACACACCTACACCCTAAATATTTTGTTGGTATCATGTGACGTCACAGGCTATGACGCCGATGACGTGCATCGTTATATAAATTAGATGAAGTGTATATATATATATATATATATATATATATATATATATATATAAAGATGGTGGTATTCTTGACTCTTGAGGTGATTCTTGAGGATGTAGTCAGTCTATTTGGACCACAAGACAAAGAAAACTATTTGACTTACTGTCAAGCTTTCGAATTTAATTTAATTCTTTTTTAAGACATCTGTTTATAATAAGGAAATATAAAAATTAACTAGTATTAATTGTTAATTAACTTACTTACTAGTCGTGAGATTACAGTTAATATTGGACTTTATAAAACAAACCATTACACATAGATTAAAAATTTAAAAAATATATCTATATTGTCACAATATATGTCACTTTCATGTTGGTTTGACTAATGGACATATATATATATATATATATATATATATATATATATATATATATATATATATATATATATATATATATATAAATCCGAATAAAAGGTAGCACAACTCTGCCAGAACATCGGTATTCTGATCGTTTGAGAACTAATAATTGAAAAAGAAATGCCAAAGGACCAGACAGTGAATTCGAAAGCTGACGACACCTGGCTGTTAACGTAGGCGGACATTTTCGGCGGATATTAGGGCAATGCCTTATTTTCCGGCCTTATTTATTGGCATGTAAACAATTAACTAACTGTCTATTCTAGGGTGGTTAACAGGAGGCGACCTAGCAGCGGAGTAAATCGCATAGAAAAGTAGGTATATCTCTGAGGGAGTGAGAAAGATCTCACCGGTACCACACGTTGGTGTAGACAAGCCTTCTTTATCTGTTACTCCGCCTGTTTACCCGATCACATTCCTTCGTAGTTCCGACGACAAATTCATACAAACCCCTTAGAGGATAGTTGATGAAACAGAACAAGAAGTCCAGGAGATCCAAAAATCCCAAAATGGTTCCACCTCCAGAACGTAGGCTTTTTGCTCTTACCGCCTTCCTTTCATTTCAAATTCATTTCGATTTTTTTCATTAGGATTCATCTTACTTTGTGGTTTTTATTGAAAAATAAATTCATTGCATATATATATTTTTTCTGCTGGATAGTTCATTATAGTACTCTATAGTTGCTTTAGCCATAGCTGAAATTTTCTATTGTATATTATTCCTTGTACAATTTTTACCACGTTTTAAAGTCGCCTAGGATTACTGTTTTAAATTATTTCGTAGCTTTATAGATGTCTTCATGAAATGCACCAATATCGGTGTCATCTGATATCGTTATAAAGATATAAGTTTGGTATAGGTTTTAACGACATTATTTTCATTTTAATTATTATTTAAGCTAATTAATATGAAATTCTAGTAATGGCTTGGATGTTAGAAAACTCTTTGATTTATTATAATAAACCCTACTCGGACTAATATGCAATAGGATGGATATTAACATAGAGAATATTAATCATTAAACAGTTAATTTGAGCATGTACGTTCTAGGTAGATATATTAAGTAGTGTAGGTATTATTTAAATAATGCTCATAAAGTTGTACTAAATTATAAATAAGTGTATACTTACTTGGAGATCTATTACTTAATATACAAAGTTTTTCACTTGAATAAATCCTGTGACATCCAAAACCAGAATTCAACCTCTCTCTAAAATGGCTGCTTGGGCACTCCAAAAGTACTTTCAACGTTTCTAAACAAATATTTATGATGTTATGATCTTTGTGTGATAAATAATGCAGACACAGTTCGAAGATCTGTAAGAGTTTTTCAGTGAGAGCATTCTTATTTTGAAGACTAGAATCGTTTTCAACTGAAAATATATTTTGTATCAACGATTTGATACAGGAAATTATTCCTAGAATTTGGAAAGTCGAATGTTCTACGTTGACTGGAATTATAGTATCTGAAAAGGAACAGTGTTAAAAAATTTCACCTTACTATACATACATGTATAATATGAGTTTTTGTAAATATGAGTATAATACTCATATTTGAGTTTTTTGTTATAATTTGATTTGTATATAATGCAATTAAATGGCAACCTTCAAATATAGTGGTTTTATTAATTTATGTGTCTAAATTCTCATAATATACTCTGTATACCTCTATTCATACAGTGTGATCAACTTTTGTGACAAAGTCTGTTATCTCTTATTATAGAAGATACCAAAAAGGTTATTTACAAAAACAGTAGGTAGCTGTAAGTTTCATAATTTAAAATTATTTAGAAGTATACCGGGTCCTCCATAACACTATACCACATAACTTTTTAAATGATTCTCAAAATTTTTAACAATGATTGATTTTGCTAATACTACACTACTCCAAGAAATTAACGCACCATTTACAAAAACAAAAAAAGCGATTCATTGGTGTTTTAAATTTAATTGTATTCATTTTTGTATGGAATATACCATGCATTTGGAATGTTTTTATCAGGTTACTTCTATTGTTTTTTGTTTGGACCGGTTTCTAAAGGTGGAAACGCATTAGAGAGTCGCGGACGCGACTCGCCTCGTCGCAGTCTAGTCAAGCTTAGATTCTTTACGTTATTTTTAGTATTCATGAACGCATTTGGAAGTCGCGGGCGAGTCACAGTCCCGACGAGGACTCGATTCAGTCTTTGATGAGAATCTCAAAAGGTCTCCGTCGCGATTTGTCAAGTCCTCAACTCTATTATATAGTGCGCGTATACACAGGGGCGCGAACACATCACATACAAGACAACTTTGACTTATCGTTTATTCTCGACAATAAACGAAAGCGCTCGGCTAATATTAAACAAATGTGCCTCTCACGTCATTATTTAATTTTTAGTATTTAGTTGCTCGAAGTCGTTTATGTGTAATATTTATCGGGGCTTGTAATAGGTAGACTAACCAAGGCGACTGACTTATTTTATTTATTGGAAAGATGGATCTTCTTCTTACGGTGCCTTATCCTTAAGGACGTTGGCCATTACATTTGCCCATTTAATCTTATTTGTAGCAGCCCTGAATAGTTCTATGGAGGTCATGTTCGTCCATTGCCGTAGGTTTTTAAGCCAGGAGTTGCGTCTTCTTCCTGGTCCTCTTTTGCTGTTGACTTTGCCTTAAGCTCTCATAAGCTCTCTTTCCTTATTCATCCTCCGCAAGACTTCCGCATTTGTCGTATGGGTCATGTAGGATATTCTGAGCATTTTACGGTAACACCAGAGTTCGAATGCTTGGATTCTTTTTTGTGTTGCTTCTGTCATTGTCCAGGCTTCAACACCATAGAGCAAGGTAGAGAAAACATAGCACTTAAGTATTCTAGTTCTCAATGAGATGCCCAGCTAGCGGTTGCATAGAACTTTTTGCATTTTGTAAAACATTGTACGTGCCTTTTCCAGGCGTATTCTTATCTCTAGTGAGTGGTCCCAAGTTTCATCAAGATTACTTCCAAGGTACGTTGTTCTTGTTACTCTTTCCAGATCTGTTCCGTCGACATTGACCTTCACCCTTCTGTTTTGGTGTTTGCTGATGACCATCGTTTTTGTCTTCTTTGTATTCAATTTCATTCCAAATTCTCTACAGGCTGTCGTTACTCGGTCCATTAAGCGTTGCAGGGCTTCAGCATTATCTGCCAGTATGATAGTGTCATCAGCATATCGCAGGTTATTTATACATTGCCCGCTTGTACATTGGCTATTTATACATTGCCCGAAAGATGGATGACGAGCAAATAATAATCAAAGTGCAAAAGTATCCAGAACTATATGATTCAGCACATAAACAATATTTAAATCAGCAACGAAAGGACAACTATTGTCTGGAAATAAGCAATCACTTATGTGAATCGCAGCTTAGAAATTGCAGTGAATGTGTTCTCGCCATCTGACCTATTCCCAGTATACCGACTCCGTCTACAAGCAGTACAGTAACTCTAAGAAGAAGATATCCACAATCGAAAAGCACACAAAATTATCCCTCTGTAGTTAACGTTTTTTAGAATTACATATTAGAAAGCGTAAAGCGCAAAGAAAGTAGAGCGACTGTAAGTAACGATACAGATGATCCCGTAATACATTTTTTTATTAGTATGGGAAAAATTGTAAAAACTTTCGCACCTCATTAGCAAGCCGTTGTGAAAGGAAAAGTATTTCAAATTATAAATCAAATTATGATCGATAATGAGGCACCACCGAGACCAACGTACACTTGGAATTTCAACCAGCCTACAACATGTTCAGAAACTTCAACAATTAATAGCTCTAATTATATCAATAACATTCCTTCATATGTACCAGTAAGTCAACCATATATTGGTACTATAGAATCTACATCACAAAATCATGACAAAAATTCTTCTAATTCTTCTTCTTGAATTATTACATGTAGAGAGTTCCGTCAAATAACATTGTAAATGATCGTTTGCTATAACTCAAACAGTATGTATAAGAACCAGTAATCCATTTTACTTTATTGTTACACATTTTGTCCTAAGTATTTTTTTGCAAATAAATTTTGGTACTCTATATATCTTTGTTTTACTACTAACCTTAGACACACGGCTGATCTTTCAGTTGGGGGAATACAACATCTAAATTTTGTATTTTGTAACTGAATTCCTTCTTCTATCAGTTTTTCCAGCTGCTTAAATTTTTCAACTGATATTCGAAACGACTGTTAAAAACGTATTTTGTCTATACATAATCTGTCGAATAATGTGTAAAATTCTTTCAAATTCTCACAAGCCATTTTCTTTTAACGTTACCCAATCGATATGAACAACACAGTGATTATTAAAAAACTGTGAACTTCTACGTAGACTGCGACGAGTCAGCGTGTGCGAATACTGAAGTACGAGTCTGGGACTGTCTTGTTCGCGTCCGTGACTCTCTAATGCGTTTCCGCCTTTAAGGAACACAAAACAAAGGTGCTGTAAATTTGTTAACGCCGATAAGAGGTTAGTGTCATTTTTCAGTCGTTGTGTGAACTATTGCTGTTTGGTGTAACATTGTTTTAATCAAAATGCAACGCGAATCGAGAAACTTGACTAATGAAGAGTGTTCAAATAGTGGTTTTGCACAAAGAAGGTTGGAGTTACAGATATTTAGGAGAACAGTTCGGCGTACACCATACATCGATCTCACGAATGATGGAACGGTACAGAGAGATCGATAGTCACGTCCAGGACAATGGCGACATCGTGTAACAACGTCCGTTCAAGACCGTTTTTTACGACTTCGCACCCTAAGACAACGATTTGTAACTACCAGAAGCTTACAATCCCAACTTGAATATGTTAGAATCAGCTGTGAAACGGTTCACCAACGTCTCAAGGAAGGTAATTTGGTAAATCGTATACCTGTCAGAGGGCCAGCCTTGACCGTAGCTCATCGCAGAGCGCGTTTAGAATTTGCACCAAATCATATTCATTGGTTGGAGGCTAATTGGAATAGAGTTCTGTTTCTAGATGAGAGCAGATTCTGTCTTTACAATTATGATAGGTGTATTCGCGTGTACCGAACAGTATGCACAGTGTAACATGGAACGACGTTATTCGGTGGAGGGTCGGTTATGGTCTGAGGTGGCGTTTCTTTAACGGGTCGTACAGACTTGGTGGTGTTGAATAACGCTAAAGATGTTTCAAAACCTCGTGGACCACGTAAATACGCATGTCCGAAAAAATACATGGACCCTAAAAGCATTTACCATTTTAATTTCATAGGAAATTGGGCGACAGGGTAGGATTTGCACTTGCTAATGATGTCGATTATTTCCAATAAACATGACATATTATGTTTCTCTAATCTTAAACCTTCCAGTTAGTCATCGCATTTTTATTTTATCTCTCATTGAAAGATGTATTAAAAATTTACGACTTCCCATCTTTACTGCTGATAAGCATTGCTATATAAAAATGTAAAATATTTACATTGTACCAATTTGGTTTATAAATAAACCTTTTAAGAACTGAAAAACATCTAGAGGACATATAAATAAATAAATCAATGTATGATAGAAAAATAATAGGATTTTGGTTTAAAATTCAGCAAAATATGTTTACACAAGACGAAAACCTCGAATTCCTTGGGAAAAATATTCCCATGAGATTTTTTGAATAATCACTTTCATAAAATACCACAGAATAATGTCCAATAGGTCGCTTATACAAAAAATGGTCCTAATTTATTAAACAGTTTTGTATAAATTCATTTTTAGGTCCTGATAAAACTATGTTTTAAATTAAATAAGCCCAAACTAAAGTATCAGAAACTGATAGAACACGGTTTGATGAATTCAAAAATAATTGTGTTTTTGAGCCTTCAATCATCATATTTCGTTTTTTTTTTAAGTTTTAAATTGTTTATAAGTTGAAAACGATAAACTTTTTAGAAAAATTACAATTACCTAACCTTTTTTATTTCAGATTGATCCAAAAAATGATTATTAAAAACGATTGTTCACAAAAAAAACAAAATATTAAAGCTATTTCACTAACGCAAAAACTAGTTCGTCTCGCTACGATAACGCACTGAAGAGCTACATGTTTTTAGCAATGCCTGATATTATTGTTTCATTCGTAGATCGACGTCACTAAATGATTACGTCAGGTCCACGACATTATAAATTATCTTTACCATCACCGCTCACCGATATATCGTTGACGTTCTTCAAGACCACGTTGTGCCATTTGCTCCTTATATTAGCGAAAATTTTGTTCTAACGCACGATAATGCACGACCGCACGTTGCAAATATAGTGCAAAATTATCTAGAGGAAGTTGGAATTGACGTTATGGAATGGCCAGCGAATAGTTCCGATTTCAATCCTATAGAGAATATTTGATACTTGCTTGATAGACGTCTACGGAATTTTCCTAATCAATCAAACACTCTGCAGGAACCGGAACAACGTCATGTCCAAATTTGGAATGAAC